TTCATTAGCAAATTTTGATCTTGCCCCAATATTCTTTTTAGACAGCAAAGGCTTCCTCCTAAAGAATTTACAGCAACAACAGCAGGAGCTACCTGCAGATCCGCTCTGCTTTAAGCTTTAGCTAAAGCCGCTTTTCTTCCAACTCCGCCAGAAAACTTTTCCTCAAAAGTTGAATAGTTTCTTGTAAAATGTCTCTCAGCTTTCCACTGTTTTACGGGGCTGAAGTCGCTTCTCATTCGCCAGCTTCTTGCTGAACTTTCCGGTTCCACCTTAAATTCTGACTGAGGCACCGAATGTAAAAGCGGCACCAATTAAGGTGGAACGGGAAAATTAGAGAAGCGACTTCATCTTCGCAGCTTCGCATCGTTTAGTTAGTGTTCGACAGTCTCTCGTTACAGACTTAACGCACCAGGAAACCAACTGCGCTGCTTATAAATGCAAATAATTCCATTCGTCTCCAAATGTTCGTCTGTCTTTCTCTTTTCCTTTTTCGTTCGCTACTAGCTCGGCAAAACCTCGTTGCTAGGTGACCTGCAGTCTCCCCTTATTTTATTTCACCGTAACAGCGCATTTTATCACAGATGAGTGGCAGCAGCGTCTCCAATCAAGAGCAGTGAATGAGAGCCTTCCAGTTCACTTGCCACATCACTTCCATTTGTTATATTAATAAAAGATATTGGAAGTAAATTCATTATGGATCATTACAAATACTTTGCTTTAAAACTAGCGAGTCCTCACACAGTGAGAAAATAGAAATCCTGTTTAGAAAAAAAACGATAATCGTTTTATAATCGCATCGCAGCCCTCTGAATCGTAATCGATTCAGATCGTGAGGTGCCTAGAGATTCCCAGCCTTAGTAGACAACTAAGCCTCCTATACAGTATTCTCACAATTCTGCTTTTGTTAATGCAGAAGCGTAAATAGTAGCGTTAGATGACTTGCGTTTTAAACAATGACCAAGACTACTTAGAAATTGTTATCACCGACATTTGCTTAAAACCGTTTAAAATAGATGATGAGTTCCCCCAGCACTATAGGTTGGTGAGTAGCTTACATTAATGTAGAAATATGATGTTGTGTCTCTTTGCTGTTGACGGTACCTGCCACGTTACTAATGTTCACATAAGCTGTTTAAGTAGAATGAAACCTGGTGGACGTGTTCTTCCCATCTTTCTCCTCCAAAATGGAGCTTCTTTAGTCTATCCTTTTACTGTGATGTGTGATGAGGTGTCAAGCTTCCCGCCCCTAACACTGCTCATAAAGATCCGCTCTGCTGCTTCTCCACTTTGCAAACCTCATCACAGAAGGACCTTGTAGTTCAAACGTGGATGCTTGACCGTCTGAACGCAGCTGCTTTCATACTGAACATGTAAAATTCACAGATGCGCTTTCAAACCCCCCCGGGATGCGCGGCACAGACGTGGAAAGCAGACGCACAAGGTCATACAAAGTTCAAATGTTATCAACTTGTGTGCAGCGTGCTTTGGCCAGTCAAACGTCTTTCGTTCATGTTTGAGGGAACTACCAGACACGGCAACTGCTGTACTATAGACTGTGCTAAGATTTGGCTGAAGGAAAATTTTGAGGGAGTCTGAAAACCGGCAGCCCTCCTTTGCTGCTCTTTTAAACGGTGCAGGCGGAAGTTCAATAACGCTATAGCTTACAACTGGATGTGATGATGCAAAGATAGTAAGAAAGGTCTATGATGAGTGTCACGTTTTCTACACTAAATCTCACACTAAGACCACACTAAGCCTAAAAAGACTGGACTATGACAAATATGACATTAATACGCAAATCCTGATCTGGAATTTTGGAAGTACAGCATGAATTTAATCAAAGACAGAGGTGATGTGTAATGTAGGCAGGTTTAAAGCTCTTTAGAAAATGGCATGAGGACTCTAGCTACTGTGGGCTTCTCAAAGAGAATCAGGCACTTCAGTCATACCCTTTTGGAGTGGTATGATCTCATTTAACCCAGACCCTTCACCACAGTCTGTGTGATGCCTTCGTTGAGTAGACTTCTCCACATTATTCTCCATCCCCAAGTCATCTGATTTGTCTGACCTCTCATCCCTCCTCCTCCTCCTCCTCCTCCTAATTCCTCTTAGTTGCTGAGTGATGAATCCAATACCTTCTCTGGAAATGACCTCAGCTCTCTGCCAAGGAGACAAACTCCTCTCTGAGTGAGAACCTTGTGCCTCATCATCATCAGAAAGTCCATGAAGGTCAATCTCTTCATCATGCTCCTCATAATGTCCTTCATTATGATCCCTCTGATCTTCCTCCTCTTCAACATCATGATGAAAATCATCATCTTCACTCTCCAGAGTGTTGTAAGCCTGACTATTGAACGCCATGTCCCATGTCCTTTCTGCAGGTCTCCTACTGGCGATTCTGCTGGTGGAATGGAAATCAACTCTTCAGATATTTTATTAATATAATGAAATAAAATCATTTAATTGGAAATACAATTACACTTGTATTAAAAGGTTTTTTACATTTCTCATTTAATTCATATTTCAAGGCTGAAATGAGGGACCTCCAAAACAGGCTAAAATAGCATCTATGGCTACTGTGAAAAGAGTTTGAAAAAGAAATGCATTTTGACAGTCTATTAGGCCAACAAAGAGCTCGGTACAGGTTTAAAATTTTCATAATGAAATAATAAAATGGTAATACTTGGGCCTCCATGTATCGATAATATTTATAGATCCAAAATATTGGGTAATTGTACTGTATCAATTTTGTATCGCAGCCCCTGTAAGTGAATGTGAATATTTGTAGCTTTCTACTGGATTAGTTCAAACTGTAGTTCCACAGTGACGATAAAAAATAAAAAATAAGTATTCAGACCTTAGATATTTACAGGGGTTGTGTTATGATCTGTTAATAAATAAGGCATTAGTTGAAATAGTATTAAGCTAAATATATACAAATATATCATCATTTATAGGGTATTTTCTATTGGGAGGTGACTATCTTAAAGCCTAACCCCTAAATTTCAGCTGTTTTTTTTTTGTTGAAAGAATTGGATTTATCATGAATTTAATTTAATTTAAAAAAAACTTTATTCAGAAAATGCTGTCCCACATTTTCTTCTCATTACCAAAACACAGTGTTTTAGTCCATAGGTGGAGCCTTATTTAAATTTAATTTGTAACTAGCAAAGATACTTTCTCTAGATAGACAAAGCACTTTTTGTAAGTCACTCTAAAGCGTCTGCTAAATGCTGTAAATGTAAATGTAAATGTTATTTTAGCCACACCCCTGCATTTTAGAGCAGGAAGTGAAACTGTATCCCTGTCCCTCATGGCCACATGTTGACCAGTTAGATCCCATTGTTTTGAAGAAATTTTGTCCCAAAGTCTGAAAATCAGTGTGTAACATTAAGAATGGTCACCACTGAAACACATGCAATTAAGTGCTTTTATGTTTAAATGAAAAATATAATGATTTTATGTGTGTACAACTGTTTACAGCTGTTTACTACTCATGTATTGCCTACCGTTTTGAGTTCTGTGAAACGGTCAAAGTTTTGGTGGTGTTATGATTATTTTCTTAGTGACAAAGGGAATGTTTAATTATTTATTTTAATAAAGTAAACATAATTAAGGTATAGAGTCAAAGCAAGAAGACTTTAGTCTAAAGTCCAAGTCAGTCAAAAGTGGGTTTTCAATCTTGCCCTTAACAGTGGCAAAAACAAAAGGAAGTGCCCTACTGGCTGCCCTTCACATGAGAAAATACTGATTGAGTGCCTCCTAGTGTGCCCCTTCATACAATAAAGTATGGTGATGTGCCTTCTAGAGTAAGAAAATTCAAAAACTTGTCTTAATGAGTGCCCTTCTAGTGTAGAAAATGTGACGCAGTGCCCTTACAATGGCCCACACTTAATGTTCCCTATGAGTGTCCTTCCATTGGAAAAGAGTGCTGTTATGAAGTGCCCTCTATGCTGCCCCTATATGACGGTGTCCCAAGGGGTGCCCCTCCTGTAGATAAAATGTGATGCAGTGCTGTAAAGGTTGTCCCTACACGCATGAGAATGTGGAGAAATCTCCTAATGGATGCCCCTCCAGTGGGTTAAATATGATGTTATGCCATATAGGTGCCCTCACAATGGGATGAAGTTGATGTTCCCTACAGGTGCCTTTCTGATTAAAATAACGCATGAAGTGCCCTGTTAGATGCCCTTCCAAGTGAGAAAACAATGTGAAGTGCCCTTGCCATGGAGAGAAAACAATCTCTGTGCCGTACAGTTTCCCCTACAACAAGCCCTCTACCTTCCCATTGTTAAAAACATCCTTTCCATGCATTTAAGTTTTCTGTTTTAGCCACACTCCCTCTAGAAGGTTCAGATGTCAGACTTTTTCTTAGAACTTTTCTCAAGAACTAATTTAAGAAAAACTTAGGAAGATATTGGTGAATGAGGCCCATTGAGTTTTACCAATGATGCATTACTAAATACTAATGTATGTACACTGCAAGTGCTTTTATAGATCACTATCACATTTTTATGAGGAGCTAGCTAACAGGTACCTTGCTTAGCTGATTCTATGATAAACTCAATTTTGAAATAAAGCAGAAGTGTAAAAATCCTTTCCTAGGCCAATTATTTTAGGGTGATTTGCACAAAATGACCATAAGACTTTAAGATTTGGTGTGAACAGCTTTTTCAGTTAACACAGTGTGTGTGTTTGTGAAACAAATATTAATAGTTCCCTCTGTGTTTACACTGGAGGTGTTTGTGAAATAAAATTTTAAAGGTTTATAGCCCTTTGTAAAGTGGATCGCTGAATAATGTATTGTTAGTGTTAATCAATGATAAACACTATTTCATTATATATGCATCTTTTTTGCATGCTGGTGGGGGCCCATGTTGTGCAGTAGGTGCCCTTTTTTATTTTTTCACCCGTTCTTCAAACAGCCTGAGTCTGCCACTGTGTATGTGCATATAAACATATATATGATATTTGTATGTGTGTATGTGTTTGTGTTCCAGGTTTTTGCTATGGGCTGTGTACAGAGTAAGCAGGATAAAGCTGCCCCACAGAAGACTGAGAGTTCCTCCACTGCAGCCCAGTCTGCTGCTGACACACACGGACATTATGGACCTGAACCTACAAACACACCCCAAAACCAGGCCCCACACACCACCACACACAGCACTTCACACAGCGTCACTCACACCAGCACACTCGTGCCTTTTGGTGGTACAGCAGACATAACACCTTTTGGAGGCACTTCATACAATCCAGCTGGAAGCAGCACATTTCCTGGCAGTGTAACAGGTGAGACACATAAACTCAGTCACGCACACATACACAGTGATCAGATGTGATCTGATAGGGGTCGTATAGTGGTGTGACCGTGTGAGATAGGATAAGGAGACCCTTTTAAGAAACATTCTAAATATAAAACTACAAGGTAACTTGCTTTAAACAAGACAAAACTGAGCTGACAATAAATAAAAGCAGTTTATAAAAATAGCTTGCTGAAAATGTTTACATTATGTAGACTACAGTATGTGCTACAAAATCCAACATCCTTAACAGCAGAGGACTTTTTATTGTTATACTTCACAGTGTGGGACTGCCGTTTGTGTTTTTTTTTTCTGTCATTCAGAAAACTGTGGCTCCAGACAGCATTGTTGTACTCACAGGAACTGTCCTTTCTGCCTCTGTTGTTTTACTGCATTCTGCATATTGAATAGTATCAGACCTGTAGTCGAGAAGTTGAATGAACAAAGATTATACACCAATCAGGCATAACATTATGTCCACCTCCTTGTTTCTACGCTCATTGTCCATTGTAATTACTAAAGCCTGACCAATAGGAGTTAATTTTGGCCAATACTAACAACCAGCAGTTCTATATGTATCTTATGAAAATGTTGCCAGCAATTATCTTATGAATACACAAAGCTTTTTTTGACCAGGCAGGATTTGAACTCATGATCTCCTAATGGTCATGCCACTGGGAAGCCCAATAAGAAACATGACGTTACACTATGTGACAGCAATAAAGCCTGAATTGATGAACAAAACATGCCATTGTGCCAAAATGTCAAAAGACTACACACATCAACAGAGAAGTGTCAACATCTTCACAAATCATTTGAATGATAATGAAAATAAGAAATAATTCTGTCAACGCAGGCACGTTCAAACACTTTGATCAAGTGTTTGAACGTGCCTGCGCTGACAGAATTATTTCTTATTTTCATTATAATTAACATGTAACTCCAGCATGCTTTCATCACTGGTGATAACTGACTTCTAAGTGTTATCCTTATTACCACTAATTAAGATTTTGCTAATTAAGCCATTTTCAGCCTCTGTCTCTCCTGTTTGCTCTTGTTTCAGGTGGAATCACTTTTTTTGTTGCACTCTATGATTATGAAGCCAGAACAACGGACGACCTGTCATTTAAAAAAGGAGAGCGCTTTCAGATCATCAATAACACGTGAGTGGATGCATTCATCTGCCTACATGTAAGCCGTGTAAGCTTTTTACTGTCTTGACTATTGTTGTCTGTAGTAGAAGTGTAATTGATATTGAAACCAGGTAAAGCTGTATTTATTATGTATATAGCCAACAACAAAAGTGAAGACTGAAATAACCTATGGCTCTTTCAGCTCTTTTTAGCAACTGAGAGCATGTAATGTCTCTGTTTCTGAATGAATATAGTCCTATGCAAAAGTTTAAGCACTCCTGGTCAAATGACATGTTTTGTTGATGTCCTAAGTGGAAATAAGTTACTTATCCTCTACAGTTAACACACGTCTGCCCATGTTAATACACAGTTACTGTTATTTGCTGGATTTGACATGAACATAAAAATGTTGTTTTTTTCCCACTATGTTAAATGCAGTAATACATCGAAATTGCAAATCGAAAAGTCGTAATTCATTTTTATGTTTTAAACAGGCGTTTTTGTTGCTGTACATTTAAGACCGATATATGTTTAATGCCCTCTACTCTGATTTGCTGTTGTGCCTCATTCAGAAAGCAGTCTGGGCTGACGCACTCTTTATAACATTAGTGTGAATAGGCAGAGCTAAAATGCTGTAGACCGAATAGATTAATATATGTAAATGCATGAGTTTTCATGACATCTCAAACATAATGAACTCAGAATGGGCTGTTTTTACAGCCAGCTTAACCACATATTTGAATTGTATGGACTACACAGTGAACAGTACATCTTGAAACCCTTACAGTGTTCACATACTACACCAGACTCCTATGGTAAGCAGAGTGGCACCACTGGGGTTAGGGGTTAAGAGGCTAAGCTATTTCAAAGAAAGCAAATTTTAAATTCTTGCTCTCTGTCTGTCTCTCACTCCCTCTCTCTCTCTCTCTCTGTTGTAGTGAGGGGGATTGGTGGGAGGCATGTTCTTTAAGCTCAGGTCTACAGGGCTACATCCCCAGCAACTACGTGGCTCCAGCTGACTCCATTCAGGCTGAAGAGTGAGACTGTTATGCTGTTCATACTCCAACTTTGTACCCGCTGCTCATTAACGCTTAGAAGTTACACTTGCCTGTGGTGATAAAAAGTACTATTATGTATTAATTATTATGATATTAATTATTTGATTTGAAAAGTGAAGAAATTCCTCATGTGAAAGTTACATTTCAATCTCTTTAATCAGAAATAATTAGAGACATATGAAACACAAAATATTTCATTTTCTAAGAGCAAATTATTTTAAAAATGCGTGTGAATGTGTCTGTGTGTGTCTGTATGTGTGTTTGTGTTAGGTGGTACTTTGGTAAGATGGGGCGTAAAGATGCAGAAAGACTTCTTCTCCAGCCCGGGATCCAGAGGGGCACCTTTCTAATGAGGGAGAGCGAGACCACTAAAGGTAAAGACTGAGTAAATGAAGGATGGATGTATAGAAGAGTACTGAATATTTGACTAATGTCTGATCTCCTGCCTTCCTCCATCCAGGTGCATTCTCTTTATCTATTCGAGACTGGGAGGAGGATAAGGGGGAAAATGTGAAACACTATAAAGTCCGGACGCTGGACAGTGGAGGATATTACATCACTACACGTGCTCAGTTCAGCACACTGCAGAGTCTTATTAAACACTATACAGGTAAATGACCGCTCTCCCTAGAGTCTTATCAAACACTACACATGTAAATGACCGCTCTCCCTAGAGTCTTATCAAACACTACACATGTAAATGACCGCTCTCTCTAGAGCCTTATCAAACACTACACATGTAAATGACCGCTCTCTCTAGAGCCTTATCAAACACTACACATGTAAATGACCGCTCTCTCTAGAGTCTTATCAAACACTACACATGTAAATGACCGCTCTCTCTAGAGCCTTGTCAAACACTACACAGGTAAATGACCGCTCTCTCTAGAGCCTTATCAAACACTACACAGGTAAATGACCGCTCTCTCTAGAGCCTTATCAAACACTACACAGGTAAATGACCACACTCTCTAAAGCCTTATCAGACACTATACAGGTAAATGACCACTCTCTCTAAAGCCTTATCAGACACTATACAGGTAAATGACCACACTCTCTAAAGCCTTATCAAACACTACACAGGTAAATGACCGCTCTCTCTAGAGCCTTATCAGACACTATACAGGTAAGTGACCGCTCTCTAAAGCCTTATCAGATGCTACACAGGTAAATGACCACTCTCTCTAAAGCCTTATCAGACTCTACCCCAGTGACTGACCACTCTCTCTAAAGCCTTATCAGACACTACACAGGTAAATGACCACTCTCTCTAAAGGCTTATCAGACACTATACAGATAAATGACCACTCTCTCTAAAGCCTTATCAGACACTACACAGGTAAATGACCACTCTCTCTAAAGCCTCATCAGACATTACACAGGTAAATGACCACTGTCTCTAAAGCCTTAACAGACACTACACAGGTAAACAACAGCTGTTACTACTTGCCCAACCTCTGGCAGTGTGACGTGCGTTTGGCCTGATAAGATTTGTTCAAGTGGTTATTTTGTCACTAACCAAGTGACACAGTTCTGATGTGTGTCATAGTAACGCAGCAGGTTGTGGTGACAGCACAGATGGAGGAGATTTAACAGTAATAGTAGCAACAGAAAGAAGGGCAGCATGTGTCGGCCTCTAATGCCAAAGGCATTATTTGCCACTACTGCTTATGATTCTTTCACATACTTTTGGCTATATAGTGTAAGAATTACATGCATTACGTACCACTACTGCTTATAATTCTTACACTATATAGCCAAACGTATGTGGACACCTGACCAACGCAATGAGCTTGTTGGACAACCCGTTTCGAAAACTTTAATACAGAGTTGGCACCCTCGTCCACACCAGACTCATCAAAACATGTCTTTATGGACTTCACTTTGAATACAGAGGCACAGTCCTGCTGGAACAGAAAAGGGCCTTCCCCAAACTTTTGCCACAAAGATGGAATTATGTGGAATATAATTGTCTATAATGTCTTTGTATGTTGTAGCATTAACATTAACCCTTACTGAAACTTAAGGGCCTAGATCATTCCCTGAAAAGACAGGGCCCCAGACCATTATCCCTCCTCCACCAAACTTTACTGCTGGCCCTATGCACTCTGGTAGGTAGCGTTCTCTTGGTTTCCACCAAATCCAGATTTATCCATCAGACTACCAGATAGTGAAGCATGATTCATCACTCCAGAGAACACGTTTCCACTGCGTGAAAGTCCAGTGGCGGCGTGCTTTACACCATTCAAGCCGAAGCCTGGCATTGCGCATACTGACCAGACTACAAAAAATCCTTCTAATGGCTTATTTTAAAGGTGGGAGGAACCTTTGAAATAAATCTTATTTGGTGGGTGGGCTGTTTGAATTATGTTTTCCTGTTAGCTAATGCATGCAGCATTAAGTCGGATGGCTAACGTTACTGCTATTCACAGCCAGTTTTCCAGTGTCACTTGTTGACACAGTCTGAAACAGTGTGATAGTGTAATGTATGGCAGTGCAGTGATGTTAAATCTGTTTTAAAGTTATATCTTGCTGACTTTCTCTGTCGTTCTCTCTCTCTCCTGCTGCAGCCCATGCAGATGGTCTGTGTCACAGGTTGACAGGAGTGTGTCCAACAGTGCGGCCACACACGCAGGGTTTGGCTAAGGATGCATGGGAGATATCCAGAGACTCGCTCTCTCTGGAGGTTAAATTGGGCCAGGGCTGCTTTGGAGAAGTCTGGATGGGTAAGATGTTGAGATGAATACCTACATATGACTGAACATGCCCAAAGACATCTGGATCAATTAAGGAATACATTTAGATTGAGAGTAATTTTTTCTTGCGTTCTGTACATACATCAACAACATTATACAAAAGAAAGATCTGAGTAAAGAAATCATGTCTGTATCAGATTCAGCTTTGCCAATGCATGGTAAGGTTTACATATGAAACACAATGTATTTGAAAGACTATGTGTACACTACCGTTCATCTACTACATGTACACAACAAAATCACTTTGTACTTTATTTTTTATTTATATGCAATAATAACTTACAACAATAATAGGAATTTTAATTTTATAAATAATGCTACAAAAGATATTTTTAGATACCTTACATTATATAGGTTTATACCTTATTGCAGTCCTCTGTACTTCATCTTAATATCAGTGTCATTTCTCTTCAGTCCTCTGCATTTACCTGTGTTTTATCATTTTATAAAAAATGCACTTAATTTGTTCTTATTGTATATACTTGTATAGTATGGCTTTTGTGTCTTTGGTTATAGATTCTTACACTTTGCATCATTTTGGTTTCTACTGTTTGCAGGTTTTGTTTCAGTAATTACAACTTATAATATAAAAGATAACTTTGAGAATAACTTAAAAACGCTAACCAGTAAGCCAGTATTTTTATGGCTCATAAAATCATAAGATTTTTATTAAAACAAAAAAGTTTACTTAACTGCATAAAATATGTGTTTCAGTAGTGACAGTTCTTAATGTCATACACTGATTTTCAGACACATTTATTTCAAAACACTGGGCTGTGACTGCTCATGGCCATGAGGGACAGGAATACAGTCTCAGTTCTTGCTCTAAAATGCAGTTGTGTGGCTGAAATTAGGCTTTGCCTATGAACTATATCTCTGTGTTTTGGTAGTGACATGAAAACATGAGAGAGCATTTTTTTTATTTCTTGATTTGTTTTATTGAAAACTTAAACTCATGATAGATCTAAATCTTTTAACGTCACTTTAAAATAAATCAAAAAGATCTTGTTAAAAATAACATTGCACAACTGTAAAACAATGTAAATATTATTTCCAAGCTGAAATTTAGGAATCTTTGGACAGGCACCTCCTAACAGAAAGTACCCTATAAATTATGATTTTATATGTATTTAGCTTATTACTATCTCAGTTAATGCCTTGGGTTTAAATACAGCATAGTATAGCACAGAGCATAGCATAGAGCATAGCATAGTCACTACCAAAACTTTATCAAGTATTAAGATTGTTTTGTTAGTGACAAAATGGACCGTCCAATCACAATAAAATAAACATAATTAAGGTAAAGAGTCAATCAAAACAGAAGGATTTTAGTGTAAAGTCCAAGTCAGTTAAAAGTCCAAAATGTGTTTTCAACTCTGATTTTGAATCAACTCTGAATGATCCATAAAGTCAAAATAGTGTCTCTTTACTTGTATTTTATTTATTTTATATTTTTGTCTTGGATTACTTTCTGTTTACCATATTGCTGTCATGTCTGTGCTCTCTCTGGCTCAGGCACCTGGAAGGGCAGTACTAAAGTAGCGGTGAAGACGCTGAAGCCTGGCACCATGTCTCCAGAAGCTTTCCTACAGGAAGCTCAAATCATGAAGAAACTTCGACATGACAAACTGGTGCAGCTCTATGCTGTAGTGTCCCAGGAACCTATTTACATAGTGACAGAGTACATGAGCAAAGGTGTAGTGTCTCTCACACATGCACACACAGTTACACACATGCTTCCAAAGATCCACTCTTATACCTTCAGGTCTTCAAAAACTCTCAGCAATAAGGCACAAGCACACATAATGCTATATATTTAATTAATAATATTTTTTGTCAACACTGAAATCAGTCATATGATACATTTCCACCCTTTTTAGAAGCCCAGGAGTGAAGTGATATCATGAAGATGTAATGTAGCTAATTAAATACATCTACAAGTGAGAAGATAAACCTGTTTTAATTTTTTTGCTCAATGATGACTTCATACCGATACTGATATTAGGCCTCCTTTGATATTGATATTAGGCTTGAGCAGATAATAATATGTAGATTCATAGAATTTTTTGAAAGATTTTGAAGTGAATTGTGTTTATTGTGCGAGAAATGATTTATCTGAAAATAGTTGTATGTGTAGGCTGAGCTGTATAAGCCCACATTAACTGTGAATTCAGTTTCAAATCAGGACCAGGCTACAGCCTGGCAGGTTTAGATTTATTCCAGCCCTCCTGATATTCTTTATAAAAGAGAACAATAATATTACATGCTGAAGGCTGTAAGTTAGGACCGATAGAGATCTTTGCATCTCACAAAACTGATTGATTATGCGTGTGGTCATGGTAATACAGAAGCACTTTAATGCCAAAATGTTCCCAGGAGAACATGAACAGCGGGAGAGCTTTGACAGCCTCTTTAAATCATTTAAGTCTGGCAAGATTCTGAAGCAACTCCAAAACTGTGCCAATGGTCCTGTTTATTGTCTTTCCATCTATTGTGCACTTGTCCTGTTTATTTATTTATGTTTTATGTATTTATTTTGGAGAACGGTAGGTAATCACATACATCAATAATACATACATCAAAAAATCAAAAAAGACACCAGACTTAAGCTATTCAAGTAATTCATTCATTTGTATTTCAGTTTGGTCAGTCAGCATTTTTGATTTTTTCTCAGGCAGTCTTCTGGACTTCGTCAAAGAAGGGGAAGGGAAACTCTTAAAACTTCCGCAGCTAGTGGACATGGCAGCACAGGTAAAACTCATCTATGCAAGCAATGGCCATTCTTTTTGCATACATATTTAAACCTGTTCAGAATAACCAAATACCACAAAACCACAAAAGATCACTGTTCTGATCAATGTTATTAATAATACTGGTAGTATTGGTAGCAGTAGTAGTAACAGTGATGGTCGAAAGTACTAGTAGCAGCATGAGTAGTAGTATTCAGTTTAAAAGTTTGGAATCACTTGTCATGTTAAGAATTCAGTTTTTTTCTCTTTATTGAAAACGAGAAATTCATGTCACTTTTTACTATATTTGTGTATATTTGCAGTCATTCTAATCATATGTGTTTTTACACGCAAAAACATGCTTATTACTACTATAAGTGGTTTTAAATATTGTGCTCGGGTCTTTGGCACAGTTCTGTATGCACCGACCAGCCACTTCATTAAGTGCACCTCCTTGTTTCCACACTCATTGTCCATTTTGTCTGCACCACTTACTATATAGGTGCACTTTGCAGTTCTACAATTACAGACTATAGTCCATCTGTTTCATAACAAATACTCTGCAACTGTATTCTGCAGTTTGCATGTGGACAAAACCATTTTCACATTATGTGACTAATGGCCCCATGTTTGGAATAGAGTCAAAGTTTCTCAGCAATTTTCTTGAAATCTCTAGTTCATTAGACTGCACTTACTGCAGCATCACCCCTGTTACAGGAACAATACATTTAGAATATGATTTGGCTCATCACAGACTTATTGACACCTGTGTATTTGTCCTGAGCAGATCTCTGATGGCATGGCGTTTATCGAGAGGATGAACTACATCCACAGAGACCTGCGTGCTGCCAATATTCTGGTCACCGACAACGTGGTGTGTAAGATCGCTGACTTCGGCTTGGCCAGACTCATCGAGGACAATGAGTATACCGCCAGACAGGGTCAGCCGAGCCATCTGTCTGTCTGTCTGTCTTTCTGACTATTTACTCACTTTCTATTTTTGTCTGTCGCCTTTTGTGCTCCTGACATCCATCCATTTTTCCATTCTATGCATCTGCTAGTTTAACATAGTTTTCATCTCACATTTAAACTTACTAATGGATTTAGTGATGTCGTCTCTGGGGCCCAAGCTGCTGTGATTGCACGCAGCCAGGTACTCCACGAGCCAATGTCATATTAAATTCACAGTCTGTGTAAATCTGCCATGAGTAAAATCTCTTAGTGAAAAGAAGTCAGATGTTGGGGGAACACATACGTGTTTGATTATAGTTGCATTGTTCTGCACCAAGGAGTCCTCATTGTGCCAGCCAACGAGTCTGCAAAACAGCCTACACAAAAGTATGAGTGCCCAGTCTTAAAGGGAGAATATAATAAATCTACGAAGATCACTCTATCAGTACCTGTAGCAAAAATATGGAACCATTAATACGAGTAAACACTGAAAAGGCACACAAATACAATTTATTATTCCCTTTTTGGGTAATGATGCAGTTATTGCATCAAGTTCCATATGAAGCATCATTAGCTTCATGTGCTGCTATGGTTGAGAGTACTGTATTGTTTTTGGATGGTGGTGACAAATGTATTCAGTATTTTTTTTTCTTTAGACAGGTGGCTGTCCAGTAACTTTAGTAGGACAGTGTTACTTTGTAATCTGAGGTGCCAGCACTGGAATACTGAATTCACATTTGGGCATTCATTAGGTTTCATCACTGGAAGACAGAGTTATATGGATCGTTTTGATGAATTAGTTCAAAGTCGAAATGAACCATTTCAGACTTTTAACTGACTTGCACTTTAATCCAAACTATACCAAATGTTTCAGTAGTGACTGTTTCGACAGTGACAATTTTAACTAATTTTGAGCAGAACTCAAAAATGCTGGCTAGTACATGACCAGCAAACACCACTTTGAACAGTTGTACATACATAAAATCATAATATTTTTCATTACAACACAAAAAGTTTACTTCGTTGCAGAAAATATGTTACAGTAGTGACAATACTCAGTGATACACACTGATATTCAGACTGGGACACATTTACTTCAAAACAGCAGGATCTAACTGCTCACCATGTGGCCATGAGGAACACTCACTGCTCTAAAATGCAGGGGTGTGGCTGAAATAAGGCTCCGGCTATGGACTAAAACTCTTTGTGCTTAAGTAGTGACATGAAAACGTGAGAACAAAGATTTTTTTTTTAAATTCAACTCATGACGATAAGTCTATATCTTTCCAGTTCACTTTAAAAGAAACCAAAAGATCTATTAAAAAATAACATTAAAAAAATTGAAGTATTATTTTCACAAGTTTTATTCTTAGAGGTTAAGGTTGAGGACAGCCACCACCCGATAGAAAGTACCCTTGATGATTTTGTATATATTTAGTTTATTAGCATTTAAATAGATCATAACCCTTGTACATACCTAAGATCTGCATTTTTTTAAATAGCTTTTTTTTTTACTGTGGGACTGCATTTCAGACTAATTCAGTGGAGTGGTCCATACACAGTCCAACAATTTGGTAAAACACCAGTCTCTGTGTTTTAATAGAACTGCTAGAAAGTATGTTTATTATATTATACCTTGCTTGTCTAAAACATGAGTGCCTTAATTTGAGTGCGCTTCCAAAAATGTGTTGTTAAGGGTGTGATTGAGAAGTCAGAGGTAGCACCCCTGTATTAGTAACTGGGCTAATGCTACTCTAACTCCTTTAGCTACTCTAGCTAATGCTAGCTAGTTCCCAAAACAGTGAAAATATATATATCTCTGTCAAACTAATATGTTGCCACATCGTCCACTGAGGAGAAAAGACTTCATGTATAAGATGACGAGTCTTCGTCAGCATCCAACATTGTATCTGTTAGCTGAAGTGTTAGCTCAATAGCTCGTCTGAAGAGGCAGCCTCCTTTACTCATTTGACACGAAAACCTACTGACTTCCCTTGGCTATTTTTGAATAATAAAATGTGTTTTCCTCGTTCATCATGCAACATTTTTATTTACTTCCCTGCAGTTTGACTAGTCTGAATTAGACAGAATGCACATGTCTAGCAGCCTATAACAAGATAGATGTAAATGTTTTGCCAGCATGCACTGACAGTAAAGCAGAGTCCATTAAAAAGGAGACATGTGGGCCCACAGAGGGGTTAATCCAGCTGTTCATGGCGTATTAGTGCAGAATTGGCACACAGAACAGCTGCTTAGACACACAAACACACAACAAGCTCAGTCTTTCTCACTCTCGTTATTAGGCCTACTGAAACATGGCCTGTTTAGTGGGTTATTGAAGCATTTCAGAAAAATGCCAACAAAATGCAATATGATAAAATATACTAAGTGAAAAAAAAATCCAAGGGTTGTTTCTCAGGAGCTGAATTTCAGAAACAGGAGAAAATTGCTGATGCCTCACACTGATTATAAAGCTGCACTTAACCATGTCTAGGAGAAGTAAATTAGATTAAGAGGAGATCTTATTTAGAATATTTCTTTCCTCTTGCATTAACACAGAATTCAGTTGATGCATCATAGATGTGTTTATATTGAGTATTTTACAGCAGCTCTTCAGCGGTATTGTGGATCTGGAACTATGTGTTTCCTAAAAAGCTTTCTGAATTCATAAAATAATATTCTTACCTCTATGTATTTGGTGTCTCCCTTGTTGTTTCACACTGTCTAGGCGCTAAGTTCCCTATTAAATGGACGGCTCCTGAGGCTGCACTCTACGGCAGATTCAGCATTAAATCTGATGTGTGGTCTTTTGGTATTCTGCTCACTGAACTCGTCACCAAGGGAAGAGTCCCTTACCCAGGTTAGTGAAGTAGTTACATATGAAGCAGCTAATGTGTCATTGCTGTTGTTGTATCAAATAGTAACTTTATGAGAGAAGCCTCTCAAAGCAGCTGACTACTCAGTTTCATGATTTTCTTCTGGCTATTATCTGTAGTTTTTGTGGTGTTTTTACTATGAACTGGCAGAGAAAGAATGCTAATGAGAGATTTTTGAAATCACTTTTTTTTTTACTTGAGTTGGGTGGGACTTAATTTGGCGCAGATGACATCAGATCTGCGAACGTACCAATCAGAGTTAGCAATACGTAACATCAGCTACTTGCATTCCACTCCCTCACATAAAGTGACTGGTGTCCTGCTGAAGGTTTATTACACCCCTGTTTCTATTTTAGCTACAGGCTGCTTCCTGCTTACATTAGCCATCTGTTTCAGGATTCTACTATTAACTTCATTTACAAGAGCGCGACAGCTAGTGCCCCAACATCAAGGCTTACAGTGTTTCCCCACAATTGTACTTTACAGGCATGATCACAGTATGGTATATGAGAAATTTCTCTACAGTATATGCGAGCATGACAGTGCTGACTCATAACAGGAGCTTGTGTAACCTCAGTTTCAGAAGCACTGTCCAGCAGTTAGCTAGCTAGCTATAATGTTTATGCTTAGTGTTCAAATATCGGACGATATGTCTGTGATCTGTCCGTCGAAAGATGAAAGCTTGAATTCTCAATGTTAGCTGCAAAATGTAATTAGATCTCTAAAATGTCTATTAGACTGCTTGTTCGCCATTTTGCACTTATTACACACCATTTAGATATCGGTTGAGAAGAGCGGAGTGGTCTATTTTTCTGTGGAGGGGGCTCTTCAAATGTGTATTGCAGAATCACACTGATGATCCTGCCGGCTGCCTGTGCTGTCTCTAGCATCGTTGGTGGTGTCGCTCACCACTGCCACTGGATGCTGGTTGTTTACGTTGCCTCTGTCAATCATTTCGCTATCTGACATGCCCACACAGTTCTGAGCAGCAGCAGCTCCGAATTTTCGAAGCATTTATCTATTATTAAATTTCTCTATATATTTTTTTTTTACAACGCTGGTAAACAATTTTTCTGTGTCATACATAGATGAGAGCAAAACTGGGCCTCATTCACCAACCGTTCTTAAGAAGAACTGTTCTTCACAAAGATTTTGACATTTACTAATGTTTTCTTCTTTGTGATTTGTTCTTAGGTAAGAACAGAATCTACACACACTTGAAAGCACAAAGGTGTGAACAGTTCTGTGCTTAAAGAACACACCATCAATCTGACAGACTTCTTAGGACCTTTCTCACAAAAAAAAAAAAATTAAGATAAACTTATTGGTGAATGAGGCCCAATGTTATTGGAAGCACATAAAGAATTTGCCTCTGCTCATACACATGCAGTTAAATGAAAAAGAATAATTCGATCAGAAATGCTGATGAAATTGAATAGATATCATACTAATTGCTACATGTGTGTCACAACAACTGACTCCTACATTTTTCTCTTTCTTTCCCGCAACACACACACACACACACACGCACACCATCATCCTCTTAATTTTTTTCTTTAGTGGATTAGTTGAGTCCATCTGTCTGCTGTTGTCAGATTGAGTGTGACTCTTAGTTTTGATCCATCTCTCTCTCTCTCTCTCTCTCTCGCTCTCTCGCACAACCATACACTCCCACAAACACATCTGCTGTTTCGCTTTGTCTCACAGTTAAGTACGCAGATTAAAACAAATGTCAAAGGACTATCTAATATTTTTTTTTTCTGCATCTCACTCTCTCCCCTCTTTCCCCTGCTCTCTCTTTTCTACTGTCTCTCTCTCTTGCTCTCTCTCTTTCTCCCTCTTTATCCCACTGTCTCCCCTCCTCTATCTCTTTTCCCATGCTCTCTCTCCTTTCTTTCTTTCTCGTTCACTCAGGTATGGTGAATAGAGAGGTGTTGGAGCAGGTGGAGCGTGGGTATCGTATGCCATGTCCTCCAGCCTGTCCAGCTTCTCTGCATGAGCTGATGCTGCAGTGTTGGAGGAGAGAGGCGGACGAGAGGCCCACGTTCGACTACATAAAGGGCTTTTTAGAGGACTACTTTACTGCAACAGAGCCGCAATACCAGCCTGAAGAGGAGCTCTAAAACACACACATAAGCACTCATTCCCTAACTGCTGCATCTGCAGCGTGAAGTCGGTTACCATAACAACAATTTCAGTGCATTTCCTTGTACTTACATAGGAAAAGAAAATGTGTTACTTTAAAACTAACTTATAATGGAAGCCATCAGTAAGCGTTTATGCACAATTTATCACAAATGTTTTTTTCACTCGAAGATGACAGTAAATGAAGGTGTAAATCTGTATAGTTTGTTCTTTCAGAGATGGGCCTAGTTTGTGGTAATGCATTACCAGGGTAGTGGTATAGGTGGAGTTTTCACAGTGTCCTGACTGACTGCATATGGATACCAGAAGCAAAATTAACCGGATCTTGTTTTTACTATGTTGCTTCAGTGTTCTAAAATTCAGTAGAACTTCAGAAGAACTGCTCTGGTAAGACATTTATCATGCAGTGGTAATAGTTTTGAATTCATGTAATATAGGCACATGTTTCAAAAGTTTGCCCATGGAATTCAGCAACTTCCAAATATGTTAGAAATGAGTTAGTCAGTGGGTCTCCAGTGTTTTTTCTAAGTACAAGGAAATGCACTGTAATTATTGTTCATGTTACCTGACTATACAGTCAAGGTCCAGCAGTTACAAAGAAGGTTAAAAGATGCTGGAATAGAATGGATATAAAACAATACTCAAGTGCATCAACAACTCTTGCCAACAAAAAGCATCTATTGGAATCATTTATAACTGCTGCATCATAAAGCCATTCAGAATGACTGTTGTTTGACCTGTGTTAGAGAAAGACTGTGGGTCATTCCTTACATGCTCAGTTCAAACATTGTCACTGATATTGAAACAGGATCAGTGGACTGGTTTAATTCCACTCTGTTGAAAAGCGAATGACTATTTTTACATGAGAATACAAATGACTGTTTTGGCACATTTCATAGTAGCATTTTTTCCTCTGCAGACAAAGTGCTGGTCACTCCATCTGCTGAGGGATTTTTGTATATCCTGTACTAATCATTGCTACAGAGTTCATGCTTTTCAGCTTCAGCGTTGCTAACGGAACTGAACAATACTAATGCTTTCTTTTTGTTTATTGCTTTTGTTAAAGGCTGAAGGCCCTACATAGTTATTTTAGCCCTTTACTGTAGCACTAGCTGTCATGTAATTTATCTAATAAGCTTTGGTTTTACCCTGCAAGACCCTTAATGCCTATGTTCCTGTCTTTTTCCTGGTTGTTCTCTCATGTCACTATGAGTGACAGTTTTAAATCCAACTAATCAGTGTGCCACCTGCAAAAAATAAATAAATAAATGAATAATTGACTGTCAAGAAGAGATGGTAAGCACAAGCAATGATATGGATTGGTCTGTTAGTGAGACTAATCCCACACAGACCTATAGAGAACTTACTGAAGAACCAGGAAATGTTCTGAGGAAGAACAAAAAATGGCAGAAACTTACATTCTGAAGAAAATACATGACCAGAACATTTAGAACAATTTCATAAATTTAATAAAACTGTAAATATGGTATAGGTTGGCTCTATATGTTTACAAGGACATTATTTGTGAAATCATAATTTGCTGAATAGACTATAGTGTATAAATGAATTGAAACCCCCTAAACTGAAACAAAAACTGAATGTACATCTTTAAAATGTGTATTTTAAATAAAAGCTGTGTCGTGTAGTTTTGTACTGGAAGGCTGAAGAAGTACAGATGTGAACATAACAGGCCTGGCTATGAAATGCGTTACATATTTCAGACATTCATTCACAGAATTCAGTGACTGCCCCATCTATTATAAGTGAGTTTTAGGTCAGCAGGCTTTCAGTTCTTTTTCTACGTACAAGGAAATGCATTGTAATGATTATCCACAATATACTGTGTAGACAAACGTAAAGGACACACCCCTTAATCATAGAATTTAGGAGTTTCATTCAGTCCCATTGCCACGGATGTATAAACTCAAGCACGGTGTTGCAGAGTGCTGATCGAGGCACATAGTGCATGAAAGTCACCAACGCTCTGCTGACTCGAGAACTCCATACATCCTCCGGCTTTAACATCAGCACAAAAACTGCGCCAGGAACTTCATGTCATGGGCTGCATGCAAACCATACCAAGCACAATGCCATGCGTCGGACGGAGTGATGTGATGCACGCTGCCGCACGCTGGAGCAGTGGAATCGTATTCTGTGGAGTGAATCGCGCTTCTCTGTCAGTCTGATGGACGAGTCTGGGTTTGGTGAATGCCAGGAGAAAATTACCTGCCTGACTGCATTGTGCCTAAAGGGTAGAGGAGGGATAATGCTGTGGGGTTGTGTAACAACTTTAAGGATGGGTGGAGGGAGGACGCCGGGGGCAGGTGTGGAGAGCTTTTTTTATTATTTATACACAACACAAAAACCACTCGGCTTTTCAGCCCACAGACAAATTAAGACGAGACGCTCGCTGGGACTTTTCAGTCCTTTCTTTCTTTTGTTCAGCTCAGTTTAGTTTTGCTCGGCTCTACTCGACTCCACGCCTTCACTGGTCTCCTTTTCCCTCTGGGCTCTGCCACCCACTGAGGGAAGAGATGACTAAGTAGGCTGGCAGAAACAAGGCACAGATGAATATCATCAGCTACTTAGCCCGCCGGTTCACCGGCTTCTCCGTTCTGCATTCGACGCTCGGCCACGCCCCCTTCTCCACAGGTTGTTTTTCAGGGGTTGGCCTAGACCCCTTAGCTCCAGTAAAGGGAAATCTTAATGCTTCAGCATACCAAGACACTGGACAATTGTACGCTTCCAACTCTGTGGGAACAGTTTGGGGAAGGCCCTTTTCTGTTCCAGCGTGACTGAGCCTCAGTGCGCAAACCAAGGTCCACAAAGGCATGGCTGGGTGAGTTTGGTGTGGAAGAACTTGACTCACCCACACAGAGCCCTGACCTCAACCCCATCAAACACCTTTGAGATGAACCTGGAATGGAGATTGCGAACCGGGCCCTCTCGTCTAACATCAGTGTCTGACCTCACAAATGTTCTTCTGGATAAATAGGCAAAAATTCCCACAGGCACTCCAAAGTCTTGTAGAAAGCTTCCCAGAGGAGTGGAAGCTGTTATACCTGCAAAGAGGAGACCAACTCATTATTAATGCTTATGGATTTAGAATGGAATGTCATAAAAGCTTTTGTCCATAAAGTGTATATATATATATATATATATATATATATATATATATATATATATATATATATATATAAGCAATAGAACACGAGAGGGAGTGTGTTATCGCAAAATAACATCACGGCTGTGATTTGGTAGATCACGACCTCGAGTGTTCTATTGCTTTTATACAACAGTTAAATAAATAAAGTAAGAAATGAATGTGGCATTTAATGTTTTAATGTTCGCAGTTCCTTCCGCCAAACTATAGTTCCTCAACAAGCAGCTCGTTGCTACGTCAGAGTAACGAGCTCCGCCCACTCGCTGCACAGCCGGCAGTTCGCTCTCCAGCTCCTTACACTGAATTCCGAAGTTGTCATCACCGCTGAGCAGCTTTTCAGTCGGCAGCTGTGACAGAAGAACAGCTAAACAACCTGGAATTAGCCAGAAATGAACCGAATACCATTCGCCAAACATGGTCTCAAATATAATCTTAAAAGTGTCCATTTTCTGTTTGTGCGCAAAGTACGAAGTAAAAACGTTCAAATGATTTGAACGTCTTCTACAGCTGTCAAAGTCGTTGCAGCGCGGTTAGAACGTTTCTCAACCAATCAGCTTGCGTGGCCTAACTGCGTGAACTAACTGTTGTGTGTATATATATATATAATATATATATATATATATATATATGTCAGATCTCCAGATTTCCACAACGGGGCGGGACTTTCTCCACACACAGACGCCATGTGTTGACCGAGCGGTCATATTCAACCAATGGCAGGTCTCCACCTTTGTAACGTCTTTGGCTGCGCTGCTGCTCAGTGAGCTCTGAGCTCAGCCCCCGCTCTGTGGAGGCGGGTCTTTAGGTAGAAAGTGAAGGTAGTTACTTCCCCTACAGACTCTGAGATTCTGGACCAACGACAACATGTTAAAAGGCAAAATTGCCAAACTGACAGTGAGCGACGTGAGATTTCCCACGTCTCTGGAGCAGCACGGATCAGACGCGATGGTGTGTAGGTGCAGGTTTAAAACACTACAGCAGACACTGTCTGCAGATTACAGAGACAGTGAGCTGCTTTTAGTTTAATACTCCACAGATACAGATATTATCTATTAGTAGCTATTAGCTGTGCTCATTGATAATAACAAGGACCGCTCGCTGTGTTGTTGGTTTACTGTGAGATTGCAGTGAGTTAAAGTGTGTAGCGGCCGCACTCTGATCATGTGACTGACTGACTGCTCCACAGCACTCTGACCCGGACTACTCCGCGGCTTATGTTGTTATTGAAAGTGACGATGGGCTGAAAGGCTACGGGATCACTTTCACTGTAGGAAGAGGCACAGAAATCGGTGAGTCTTCGTATTGTTTAGTAATGTTAACTAATATTAATCGCGAAGATCTTCAGTATCTGTCTCTGCATCGTGAATATGTCGCGGTTTGCTGTGTTGGTGGGCGGGGCAGTCCACACTGATCCTCTTTTGGCTTTAGTAGTTGTGAAACTGCGCCACCTCGTGGTTCACATGTGATAAACACGTTAAGAAATGTTGACTAATGCCCTGTGGGCCGGTTTCGTGGGCATAAATTAAGCCTAGTCTTATACTAAACTGCAGTGTCCCATTTAGTCGAGGCCTACGCCTTATCTGGGTCTGGAAAACTGTGGGATGAGTTGAAGTGGAGTTTATAATCCAGAGCTAATCATCCAACATCAGTACCTGACCATATGGGAAAAAAAATATATAGACATATAATTTTATATATTTGAAATATATTTTAAATACATTGCAGTCCGTGCTGAAGTGCACTCCAATCACTAAAATGTATTTCAGAATATACTGCCATAATAACCAAATATATCTTTAAAATACATTTATTTTAAAATGTATAGAGAAGTATTACACATAGAAATGTACCATACAGAAATAAATCTATGTAAATATATTTGTGAAATGCATTTAAAAATGTGTGAAAATAGCCAAAATACTTGTCTAATGCACTTTACTGTTTTGGAATACCTTTAGAAAGGAATTTGTATTCCAGTATCTTAATTTTACGTATTAGCAAATTAACTTTTAACATAGCAAAAGCATTGTTGTAGGTGTTGATTCTCTGTGAAAATAAGTTTTGATTTCATATCTTGTTTATTTGAAATTCATTTTTGTGTGAGTGCTGCCTTACCACATATGTATATGGTTAATGCAAGGTCAGTACCATTCATTCAGTTAATGTATATTTATTCATATCTGTAAAATATATAAAATTGAAAAAAATGTAATAACAAATACAAATAAATGCATTTTAAACGTATCTGTAACATCTGTAACAAACATATATATATATATATATATATATATATATATATATATATATAAACTCGATTCTTAGATGCATCGCGATGCGGACGTGAACGATTCTGAATCGATTCACAAATGTCAAAAATCGATTTTCTAAACTGCAAAAATATGACCGGCACACTGTGCATTAAAGCTAGGTTAGGTCAGGAGTCGCAACACAAATGATAATAAGAGCCATTTTGTCCTTTCAGCAAAAATCAAACCAGCTGGGGAGCCACAACATTTAATGTCTAGTATGTCTCAGGGTGTGCTGATGTCCTAGTATAGGCTAAAATATAAACGAGAGCGCAGATTTACTTTGCTCTGCTTCAAGCTGTAGCTCAGCTATAGCCGCTTTCCTCCCCTTTCCATCAGGAAACTTTTCCTCAGAAGTAGAGCATCTTATTGTAAAATGCCTCTCAGTCTTCGGCTGTTTTATGAGGCTGAAGTCGTGCTGCGTGGACACCCATTACCACTGGATCTTATTTCATCGGAACTGCACATTTTATCGCAGATGAGTGGCAGCAGCGTCTCATGTGCTCCAAACAAGAGCAGTGAATGAGAGCCTTTCAGTTCACTTGCCACATCACTTCCATTTGATTTATTAATAAAAGATATTGGAAGTAAATTCATTATGGATCATTACAAATACTTTGCTTTAAAACTAGCGAGTCCTCACACAGTGAGAAAATAGAAATCCTGTTTAGAAAAAAAAGATGCATATATATACATATATATATTTTTTTTCATATGGGTGACCTCACTAATGCTCTTGTGACTGAAAGCAATTAAATCTTCACAGCAATGTTCCGAAACCTAGTGTGAAGCCTTCCCAGAACAGTACAGGCTGTTACTGCAGCAACACTCCCTGTTAATACCTTTGTGTCTACATACTTTTGGATATGTAGTGTATGTTAAGAAAATATGGTTTATTTAAAGCACCCATACATACATTTGGATCTCTCTCTCTCTCTCTCTCTCTCTCTCTCTCTCTCTCTCTCTCTCTCTGTAGTTGTATGTGCTGTTGAAGCCTTGTCTACATTAGTGATTGGAAAGACGCTGGAGGGCATAGTGAGTGACTTCAGTGGCTTCTACAGGTGCCTGACTAGTGACAGTCAGATGAGATGGGTATGTGATTTCCTGTGACTTTGCAAAATATCTCATTCTATCTTTGAGAAACTTACATACTCAGACTTTCCTTACAGTGGTGGTGATAGAAACCAGAGATTGCAATGTCTGTCCTGCAAATACAGACATTTTATTTACTATCTAAAATGACTAGTAAACCTACACATCTTTTTAGTTGTATATGCAATCTCAATGATGGTAAAATAGCAGTAAATCTGAAACAAATTTGTTTTCTTTGGGTACTATTTTGCCTTATAACACCCTGCATGTACCTCCCCACCATGAGTGGATTTTGCAAAATATGTTTTAAGCCAAAATCTTAGTCTCAGAACTGTGGTAAAACAGTCTATCGGGCAGCATATTTGTAATCATTTCATGTAATAGGTTTTTGTGAGGAGTTTTAGAGACACTAAACTCTTCAGTTGTCTGGTTCCTATGACAACCACTGTGAACAGTTCTGACTCTAGAATGGGCATTTCATATCAAACCACTCTGAACGACTTTGTTTACATTTTAACGGTTTAATAATGCAGATATTTTAAAACATTGTGGAATTCCTTTTAAGTGAAGGTAGAACAGTTTGACCCACATTCACAGTCTTTTATACTGTTGGCTTAATTGTTGACAGATTGGACCAGAGAAAGGAGTCATCCAGCTGGCAACTGCAGCCATTCTTAATGCTATCTGGGATATGTGGGCACGTGCAGAGGGCAAGGTCAAGCTCACACACACACACACACACACACACACACACACACACACACACACACACACACACACACACACATTTGTTTTTTTTCCCTTAGTGTTATTATTATAATGATTAAATGTTAAACCCTAAATGTGCACTAGTATAGAAATACTGCAAGCAAACCATGTTAAAACTAGTCAAACATAAGGTCAGATGAATTTATATAAATGATATGATCATATTGATTTATCAGTCTACTCAGGCTTTAGCAGACCTCAGTAACACTGAGATAAATAACTGATGATCATATTGATTTATCAGTCCACTCAGGCTTTAGCAGACCTCAGTAACACTGAGATAAATAACTGATGATCACATTGATTTATCAGTCCACTCAGGCTTTAGCAGAGCTCAGTAACACTGAGATTAATAACTGATCATCACATTGATTTAACTAAAAATATTCTCCTAAAAATGTAAAATGTAATTGTATTCTGAATACTGCCTTTACAAAATGTAACTTGGACTGAATACAGATACTTTATTTCTTTCTACAGATACTTGTATTTCATTACATCCGAACCCTGGTCATGCTTTACAACATATATTTTTTACAAAAACCTCAGCTACCTTTACATTGCGTGAACATTTGAATAGTATAAAATCTTGTCACATTAACATGTCTTTACCTTTGGACATGAGATTTTTTTATGACGGCAGCGATGTGAATGTCAACACTTCTCCATTTACATACATTTCATGCACCTAATATTTTCATCCTTTTTCTCTACAGCCCCTTTGGAAGCTCCTGGTTGACATGGTAAGATCATGTAGGCTAATGTCAGTGCAGTGTATTTTGACCTCAGTATGTGGCAGCCTTGTTTCTGTCACACTGTGCAGCCCTGGAATAGGGCGAAAAATGTTTTTTTTTAAAATGGTGTCCACTTGTGTGCGTATGTGTGTCCACAGGAGCCCAAACAGCTCATCCGCTGTATAGATTTCAGATACATCACTGATGCTCTCACTGAGCAGGAAGCATTAGGTGAGCTAATCAGTATTAGCGTACAATTAAATGATGATTTCCCAGCACTCAGCTTATATCCCCAACTCTGCCTGTCTCTTTCTGGAAAACAGATATACTGGAGAAGGCAAAGGAGGGAAAGCAGCAGAGAGGTAGGAAGCTGATTTTCAGATTTAGATGCATAGATAACTAATGGAAGCTCATCATCACTCACATAAATAGTTTGGCAGAACATACAATAATGTCACACAGAGAATGCAGAAAAGGCACTCAGTTGACTTACGTTCTTTCATAGCAACAGTTGCTAGGTCAGACAAGCTTAACAGAATGTTGGCCAAAATCCCATTAAACCTAAAGCGAAACTGTAGCACCTCATTATAGAGAGCCCTATTCATTTAAACTGATATTCATTTTGTATGCATGTGAAATGTTACTGTTGGAGTGATTACTTAGGATCCTATTTAGTTTTGTTTTGTCATGTAATCAGGCTAATGTTAGCATGTGATTAAAAGTATTGTTGCTACCAACATGCCTAGCGTTGCATTTTATACTGAAAGTTTAACATTCCGTAGCAACTCTGAAGTATGCTACAGTTTCTCATCAGGTGGAATGAGATCACATTCTGTGAAGTTTGTCCAATCTGACAGAGGTTACTATGAAATGAAAGAACATGTTTGTGGGCAAAGCATGGATAAATTAGTGATTCATTGACATGTACTTTGGCTGTTTTGGCGCATTGCTCTCTCAGGAGCTAAATGTATGGCACCTGGCCAGCACTGACCTGGAGAGCACATGAGTCAATGGAATTCTTCTAGGGTCTTTATGCACCGAATAAGACATTAATACGTACATTGTTGGCATAATGCTAATGGTAGAGTGACCCTATACCTTAACTATGTTTATTTTAATAAAATAAATGATTGAACATTTCATTTTGTCACTAACTAAATACTACTGAAACTTTACCAAGTGTTTTGGTAGCAGTTGTTCTCAAAAACGCTATCCAGTACATGACTAGCAAACACAGCTTTGAACAGTTGTGCACACACATAGAATTATGATATTTTTATTAAAACACAAAAAAAGTTTACTTAGTTGCAGAAAAGATGTGTTTCAGTACTGGCAGTTCTGAATGTTACAAACTGGTTTTCAGACTTCATTAGCTTTGGAATACATCCCATTACTAGAACAGTGGAATCTAAGTGCTCACTATGTGGCCATGACAGGCATGCAGTTTCACTTCCTGCTGCAAAATGAAGGGTTATGGTTAAAATAATGGACTATGGACTAAAACTCTTTGTGTTTCAGTAGTGATATGCATGCAACAGCATTTATTGATTAGATTTATTTTAAAGTTAAACTCATGATACAAGTAAAATCGTGTTTTAAAAAATCACATAGATCTTTTTAAAAACAACATATACTAATAAATGATGATTTTATATATATTAGGCTTATTATTATCTTAATGAATACATAGGCTTTAAATAGTTCATAACATAATCTATATCTATATATAGATTATGTTATAAATGTTATGAATCAAGGTCTAAATACTTCATTGTTATTTTAACCATAGGACTGCAGTTTGAACTAATTCAGTAGATCGGTCCATATTTTCCAATGACTGCTGACCACAAAGACAGTATCACCATATCTGACCATGATGAAAGTTCACTAATAATGGCCTCATGACATGTGACTTATGTGGCATTTGTAGAGGAACAGATGCTGAAGGAAGGCTATCCAGCCTACACCACCTCCTGTGCTTGGCTGGGCTATTCAGATCAACAGCTCACACAGGTATGTGTGTGTTAATGCAGTGCGTAGAGAGATGGTTCTGAGAGATGTTCTGTTGCTTTTATCTCACTATTGTATATAAGCAAGAGTGCTTCTCATGAACGTTTTATTGATTTCATGTAACAGTTTTAGAGAAGAAAAAAGTAAAGCAAAAAAAAATGCTTTTAATAGAGGAGTTACAATATACATTTTTTATTGTAAGTAGACGTGTAACCATTCAGAGAATTCATCATTTCATTTAATGCGCTAGTGTCTCGATTTGATACATTATTCCATATAGCAGAAATTATGAGGTGGTTGAGAACATGTCTTATGTAAATATGCTCATGTTTCTACTTGCAGAGCATTCAACATTATAAAAGTCCAACATGTGAAACAAAAGTTGTGCTTTATAGTGTCAATCTAATGCCCAATTCACAAGCTAATACATTTAACCACAAGCTAACTTGCCACGATAGAACAGTACGATGTGCTATGTAGTATTGTTAGACCATTAATTGTAAGAAAATACATGCTCTGAATCAAACATGGTTAGATTTTATGCAATAAAATAGTCAGAAATCAGATCTCAGACATACTGTCATAAATGGGAAGGGGTGACACTGTTTTATTAAAAATGTCTAAAAGAGGCAACCATGAAAGTAAGAAAATTGCTTATTCATGTTGTGCTTTCACCAGGCACTGCAGTCTTGTTTTGGTTATTGGACTTAAAAATGAAAAATAAAAGCATAATGAATGCTGTCATTTCTTTTTCACTTCTGTATCATATCATGGTGCAAACGCCACAGTACATATTGTATTAAGATATTTGTGTATTATTACACCCTTAGTTTTTCACCCCTGGCAGTTCACCAAAAAAAAGTACTTCCAGCAGCTTAGAGTGAAACAACTATTGTTTTACAAGTCAAAATTGGTTGGACTGTGTGGTTGGAACTGTTGTATAAAGTTGAGTATAAATGAGTGTCAGGTTTAGCATCTGTGTATGTGTGTGTGTGTGTGTGTAGCTGTGTTCTACTGCACTGGCTGAAGGATGGACCAAGTTTAAAGTGAAAGTGGGTGCAGACCTGCAGGATGACATTCGCAGATGTAGCCTTATTCGGAAGATGATTGGTCCAGTGAACACTCTGGTAAAGTAGTCAAGCATTATGATTGAACCCAAAAATGCTTAGTTAATTCAAACACTTTGTGATTATGAAAGAGTTTAGTGATGTTTGGCATCTCCACTGTCAGATGATTGATGCCAACCAGCGATGGGACGTCGCAGAGGCGATATCTTACGTCACAAAGCTAGCGGAGTTCCATCCCCTGTGGATTGAAGAGCCCACCTGTCCTGACGACATCCTTGGCCATGCTGCCATCTCCAAGGTAGGGGATGTGTCAGCATGTGTAAGATTGTATACTGTGAGATGGAGAGAGTGTTCAGCATTATGGATTTTACTCCTATGGCTTCAGCTGTAAGTTCAGTTATGGCTATTATGACTTACTTCAGGTGTTGTTGATCAGCCACAATGCGTTTTATGTCCAAAGATTGCTTCTTTAGTTTTGAACTGGCACTACGAAGCCAGTTCAAACTGGATGTTTCATCACACACTTACCACAAACTCCAGTGAGTTGTACATAAATCGACAATAAACTTTCTCATGTGGTTTTTGACACTGTATGACACACTGTTATCTATAAAAATGGACAAAAGTAAGTTGCATAGCCAAAAGCAGCAGGAGCAGCTATCTTGAAACCTGAAGTTTGTTTCCACTTTAGTCCATTTTTACAGATAACAGTATCATACCTGTCAACTTAGAAATAGGATAGAAATAGAAAAATGGAAGTAGGTGATGGAAAATCTGTAGAATTGATAAAAACCCTTTGCCATCAACAGAATTATTATTAGTAGTATAATGTATAAAACTGTATAATTACAGTAAATTAAAAAAAAATACATTTCTGCCAGTTATTTATTTGCTCAGTCAGCTAATACAGATATGGATCACAGAACTCAACAATAATAATAAAAATAATCTCAAATGATCAGAAATCTGTGCGTGTATATTAATTTGTCCTGAAAACTTTGCTGTTTTGTATAAGCAGCTTGCATTAAAGCATTTTGTAATATCAAAGTCCTGTCGAGTCCTGTGACACAGCGATTTTTACAGCATACAGCATTTTTACAACGCTTAAAAAATGCACATTGCCCCCCTAGATTTGACTTCACAAATCTTAACATTGCATTCAGGGGAATTTTCTATTGCATCTATGCACTGTTCAGTTTCTGGCTTGTTTTACTTAGCATCATTTTGGTAGGCTTTTTAAATGTCGGCATGTGAAATTAGTGTTGTTTAACATGAGGTCGCTGTAGTGGTCAGTAACACCTGACAGTGTAATCTCAATACATGGATGAGTCCAGTTTGTGCCGTTACTGAGGTGATGCTGCAAAACGCATCAGAATTTTACAAAACTAACACAAAATTTTAATTTTGAATGTTAAAACAGAAGATTTACATTTACGGCTGTGAGACTGCAGCAAAAATAAAGTGACTCTCACAGGTAAACATTGACACTCAACAGCTATGCTGTATGTCATGCAGTGTCAGAAACCACATAAGTCTACTTTAGATTACTTAACAACTCAATGCAGTTGTAGGTGTTTTAATGAGTGATGAGTCATCTTTACATGATGATTTAGGCATGCAGGGCACCATGATAATTGGTGTCCTAAGATTCCATTACAAGTTAGCTAAGTTAGCCCCATAGACAGTGCTGTTTCTGTACATTTGGGGGCCTCAAGCAACATCCTACGTGGTTAGTCCCCACCTACAGCAATCATATTATTATTGTACAACCCCAGTTCCAAGAAGGTTGGGACCCTATGCTAAATGTAAAAAGAAAATAGATTGCAATGATTTGCAAATCATGTAAACCCTATCTTTAATTAAAAATAGTACGAAGACAACATATCAAATGTTGAAAGTGTGAAATTTTTGAAAGTTTTTTGAAAAATATGTACCCATTTTGAATTTGTTACCAGCAACATGTTCCAAAAAGTTGGGTCAGGGCCATGTTTACCATTGTGCTGCATCACCTCTTCTTTTAACAACACTCTGTAAGTGTTTGGGAACTGAGGAGACTTAAAAGTGAAATGTTTTTCAGTTCTTGCTTGATATAGGATTTCAGCTGCTCAACAGTTCAGGGTCTCCTTTGTCGTATTTTTTTATATAATATGTCAAATGTTTTCAGTGGGTGACAGCTCTGGATTGCAGGCAGGCCAGTTTAGCACCTAGACTCTTTTACTGCAGAGCCATGCTGTAATAGGTGGAGAATGTGCTTTAACATTGTCTTGCTGAAATAAGTAGCTGAAAAACATCTGGATGGTAGCATATGTTGTCAAAACTTATATATCATTCAGCGTTAATGGTGCGTTTACAGATGTGCAAGTCACCCATGCCAAGTGTACTAATGCAACCCAATACCATCACGGATGCTGGCTTTTGAATTGTGCGCTAATAATAAGCCAGAAGGTCTTTAGCCCAGAAGATGCAGTGTCCATGATTTCAAAAAATTAAATTTTGATTAGTTGAAGCAAAGGACACTTTTCCACTTCACCTCAGTCCATCTTAAATGAGCTCAGGCTCAGAGAAGGCAGTGGTGTTTCTAGATCCTTTTTATATATGGTTTCTTCTTTGCATGGTAGAGTTTTAACTTGTCTTAACTTTAACTTTACTTTCTCAGTTTCAACATTTGATATCTTGTCTTTGTACTATTTTCAGTTAAATATACAGTTTAAATCATTTGAATCATTGCATTCTGTTTTTATTTACATTTTGCACAGTGTTCCAACGTTTTTGGAAACAGGGTTGTATATGTAACAATGAATAATAATCCATCTTTCATTAATTCTGATCAAGGAAATAAATGCTTGGATGGACATAATAGAACACTAATGAACTATACAAAGTACAAAGTAGAATATTTAAACAAGTACATAAATAAGCAACCTAAACAAATAAATATATACATAAATAAATAGTGTCTTTATGGTATTTTTGTAAATAAAAGTCATCAGTGATGTCTTTTATTTACAAAATGATGAGACATTTCTACCAATATCTTGAGTGACAAACACTAGGTGGGACCACTTGTTACTAGGGGTGCTTAAACGTAGCAAAGTTTTATGCTGCATATAAAAAGAAACAGCCCTGCTTGTAGCTCCAGTGCCAAACTAAAGAATCACATTTCAGACCCTGAACATCTTGGCTGACTACATTTAGGTAAAGTAGAAAGCTGTGTAAATCTGATTTTCTGCTGAATTATCACTTTAACGGTCTGCATCTGGGTTTCAGGCTCTTTCACCTTTGGGAATTGGAGTTGCAACTGGAGAACAGGTGAATCAGTGTGTTCTAATCATTGTACTCTTCAAGTGTTTCAATTTTGACTAACATGACTGTATGTGTGTGTCAGTGTCATAACAGGGTGATGTTTAAGCAGTTTCTGCAGGCCTCCGCTCTACAGTTTGTTCAGATTGACAGCTGTAGAGTGGGCAGTGTCAATGAGAACCTCGCCATCATACTAATGGCTGCCAAATTCAGGGGTGAGCTTTGTGTGTTTGTGTGTGCGTGGGTGTGTTTTATAGATCGTATTCAACTGTGATAGCTGGTGTTTAATGTTCCTAGTAGGAATGTGTGTATAGCTGCCTTTGTTCCTAAAACATTTCTAATAAAATAAAAACTCTAATAAATAGAGTTCATGTTTTTTTAGAGAGATTTTGTTTGTACATGTTTGTATAATCATATTTGTTTGCAGTTCCAGTTTGTCCTCATGCTGGTGGAGTAGGACTTTGTGAGCTTGTTCAGCATCTAATTCTGTTTGACTACATCTCTGTGTCTGCCAGCCTGGAGAACAGGTAAGAATGACTCACCAAAAGAGCACGAGATCAAAAATAGTGAGTTCTTAAGTGAATTTTGGAGTTAATGTCCTTTTATCTTAAAGGGCTCATACTGTAAAATACTGAAATAAGAGTTTGATGTAGTGTGTAAATATTGCTAAAGTTTCAGAATCTACTATACACGGCTCTGAACATACAGTCCATATGTAGAAACTAAACTGCAAAAACAACCCATTTACATTGTTTCAGCAAGGACTACTTTTTGAATAAGGCATAGTACAGGACAACCAATCAGAACAGCGCTCATTCGCATATATCGGTCTATATTATATATTAGGCACAGTAATAAAAACAGCCTGTTTAATTCTAATGGACAGAGGTTGAAGAAACAGTAATGTAAAAATGAATTATGACTGTTTTTGGTACATAAAACTCATTGAGAGTGGTTTGATGTGAAATGGTTCATTGTAGAAAAACTTGCTGACTTTGATTTCTTTACAGTGGTGGTGACAGGAATCCAGGAGATGCAATAGCTACATTGCAAATATAGCCATTTTATTTACTATCCAATACAAATTTACATGTGTCTTCTGAGTTTTTATATGTAATATTGATGATCGTAAAATAGTGGTAAATCAGGACTATTTTGTCTGCACCCAGCTGATAATGTACCTCACCATCATAAATGTTTTTTAAAAAATGCATTTAAGGCCAAGACTTTATTTCAGAACTATCATACAACAATGTCTCAGGCTTCCAGATATGTATTCATAATTATTTCATGTAATCGTTTTCTGTGAGGGAGATTTAGAGGCATTAAACTCCTCAAACAGTCTGGTTCCCATCACCACCACTGTGAACAATTCTGACTATTCTCTAGAATAGATCATTTTACATTAAACCACTCTGTTGACTTTGTTCTTTTCCTGTTGCACTCTAAAGTGTAAATCCTCCTTTACTAAGCGCAGATATATGGGGTGGTTTTGGTGATGTCCTGTACATCACATATATTAAAGATGTAATGTAACTGTTTGCATTCTGTCTTTGTGCTGCTTCTAATACACTCAACATTCTGTGTGAAAGGATGTGTGAATATGTGGACCACCTTCACGAGCACTTCAAAAGCCCCACTGTAATCAGAAACGCCCACTACATGCCTCCTAAGGTGAGTCTTCAAACCACTTTCGAACTTAAAGGGGGTTAGAAGTCTACTAAAGGCCTCAGATAAGTAATCCATTAACACTGTCCTGCGATAGTGCACAAACAGCTGCCTATTCATTTGAGATTAATCTGATTCTGATCCAAATTTCAGTCCAGTTGACTTGTTTACTGTTGCAGTAAAGCAGTTCTGATGTAGGCAGTTTAAATATTTCACCAAGTCCTTGAATAAAACATTTTGCAGCTCATTCAATATAAGCCTGTGATTTTGTCAGCCATGAAACATCAATAAGAATGCTTGGTGTGTTGAAGTTTTAAAAGTGCAGCCAGTAAATGTCTCCCTGTATACACACTGTTCAGTATATAAATAAGTCATTTAGCACTTTTAAATGTAGTACTTCATGAAACTTTAGTACTTGTAGGGTCAAATTACGTGTTTATTTTCTAAATAAAAATAAATTAACATTGTCTACAGTGAACACACTTCTGCATATTTTAATGCATGATTACTCTTTATTCACTTAATGTATTGGGAAACAATAAAACATTAAACATAGCATGTGCAAAAGTTATGGCACGTTTTTTCCCCAAATACGTAAAAAAAATAGAAAATGTGCACTACAATTTGCAGAAAATGCCTGTAGAGAACGTGTTAACTTATTTTTCACTTAGGAAATCAAAACATGTTTGGACCACGGCTGTTCAAATTCTTGCATACGATGTGGCACTTTGTAGCTGACTTATGCTTTTAATGTAAATTGTATTAAAGCATGGACTCTTGTTGCTTGTGTACCTTCAGGATCCTGGATTTTCATCTGAAATGTTGGATGAGTCAGTGCAGAAACATCAGTTTCCTCATGGAGAGGTGTGGAGATCCATCCTGGAGAAGAAAGGATCTTAATGCAATCTCTAATTGCTGCTGAACAACTGTTACACTGAATCAGCCTTCAAAAACGAAGTTCAGTCAGTAAAGCCTTTCTCTTTCTTTGAATTACTGTGATTTTAAAGATACCTCCTATCTGTTTATTATACAGATGCAGCCATAAGGGACATCTAAGCACTAATTTAGAAAGAATTTGCACTTTTCTAACAGCAACACTTATTTTTAGCTTCTGACGAATCAACATATTTTGCATTTTTTCAAATACATTTCACTTGTAACCTTAAGTTGTTTATTCAGTGCATCAGTGATGTCTTTCTCTTTTGAGCATAACTTTTACTGTTGACCCTTCTGCTAAAGTACAGACTGTGCAAAAGACGTATGAATGAAAAATGTTTAAGGTTCACAAACAGTTAAACAAATAATTGCAATAAAAAGTTACAGAAAATTTTTATACATAAATATTTACACATTTTATTTGAGGAAGTCAAACAGATTCCATAAAATCAGTACAACACTAACACCTTACAGTGTTACAGGAGTCTATGTCTGTACAACTTTAGGAGGAAGTTGTGTTTAAACAGCCATTTGCATTTTGATTTGGGGATGGGGATCATAGCCACAAATCTCAAAATCCTCAGCTGTGAAATCATCAATGCATTCCACAGTGCGACGGATCTTCAGCTTGGGGAACGGGCGAGGCTCCCTCTGAAGCTATAGGGACAAAAGAAAAACATGAACATTAATGCACGTACTTGAACACAAATCCACACAAATTTATTTATATTATACACAACATACCTGCTCTTTCAGAGGCTCAATGTGATTGACGTAGATGTGGGCATCACCAAGAGTATGTACAAAATCACCAGGCTGTGCAGGAAGGGAGAAACACTAAATCAAATACAGACTTCCCCACAGTCTTATGATACAGAGTTGTTTTAGCTGCCATCATGACATGAATGAGCAATCAAACACTTGTTAAAGTAATAATAGACTCAAAAAGGAAAGATGTACTAATGAATTTCCAACGCACTCGATTTAATATCAAACATTACCATTGAGGCCTTCATTCTCACCAAAATAATGCAGAACCTCATTCACCACTAATGTGGAAGATGGCATTTGGACTGCCTATAAAAAGGCAGTACTACTGTATTTTCTACAACAGTTAGTTTTGACCTACTCCACCAAACCTGTATCTTTATGATGACCACCTGCCGAACCGTTACTTTCACAAAAAAAAAATCAATAAAAATAATAAATAACACTGGACTGGCAACCTGTTCTTTCATCAGGTTCAGAAGGATGGTGTGATGATTTGTAGGCTAAATTTCAAATGGATTTTACACTTTAGCCAACTTTTTTCCCAACATTGTTGCAACACACCACTTAGACTTTTTTTTTGGCATCGTGAATAACTTCACAACCGTACAACTGTGATGTAGTGATATTTACTGTTAAAAATCTGACAATTAATATTTTATGTGAAGCAGCACGTTGAACAAAACATTACATTAAAACAAATGATTTATGCTAGGATCTTTACCAAAGAATGGGAAAGGGCTTTGATATATACATGTATTTTGGAATAATGTTCATGTGTGGCATTACCTTGAGTCCTGTGATGTGGGCGATCATGTACGTAAGTAGGGCATAGCTGGCGATGTTGAAGGGCACACCCAGACCGATATCTCCTGAACGCTGGTATAACTGGCATGACAGTTCACCCTCACACACATAGAACTGGCACAGAGCATGGCACGGTGGAAGAGCCATCAGAGGCAAATCTAGAAAGGAGGAAGACTTAGTTCAACTATGTTCAATTTTGAAACGGAGGAGGCAACATGACAATATGCTTTCATTATAATGGCAAATTACATCACGAAAGGCTTTGGTGTGGTGCACTGCATGTATTTTCTCCAGTACCTTTAGGATTCCAAGCACACATAATGATCCTCCTGTCCTCTGGATTCGACTTGATTGTGTCAATTACTTTTTGCAGCTGGTCGACACCTTGTCCGGAGTAATCTATTAACAAGACAAGCTCATTAGTGCTCATGGGTTTCTGAACAGGACATTTCAAGTCTTGAAATCAATCAATAAAAAATTACATCTAAAGGCAATCACTTTGTTGCCTTAATTGTGGTTTTATATGTTTTGTTCTTTGTAGCAGGAGCTGTCATTAAAAACATATTAGACAACAGTGCTGCTGAACTAGGCAGATGGCTGACTCTTTTCCTTTCGTTAGATGAACGGATGGTGTCAGTTTAGATCTGAATCAGTGTAGTCAGGCTTTGTTTCCTCTGTCCAATAATATTCTACATCAACTGCAGTCATCCCATATGAGCATGCTTGTGTGCCTTTATTTATGCTGTAACTACATTTCTACAAATACCAGCTCACCTGTGTGCATGTCTTTATACTCAGTACCAAAGTGTCTCCACTGGAAACCATATACAGGGCCTAGATCTCCCTCCTCACGCTCAGTAAATCCACTCTTATCCAGGAAGTCCCGTGAGCCGTTCGCATCCCAGATCTTCACACCTTTCTTTGAAAGCTCTTTGGCGTTTGTTGAACCCTGCAAGATGGATAACCTGTTAGATAACTTCTCTCTTTTTATTACATTCCAAATTCTCATGCGATACCAGAGTAAGTAAGACTAAGTCATGTAAGCATTATTTCAACCATGTATTGTGAGTAAAACTTCATCTGAGGACAAATGGAGCATTTATCCTGCTTACTGTTATTTCAGGTTAATCAGTGAAGCACAGCAGCTGTGAATGCTGGTGAAAACCAACCTGATTGCACAGTGAAACAGCCCTGAAATTATATGCCTGCAAAGAAAACTAAAGTATAGAATTCAGTACCTAGTAGTGATTTTGCTGTATTGACAGACAGTGTAATCACTCCTCACTGCACAGTCATTCTATATGTAGAACCTTACCATTTTAGAGCCACAGCAAAATGTGTTATAACTCAGGATTTTGAGGCAAAATGCAAACTAGATACCTGCTGTTTCTTTCCTTTTCCTCTTTACTGTGGATTTACAAATTACCAGTAATTACTCCTACAAATTAGTAATAAACACAGCAGACATTCACACGTCACCACTGCAGCACATTTGAGCTGAGACACAGACTAGAAGCAATAACTTTATCGTGCGTGAACTGTTGCTTAACTTACAGTATTAGCTTACCTTTATGAACCACAGCAGCTCCTCCACAATGGCCTTCCAGAAAACCTTCTTGGTGGTGAGTAAAGGGAACTGATCTGAATGAATGAGGCGGAGCAACACAAGAACTGTTGGCGGGATTTCCATGGACACATGGCTCAGTCTCAAATGGCGCCTTGCTCCCCATATAGTGCACTGCGAGTTATTACATTTTAGCTTCTTCACACTCAAACTGTGCACTTTATGTTCAGTATGGATGAATCACAAATGACTCTTGTTCGACATATTATGCACTGTTTGGGTGCAGGTACCATTATTTTAAGACACTCATAATGCACTAGGTAGGAAGTAGGGAGCCTTTTGAGATTCAAGTCAAGAAGGAAGTTTACTAGCCTTACTAACGTTAGCAGATTTCACACAAATTCACATGAATGCAAGCGAAATAACCTTTCCGTTTCTGTTGCCTGGTACTTCAAGATTATCATGTGCAGTCAGTTAAAGAAACGTGCTCATATAAATCTTTGTAGGCTGAGCTAACTTCGTGAAATAAGCCATTAATCCAGCAGCAGGCGGCCTGAAAGCTGAAATGAAATGACTTAAGAAAGGACAGCCGCTAACGACAAACTCACCACAACCTGCATTTCCTATCAGAGTATGAGCTCGGGTGAAACGAGCCAGGCTGTGTTTCTGTCAGTGTCATGGTCACCGTCACTAAATACAAGACTGGCTGAACTGAAAACGTTAAGTGTGTGTCTGTGCATGTCTTTGTAACCCACCTCTCAGGCTGTATCTCGCCTGTAAGCCGAAGACAGAAATGACTCCTGTTCCTGTTCGGTCGCCTTTCTTCACTCCGTTCTGTAAAACGTACTGGATCTGGTTAAGGTACCCGCTCTCATCACAGAACAGAGAAAAGGGAGAAGCAGCTTTTTTCTCCTCGGCCCGCTGCTGCTGTCCTTCGCTGCTGCACGGACCAGTCACGTGTATCTCAGACGTAGCAGGCATTTTATCAGCAAGAGTTCAAATTATCCTTTTCAAAATTTCGTTGTTATGAGCCCTGAGCGTGTCTGCTGCTGCTGCTCCACTGCGCGCCAACTGATTCAATTTTGGCGCTATCCGGCCTTTTTTACAAGAGTGATTACTTCCAGTTTAAGCTTCTGCAGGGTAAAACACTTCCTCTCTCAACTACTGCAGAAGCGATGACAAAATGTTACAGTAGTGAACTAGGTTATAATGCTCAAACACTGAACTACAACAGCTATGTTTTAGTTTTTCTGTCGTGACAAACAGCGAGAATAAGAAGTGAACAGAAGCACTGATTTAACTTTAAACAGAGCTAAAATGCTGTGAGTATGGGAGGCAAAAAAGAAATTAAAATTAAAACGATAAAATGAAAATGCAAACCTCTTTTTGACATTTCTTTTTCCAAACATCTGCGCAAATATCCTGCCAAAATTGAAAATGAAATGAAATGCCTACATTTGCAATTTCATTTTTCACATGAGCACGAGCCATTTGTGACAAAAATAAAAATAAATGCAAAACAGCTATTTTTCATTTCATTTTAGTCGTTATTCTGGTTTTCATGGCCAAATCTAAAATGAAAAAGCTAATAGAGAAAAGAAAATCCGAGCTTCACTTTGGCTTTGGCTTTTCTCCATGAAATGCAGAATACGGGTCAAAACTAAAATCAAAATGCAGTGTTTACATTGTTATTTCTTTTTCACAGCAATCGGCTGCATATCTGACAAAATGAAAATGAAAATGAAAATGAAAAACTGATAAATCAACAGCAAAGTGACGGTTGGACATTTACTTTACATTTCCGGCTTTTCGATTTCGTTTTCAAACTGACCAACATGCAAATATATGTTAATTAGCACTGGGCGGGGCTACGGGGTACCTTTTGGGACATCCTCAGACCTCCGAGTCAGAACGGCGTCATTCCTCAAGCTAAACGACTTTGCGTCTCGAGAAAAACCATCGTGATGACTCAGATCTGGTGAAACTGAACGTCAGAAAAAAACTGGAAATGATGTACTGGCATTTATATCGAGATACATAATAGTTTTCTAAGTTATACGATCCACTGTGTGCTCGACCAGACCTGCGTTTGGTCTGATACCTTTTCTCTGAGGCCGTTTTTTCTGACGCTGTTTGTCAGATGTGCAGCCGATTGCTGTGAAAAAGAAAGAACAATGTAAACACTGCATTTTGGCCATGAAAAACCAGAATAAGGACTAAAATGAAATGAAAAATAGCTGTTTTGCATTTATTTTTATTTTTGTCACAAATGGCTCGTGCTCATGTGAAAAATGAAATTGCAAATGTAGGCATTTCATTTCATTTTGAATTTTGGCAGGATATTTGCGCAGATGTTTGGAAAAAAATGGCAAAAAGAGGTTTGCATTTTCATTTTATGGTTTTAATTTTAATTTCTTTTTTGGCTGGATTTGCCTCCCATATGTGAGTGCTAGCCTTGTTTTTGCTACAGTTCTGCTGCAGCTGCTCACAACCAGTCTCTGTGTCTTTGTACAACCTGCCAGCAATTTCTGTAATATTTATGTTTCAAAAGAAAATAACTTTTATATGTAGCATGAATTTGATGCACTCCATTTATATTAAGCTAGCTACGCTGGCTAGAAGGTATTGCTAACCAAACTAGACTGCCCGGCTAACATAAAGCAGCTTTCTGCTTTTACAAATGTCACCGCTTAAGTTAGCTAGGAGTCTCGTTTTTGGTTGAGCAGTGAAAGGTGGATGTTATCCGAAGTACTGCTTTAAAAATTGCCATGAAACTAAAAGAATGATGCTGTTTGGCAGATCGCTAACATAGCCAGCCAGCCAGCCTGCTTTAAAGTTTGCTGCTCATATGAAGCTGGAGTTCCTCAAACTGCTAGTGGTAAGCTAGCTAATTTGCGCCTGTAGCCTGCTAGCCTACCATAAGCTAAAACAGAGTTTAAACGAGGTCTGTCAAATAGACTTTACATGTAAAAGTTCAGGTTTGCGTTTATGTTACAGAAGTCGCTGGCATCCTGTAGCTAAATGTGTCACAGAACCTGCTCCACGTTAGCCAGCTGGTGCCAGCAGCTGATGAAAGCTAACGCTAGCTCCCTTGTTTGGGAATACAGCTACAGTTAGAAATGGCTTCTAGCGTAGCTAGGCTAGCTACATCTAAACAACGTCTACCAAATTCATGCTACAGATAAAAGTTCTTTCTTTTCAAAACAGAAGTATTACAGAAATCACTGGCATGTTGTACAAAGACAGAGAGACTGCAAATGTATGAGCAGCTACAGCTGCAGTAAGCATGGCTACCGCAAATTGACCGCAAATAAGTTAAAAACTGTCAAAATGTCCCTCAATTTTACTGCACATATATATATATATATATATATATACACACACGCAGTCCTGCTGGTGACATCCCATATAAATAAAGATAATGTGTGCATTATCCAGGATGTCACCAGCGGGGCCGCGTACATATATACCCTGTTCTTTAATGGACCCCCTTGGGACCCCATAGGGCCACCACAGAGCAGGTATTATTTGGGTGGTGGATCATTCTCAGCACTGCAGTGACCCTGATTGGTTAATGTGTGTTGCTTTGGTAGGAGTGGATCAGACACAGCAGTGCTGCTGGGGTTTTAAACGCTGTGTCCACTCACTGTCCACTCTATTAGACACACCTACCTTGTTGGTCCACCTTGTAGATGTAAAGTCAGATAGAGTAGCTCATCTGTTGCTGCACAGTTTGTTCTCCTAGTGGCTCTGTATCCCAGTCTTGGTGACACCCCTGGACTGCACATTTTGTGTTTTCCTTAAAACCGCTCGTTCAACTCATCAGTTGATCATTAAGTGCTTTCTGTGGTAGCTTAAGTGCACTTAAGAGCATGGAAGTTGAAAATGCAGGGCATGGGATCATATACATACCAGTGCTAACAACACAGCATAGAAAAGAGTGTTTTTCATCTTCAAACACACTGAATCCAATTCCTGAAGGCCTTAGGGATGAATGGATAAGTCAAATCAAGTGTGTTAAAGGAGTCAAGGGAGGGAGGCTCTCTGAGGGTGGCTCTTAAGCTAACTCAGCATTTTCACTTCAGTGGTAGGTGGGTGTGGTAGGAGGGGGTGGTGAAACAATATTATTGGTTAAAATTATTTTTCCTGCTCACTGGTGCACAGTGACATAATCAAAACTCAGAAAGATGTTTTAGAGGTGAGGAAAGTCACTACAAATACAGGAAAGCAAGAATGTTGTCTTTTGAATTATATCATATGGTGAATTATTATGAGTAGGGACATGAGCTAACATAGTAAAAAAGGGTAAATTGTGTCCAAGAAGGGATGTACCTGATCAGTAACAACACTCAAATAGGCCGTGGTGTTCAAGTGATGACTGGTTGTTATTAATGGGCGCAAATTGGGCCAAGAAAACATTCCCCACACCATTACACCACCTCCACCAGCCTGGACTGTTGATACAAGGCAGGTTTTGGTGAGCCTGTGCCCACTACAACCTCGGCTTTTTGTTCTGGGCTGACAGAAGTGGAACCCTATTTCAACTGTTGTAGCTCAAAGTTCAACATGTTTAGCACAGTGGTACAGAGTGGTTATCTGAGTTACTGTAACATTTTCTGTCAGCTCAAACCTGGCCATTCTCCATTGACCTCTCTCTTCACCAAGGCGAACGTTCTCGTCTGCACAACTGCCACACAACTGGCTGATTAGATGATTGCATGAATTAGTAGGTGTACAAGTGTTCCTAATAAACTGCTTGATGAATGTACATTAAAAGCACCTAAGGACAGCCAAAGACAATCTGTTTGACATTTTTTATTTACTAAATTGTGAAATGATGACATTTGAAATGATGAACACAAGCTGTGAGCTTTAGGTTAGTATAGATTACTGCAAATATTTTTGTGCGCTAATATAAAGAGGTCACAGCGAACAAGCCAATCTACTTTGACTTGTATAAACAGTGTTTCAGTCAGTACAGTTTTGTTTCTTTTTATCTGGCTAAAACTGCAGCTGATGAATATGTCCTTTGCATGAAGGTGATCCAACCTGAAGTTCCTTCTGGCCACAGCAGCAGCACATTTCATCTTTGCTTCATGCATCAGCCATCCTGCAAACATTTATAAATAGACCCTGAAAATAGGCTATAAAAAAGTCATTTTATACTAAGTTATATTAACAGGACTCTGGGGCAGTGCACAGGATAAACTGCCAATTAAGAATGCACTCTTAAGGTATATGCATAATGCAATTACGTTTAGTCATTTGTGGCGATATTCAACATTTTTTTTCCAAAAACAAAAAAATGCTTTCCTGTTTTCAGCGTCTTAAAAAGATGAACACCTGGATCAAACTTGGTCAGGTGTAATTACCCTCAACAGCTCTTTTACTACCCAAAGCCTAGTCAACAATGCCCACTATATTCCTCCCAAACCACCTCATTTGACTGTCAAATTGATTTCCATGAAAGTTCAATTAGACTATGTATAAAGTGGGCATAATTTGACAAACGCTGATTCAAAAGCCCACAGCAACATGCAGATTCACTTAAGAACAGTTGTCATAGCTTACGTGAGCAGCAGTTGGTACTAACTTTGGGATTCACTAACTTTTTCTGAAAGGAAATGCAATTTCACGTAATTTCAATGAGTCCCTGTAAACCTTACAGTGAAAATAACTGGAAAAATTAAAATCATCTTAAATTCCAGATTTATATAATATGATTGGTATTTAAAAACAACAGAGAAGCTCATTACAGGGCAGCTTATCTAATGTCCCATTGGCTTATGTCAGATGTATCAACTAGTGATCGAGATAAGCACAAAAGCTAGCAAGCAAAGCTAGAACTAATTTATGGATTTTTTCTAGTTTGACTTAATTAGAAGAGGAATAACATCAAGTTAAATTTTAATTGCAGGATAATTAGAATTGAAAGTAGTCAGTAATTCTCTTTTTTTAAACATTGGTGTACAGTGTAACTCAGACCTCTCTCTGTTGTGGGGATGCAATGCAGGAGTTACATTCTAGTCAGTCAGCTAAAGTATCTAAGAGTTAGTTAGCAATATGCCACTTACATGTGAAGTGGGATGAGCAAGGCCACCCTGACACCTGCAAAATAAAGCAGAATTCTCATTTACGTAAGAAACCTGGATTTAATTCACAGCCATTCTGAACAAAGGAATTTCTCAATTAACCGTAATAGACACAGATGCAATCTCATATGAAGTAACTGAGCACTGATCACTTTAGATTCTCTGTAAGTGTTGGCATTTGGCAAAATATAGGAGTGTAATGTAATATAGGAGTGTAATATAATATAGGAGGGTAATTCAGATATATGCATATACTTTGTAGGTTTACCGTATGGCTCTTCATTTAAATAACGACTTCAATTCCAATTTTGTCTTTCTGCTCTACAAAATGATGTTACAATAACAATACCAATACCATAACAGTCAAGTCAGAGTGCCATGATGGACGTCCTCATATAAAACCACACAAATGCGTACTTACGAGTAAAGTGCGTTTGCCAGAGTGTTCTGGTATGCAAGCAGGGCCTCCTTAGCGATGTACTGAATAAAAGCCGGGTCAGAAAGCTCCAGCTCAACAGGGACAGAGAGAGAGAGGACAGGACTGTCTAGAACCGACACCTCCACAACTGTATCTGTCCTGGTGCCTCCAACTAGACCTGAGCTACCTGGAACAAGCTGAGATCAAGAAGAGAAAAGAAACTGGAGTATTAACTTCATCAGAAAAAAAATCTCATTTAGCAGTAGCATTATTATAATTACCACACACCCAAAATGCACTGAATTTACTTTGAATTTAATTTAAATGTGTACATCATTTCCAGATGAATTAAATATTTACATCAACACAATTATTGTCAAAATTACTATATTTTGTAGACTTTAAACCTCATGCATCATTCTATAGTCAGCATCATGGAATTCCGGGTCTGATCTGCATTTCTCTATGAAAAAAATTATTTTTATTTCCAAAAATCGCCACCATCACACCCTGAGTTTCTGAAAGGTTCCAAACCAAATATGTTTCGTCCTCTGTACATTTTTCCTCTGCATGTCACTGGATCCTCTGAATTACAAAGTAGTTAAGAAGCCAAAATCTGAACTTTGCTGCATCCATGCTAATAGCAAGCTATGCACCCCTACACCAGCTAATCCAAATGTACTCTACATCTGCCAAAGCAACAAAATGTGCACATATCTTAATCATGTGTATTCAGTGTATTACTTTTCTTACAGCAGCCATAGTATTTGGTGTTCCTTGCGTTTAAGGGAGCAACGCTTCAATAATGTAGAGGGTGACTTTCACAATGATGACCACACTGGCGTGTATGTACCTTGACCAGACTGAAGACGTGTGGGGGAGCGGTGCCATTACTGATGTGAGTGACCCATGCGTGTTTGCGTGTCACGTTCTCAGCCCAGCGAAGTGTGTGTTCCGTGTGCGTTCGCAGCACCTGCAGCACCTCCTCATACTGACTCCGGGATGCATTCAAGAGGAGAGAGATTTCACTTAGCTCTGAGTAATGCTCAGGTACTTCAGGACACTCTAAAAAAAATACACACACACACACACACACACACACACCTTTATGTAAAAGAAAGACACACAAATATGCAACAAAGCCTGAGCCAAGACACTTTAAGTGCTGCAAAATGTTCACAAGGTGTAACAACCTGTGGTATTCATTCTTACTTCACTGAAAAGGAACAGGGTATGCCTAAACTTTTGACCAGCAGTGTATACAAACAGAAAACTAAAGAACATGATATTCTGGAAGAAGAACATGCATTGAGAAGATGTGTGCGTATACCTGTGAGCAGGGCCTGATGGCAGTTGTCACACTCGCTCTGTTTTTCTCTGCACTGTGACACTCGACTGCGCAGGTGTCTGCACAGCTGACCACCTGGAGACGACATCCAGCCTGGCAACCAGTCTGATGCTGAAAAGTGAACATTGGTGTATTGAAGTCTTGTGGGTTGAATTAAAATCTACAATTGTCTGAATGTGTTGCGAATGCAGTTTTTACTGTCAAACCTATTTCAGAGGAAAACAAGAGGAAAAAGCAGATCAGTAATGTCTTTGGTCATGTTTCAAATGAAGAGATGACTCAACTCTGTCCACTCAGTTCTATCCACAACTGTCCACTAGCTCAACTCCTTCAAACTCACGAGAGAAAATGCATTCTTACCCAACCCACCAAGAATACAGAACTAGCCACAGTAGTGATTAGAGCAGACCTACCTCAGGTTTTCTGTTTCTATCGAGCACCCATGAAATCCAGCCTGGAGTTTAAAGAAGTTTAAAACCTCTTTAAAATCGTCTGGCTCTAAGTGTTTTGAAATTTAGAACTTTTTTACTTCTTTCATGGTCCTTCAGTGGTTTGAGAAGAAGACTGTTTTTTTCTTCCTGCATAAGTTGGCATATTGACTTAACTGGAGAAAAAAAGGTTAATTCCACAAAAAAACACAGATCCTTACTAGAGTTGCAATGCTAATTGACTGGCAGTAGATTAGGGGGCATGGTGCAGTGCTGATATAGCCATACCTACACCAACTGAAACAGTGCAAGGATCTCTGAGAGATGTAGGAATTTAGGTTTACAGGTTATGGAATAACAGTCCAATATCTCTTAAACAATATTGCAAAATGTCATGATTTTTGTTCTGAATGTTTATTTTGAATGCTTGAAAACTGAGCTAAGACAACTTGAGAGCATGATTTACCACTTTAATAAACACACTTGCAGAAGAATATCAAATCATCTATTATCATGAACAATCTAATTTTTATTCCAAGAGTTAATAATGGGGCATAGCACTAACCTTTCTGAGTCGCTCCCTCTGGTTCACTGCCCTCAAACGATTGGGTAAGAGCAGAGCTGACCTCATGCAGAACACTTCGTCCCATCTCCATAAACGAGTCAAAGGCTCCACGCAAACTTCCACTCAGAGCAAAACCTCCTGTCTGAAGGTGCTCACTGGGTAAAGAGGGCTCAGGCTGGATATCTTCAGTAAAGGTAGAAAGGAAGGCTGACCCAAGCTCCCGCCGCATGCCAGAGACTAAAGCTGAGCTATGTGAGTACAGAGAGGCCACTTTAGTCCCTATGCGACTGAATGTATTCTTGATCCAGACCAGGTCCTTGTCCATGTTAGGTGGTGGGGAGACTTTCAGGAGCTGTTCATAGTCCCTTCCTTGGTTTTGATATTCTGGAGTATTCTGATCCATTGGCATCTGGGTCTGGTTTTGGATCTCAAGCTGACTGTCTGGACTCTGGTTGAAGAGCTGGTCTTGGTCCTCATCCAGCTTGGAAGCCATTCTGCGGACAAATTCTTCAACCTAAACATTGGAAAAGATATAATTTAGAGCCACTGAAAGAGAAGAGAAGCAAGAAGACAAGCTTACACAGACACAAACCTGGAGAGAGAAGGAGGAGGAGCTCCGCCGGCAGGTAGAGGTGTAGAAGGACCCACATCTGGCTTGCAAACATGGCCGACACTTCTCCCACATTGGCCTCAGCCTGTCCCGACACTGCTGCTCGGCCATCTGCAGCTTCTGCTCAGCCTCCTGGGCCAGCTGCTCTGCCCCCTTATGAAAGGAAATTAGCGTTTTGTGTGCATGTGTGCATGCAGTATATACTGTGCACCATAAGTATAGACACAAGCAGTGATCTTTTTTAAGGTTAAAAAAAATGACATTGTAAAAATGTAAATTTGTGTCTACTAGCACCTTTTGGAAAATGTTTCAATTTTCAGTACGTTTTCCATGAAGTCAACAAACAATTGCTTAATTTCTTTAAAGAAAATTAAGCAAATGCTGCCACACATTCGTTTTCTCACAATGGCTTTGATACATGTGACAGATCTACCAAAACATGGACATTTGAAGCTTGTAAGACAACAAAGCAACACATACTTTTCTGTGTATTTTGCAGTTTCGCAGTGAATAACAATTATTTCCATTCAAAGCCTAACACTGAAAATCAATGGGGAATTCCAATTTCTGCATATTTAAATTGTTTCCCTGTAAACAAAGTCACTCAGAGTGGTTTGATGTGAAATGATCCATTCTAGAGAAACTTACACAGTTAGAACTGGTGACAGTGTTGGCGACAGGAACACATTTATGGTGGAATTGTATATGTAAGACAAAGTATTCCCCCAAAATTTTTATATTTTTTTAACAGATTAACTATCAACATTACATATAAAAAGTCAGAAGATATGTCTAGATTTACTGATAGTTTTGGACAGTAAATAAAATAGTCTTTGTGACACCTTTTTCCTATCACCACCACTGTAAAGAAATCAGTAAGTTTCTCTAGAACGGAGCATTTCACATCAAAACACTGACTTCACATCTTAACGATTTCATTTAGAATTCCCCTTTAGCTGAGGAGCGTGCTAGCCTATTAGTTGTCTGGCAGGTTGAGTAGTCAGGAAAATAAGTTTAAACAAAGCTGAGTTTTTAAGAAGGGTATTTTTAGTACTGTGAGGTCATATACATGCTGATGCCTGGTAGCGTCTATCAATAATCCTGTGATCCATGCCAGCAACTTACAGCACATTAATACTCAATTCAGTTGTTATAAAGCGGGCATAGGTGTGCTTAAGCTAGTATTGTTCCACAGCTTTGAATAAAGCTCAGACAATCAGATGCTGGGACCAGAACTACAGCTGTATGCAAAAGTCTGGGCACCCTAAGTGACAATAAGTTACACATCCTCTACAGAGAACACACTTCTGCACATTTAAATGCACAGTTACTGTTTATTTGGTTAATTTAACATAAAAAAAAATGTAGTCTGTACAAAAGTTACGGCACATTTTTATGTTTTATGTTTTTTGTTTTTTTACCCAATATGTTAAACTCAGTGAATAAACAGAAATTGTGCAGAAATATATATTTAGGTTTGTTCATGTAGAGGATGTGTTAGCTTTCTTTCACTTCACATAACACAAATTTTGATTTGGTGTTCAAATTTGTGTCTCTTTTATTAACAACATTTTCTCGTTTATTTCAACAAAATTAGAGTGGCATCCAGCCTTTTGCTAAGAGGGTTACCCTCTTCTTGTCGAAACTTTGCTTGAGGGTCTTAAGGAGTTGTTGGTGCCTTTCGTCTGTTTTGTCCATTGTTTCTTTCATCTGTTTAACCCCAAGCAGCGCCCTCTTCATCTCCTCATCCATATAGCGCTCTCCCTCTGCAGACAACACTGTAACAAAGACACATACACAAGGGAGATAACATTTCTACATACTGAAAAGGGTTTTCAAAAGGATCTCCATTTTTGTTGTTTTTCAGTTTTTTACATAATGTGAAAATGCCTGTTGCTCTTTATATTGTATATAAATTTCATGATGAATGGACCAAAGGAAACAGCCTGTGTGAGCTGAACAAAGTTCTGTGGCGGCTGTAGCAACTTCTTTACTCGTGTCTGCGTTATTCAGAGAAGAAAAGGAAACTTCCACAGGACTCCTTGTGCGAATAAACAAAAACGGTTGTTTATTCCAGACTGTACATGTGATGAAAATAAATTAAAACAAAACTTTCAAACCATGGTTAGGTTGTTCCAAATATAAGATGCAACACAAACCGTAACGCTAAACATGGTAAGAAAACTGTGTTGCTACCAGTATCCTACTGCCGCTCACTCCCAACTTCCTCAAACATCTCCAGACCCAGCACCCTAGCTGCTGAGCTCTATTTTCTGAACATAAACAAATGGTGCCTGAAGACATTTGTATCTACATAATCAGTACAAATATCACTTCTGGCATCTTAATACTATGTTAAGCAGCAGTATATGCATATATAAACTTCTTACAAAAAAGTGTTTACCAATTACCAATTTGGAGATAGGAGGTGTTGTTCCGACAGTAGCGATATGTAAGTGTATATATACATATATATAAATTTCAAACATCCTTTTGAAAACTCTTTTGTTTCTTTCGGTTTACTTTTTTTTTGGCAAGAATTGAGTTCATTTAATATATTTTATAAATGTGGAATGATGTACACATTTAAAGTCAGTGCACCCTTTCTTTTAGTGTAGCAGGCCTGGGCAATATGACAGTATGTATTGTTATTATGATAAATTACGTTACAATATTCCTATTATGAATATCGTCAGTTAAAACACTTCCCAATTGCATGTTTGCTTATAAAGAGAGCATCATCAGTCCTGCCTAATTAGATTAAGTTTAGCACAGTGTGTGAAACGTTGAATACAAATCACTGGATCCACAGATTGTGATGGTGTTTTGAAACATGGCATTGTTTAGTCTGTTTCAACTTTTCAGATCTCAGAAAAAACAAATATTGTCACCAATCATGTATCAATATATTACATTTTGCCATATCGCCAAGCTCTGTTTTCTAGGTTTTTGCTGGTTCTTTGGGATGCAAAACTTGCAGTAACAGAGCGGAAGAGATTTTATCCGTTTGTGGTTCAAATGTGGTTGCAGTAAAATGTGAATGTAGGAAGGGGATTGTAAGTCAATGTAAACATATCCTACACTTCAGTTGGCTTTCATCCAGGTATCTGAGAGGCTGTGGGGCGCCAAAAATGGCAGGAAGACAGGAGAGAAGGAGAGAGAGACACAGCTGCGTCTTCATCATCGTCATATTCTTTAAGCACCGCTGGAGCAGATGAAGCACGTGGAGAGGAGAAAGAGCTAAATTAAGACACAAGAAAGTAATACTCTCAACGTGGATCAGCTAAGGTTGAGAATTATACATGCTTATACAGCGTATGATATGCCCCCAAAAGAAATAGTTGCAATATGCAACCACATGCAATACATTTAGCTAACAGACTGGGGGCAGTAAAGCTCAAATACTTCACCTCAACATATGTGTTGATTGAGCCACTGCATGAGTAGACCTATAAGCCATCTGAGCACACTTTATGAACGTATTAAGGCCATGAGGGCTTAAACATTTTGAAAAGATTAATTTAGTACCATGGAACACATTTTGATACAGTTGTATGCAAAAGTTTGGGTGCTTAGAAAATCAACAAAACATGTTATTTGACTGGAGGTGTTCAAATTCTGCATATGACTATATGCTGCCAGTGATTATTTAGCACAAGCAGAAAAGGCTCCAAGCAAATCAATATTACTTTACAGTCCAGTTCTGTATTCAAGTGAATGAATGAGCAAGAGAGAGAGAGAGACAGGAGAGAGGAAAGAGAGATTGCATCTCCTTACCTTTATCCGTACTATTAATACAGCACTGAGTAGAGCAGATCCTATTAGACTTTCATACTCATTTCACTCATAAATCCATGCCTGAGTTTCCAAATGTCTATTTGGCAGAAGAAACAACATTAACAAGCTCTCTTGTGGCAGGGCAGAGCCTCACACATATTTCCTCCCTGAGAACTACACACCCAACTTGCAGCATAATGCTCCCCCAAGCTATCCCTCTAATCTCATTATGTTAACTAAAGCATGTCATGGTGAGATTTTACTCTTCTGTTCTTCTGCGTACAGAAGACTATTTATAGGTGAGAGGCAATGCACACACAGAAAAGAAATGTTTGAAAGACAGGCGTCTTGTGTTCTTACAAGAGATTTTGATGACACTTTAAAGCAAAGGTTAAGGCTGGTGAACAGGGAAAGGGGGACATTCCCACTGGACACTATTTTGTCTAGGAATACATTTCCCAGCGTAATAATGGGGATTTTACTTCATTATATACCTGAATATTCATTATATACCTGAATATCAAAACTAAGTAATAATACAGATTGTGGTTGTTATTTGTTAACAACAACAACAATAATAATAATATTAATAATAATAATAAGGGATGCACAGTGTCACATTTGAAATTTATTTTATTTTAATAAAAGCTATGTTCTGTGCTAATAAAACATACCAAGCATATTGTTGGATAATACACACACACACACACACACACACACACACATATATATATATATATATATATATATATATATAATATATATATATATATATAGATATAGATATAGATATATATAGATAGATATACATATGCTCAACATATATATGAGGTATATACATGTTTGTATGCAGATGCTTGACCAAATTCTGTTTTTTACTATACATATTTTTTTTACTGTTCCACAATTAGTAATAACAACCATATTTAACAAGTGATGTGTAAATGTAAAATATTTTTAAAACAGAACTGAACAATATGCCTGTGGTGCGTACACAAAAGTACGCAGCAGCTTCTCTGACTGGAAAAAAACTTTGATAAATGTTGTTTGTCTCCTTGTCACTCAGCAGCGCGCGTGCTCGTCATATATTGCTTCATGGTATCGATAACCCCATAACTGAATAGTATCAGCATCAGTGCCGAAACTGTAATAATAATAATAGTAACTGTTTATCATCCTAATTACAATCGTGAATTGTTTGTAAATATTTTAAAAAAATATATATTACTAATAATAAGATGTCATCATAATTACTATTATGAATTCTGTTACAATATTTGATTTTTAAAAAAAATATTTATTTAATTCCCTGTTCTTTTATTTTCTGTTCTGCTATGCTTGATTTTTATTTGTTCCTTCTTTGTAAAATACTTTGAATTGAATTCCATTGTAATATAGAACAGTACCTAGGTCCAGATTTATTCACAAGCAATGACAATTGGGATTATTTACACCACAGGTACGATGCTAAGGCCTTAATGCATTACCGAGCATTTATCATAATATTATAGTCAGGATTTCTGGAGTAATTCCTGGTTTGTGCACCTTCCCAGGAGACAGACACTGAAATCCAATGAAAACATCCATATATCCCATAGTGGGTGACTTCCACACACATTGATGTGCAGAACATCAATGGGCCAGTGGAGGAGGATGTGTGTGCATGTATATGAGGCCGTGCTAATATTCGTTGACTTTGTAAACTGAGAGCTGTCCGTGTGGTGTGTTTTACACGGCAAATGAGGTAAAAGCCCTTTTATATGAGGACTGGCACGGATGTGATCCAACATCCATCTGGATTATATCAAGGCAATCGTCCACTTCCACACGACACTCAGCAAGTGGTCTGACTCCAGTTACCCTTCGACGATAAAACGGGCAGGTAGAGCACAGAGAGCACACCCACACGCAAGCTTTGGAATAGGCCAGATCTACTGCAGTGACCCCTGTCTCAAATACACATACACTCTCTCTTTCTCATTTACCTCTTTTGTTCTATTTAGGGCTGTTTTTATATTGAAATTTGAAAGAGTGCAATTTTCAAATAGCAAGAGGTGCAGTTTTATAATCTGTATAAGCAATGCTGTTTTAAGGTTTAAGCTCATTTTACCTAAAAACACTGAGCTTGTGCTCTGTCTGTAAATGACTTAGACTAATCAAAAGCAGTCAAAAACTGGCAGTAACTGGCAGCGTTCAAGCCTGAAGCAGAAAAAGTGTTTATTTTGGCCTTCTTGGCCAAAAATAACAGGCCTGTGACCACTTGTGTAAAACAATCTTAAGTATTTCTATTACCATAAGTATTTCTTAGTATTCTATTGGCAACATTTTTTTTATTATACAAGTTGTGGGTGCACAGTTGAACCCGCAGCAGGAGCACTTTAAAGTAGCTGAATTCACAAATTAAAAGGGGTGTCTGGATACTTTTGGACATATAGTGTATGTTCGAGGCTAAACTACTGAAACGTACAGCTGTAGTAACAGTAGACTAGCAGACAATTGAAAACACCAGTAATAGATCTGAAATTGTAATCGTGTTAAAGATGAGGTTGAACACAAAGAGAGATGGAAAAGCCATCGTGTTTTTTGTTTGTTTGTTTGTTTGTTTGTTTGTTTTGAGACATTGTGCTTGTGCTCTGACCTATTTTTCTTTTAGTGTGACTTTAGACTTCCCTATCCACCAATGCTTAGATCTTCATACTATAAATATCCATTTCCTATCGCTTTAGGCCCTATAGGCCGTGTTTCACTGCACATTCTATGTTAAGATCCACCGGTGACCAAGCTCTGAAACTCCCTGAAAGCTTTGAACACTTCGTTGATGTCTTCCAGATGTTTCACCCGAGGTCGTCGGCAGGGCCGGTAATGTAATCATGAGCCGTAGTGTTTGTCCTGCAGGAGAAATCAGAAATCTCCACCAATCCTCAGTCTTCAAGCGACTGGGAGTTTGGCAGATGGAGAAACTCCATTGCCTGTTTCACAACTTCCTTTACGTTTTGACATTTTTGTGGTTTGTGGTGTTGTCCCCCCACCCATATTCACACAAGCCACACCCCCTCATATGAAACTGGCTAATACTCGAAAAGCATAAAAAATGTATTCGAAAAAAGGCAGAAATAAACATACCAAAAAAAGGCACAAACATACCAAAAAGGGTACATACCAGACAAAAGGCATAAAGAAATGTGCCAGAAAGAGGTATAAATAATTGCATCTTAGATTCTCTCTTATGAACACAAAAACACCCAGGAATTTAGGTCTGGCTTGTATTTGAAACATCCTGTTAGAATGCCAGAGGTATGTGGCTACAAGTCTTATAACGGGAATGTTCTTTAAATTAGAAAAGCTAAATAAAAAAGATTCAACTGTTGTGGGTGAAGTCAATGCAAATGTATGCTCTGTAGTTTTTGTCCTTTCAGGTTTACATGTGTATTTGTGTTCAGAACCCAAAAAGTGCATCTGCTGTGTGCTGCTATCACTGGAAGCTGGAAGATCAGTCAGACATTCTGCACAGAGATGGATCAAGGTCTTGCAAGTCCACTGGGCCCAAGAGTCTTTGGAGGCCCACCACACTGAAACAATAATGCATATAAAAAAGCAGCAGCAGCAGCAGCAGCAACAACAACAACAACAACAACAACAACAACAACAACAACAACAACAACAACAACAACAATAACAATAATAATAGCCGACGGCCTACCGAGAATAATCAGTATTTCATGTTTATGTCTATTTTAGCAACACTGGAAATTTGTTTACCTTCCTTGTTTTGAAAATAAATCAAATTAACCACATTAATGTGCATTTTGCTATTGTGTCTACATTGTAGGAGTTTTTGTGTAATGTCATGATTTCTTCTCTTTCTTTCAAGCCAAATCAAGCTGTGATGCAAAAACAGAAGTAGTCCTGTATACATGGCAAGTTTAATGTGATATCCCACAAGTCAATAACAATTGAAACAGGAATATTACCTGTAAATGTAACATTCTTTCTTTCTTTCTTTATTTATTTGTTTATTCACTTGTACATAATCAAGGGCTCCTTGTTTATCTAATGTTAACGCAGTAGACTGTCCCAAGTATTTGACCCATCTCGAGCCATGTGGTCTAAGCACCCCCCGAGGCCCCTGGCAGTCGGAGGCAGCTGGGCTCTGGCCTTAGTTTCTTGATCTGTAATCTGTCCCTGATTCTGAATGTTTATGTATTATCCTTCCTGAATGTATTAGTCGAGGCTTTGATGGTTTTAACTGTCTTATGAGTGGCCACAGTCAACAGGTTACACATTACAGTGTTTTAGAAAGCTGAATGAAGAGCAAACAAAACATGCAGCATAGTGTTTTTGTCTCTTCTGTGTTTTCAATGTACCTCAGAGTTTTCATTATAAAGGAACAGAGCACAAGAGACTGATGATAAATCTCTGAACATACATTGGAGTCCAAAAGTCTGAGACCACTAGTGAAAATTCTGCTATTTTGCATTCGTTTTTAATCTGTAACAACATTTTTCATTATAAATTATATTGGTTGCATAACAATTAAAGTCAAAAGTGCAATTTTTAAAACATTTACATGGATTTTAGAATTTCTTTTTGCTTTAATGACAACACACACTCGAGCTGGCATAAACTCCACAAGTTTGTGCAGAAACCACTGATCAGTAGATCAAATCCCCCTGAGAGATGAACAAGAGCTTCAGTGGAAGAGATAAGACTTTAAAAAATGTAACCTTAACAAAGGCCTTAACACAGTTAATGTCTCAAATTTGCTTAAATAGTTACCAAGAAATAGTTTCAAATCTTTTCTTTGTTTTCATTTTTTCAAAATTAAAAACAAACAAACAAACAAAAATCTGCTGTTTATTTCAAGGTTTAAATACAAATAATCAAAGATTTTCAATGTGGTCTCAAACTTTTAGAGACCACAGAATATAAAATGAAAAAAAAAAAGAACTGTAAGTATAAACCATCTTGAAAAGGATGGTTTTTCAAGGGTTCTATAATAAAGGGAATGGTTCTAATTAGAACCATGATTTCTTTATAGAACTATTCCATGTTTAAATGGTTCTCAAAAAAGAACCAAAAAGGGTTTTGCTATTATTATGCAATCAAACTTGTAACAATAGAAGAGCCCGTTTTGGAGCGTATAGAGCCATTTTCAACAAGGTTCTATAGAGAACCATATACAACACATTCTCCATCAGTCTGAACATTTCACCATGTAAAGAACCATTAAAGCATGAAATGTTTCTATATAGATCTCACGGTTCTAAATGGAACCATTGCCTTTACTAAACAGCCAACTTTTTAACAGTGCATAAGCCAATACAAGCAAAGGGGGCAGGTCTTGACGGAATAGGGGTGGAGAAAAGCAAGGGGGCGTTTCTGTCACAATACGGGTGGAGTTGAAAAAAGTAGCGCGGATTAGTGTCGCGCGACAAACGGAGCAGCAGCAGCAGGAGCAGCGGTGGAGGAGGCGGCTGTTTTCACGAAGTTTCTACAGTTCCTGTAGCGACTCTTGACTTTTGTGAGGAGTAACTTACTGAAGTGTAAACTCGAACAGCTCAGAAGGCTGAAAGGCGCTGTTGTTAGTCGTGTGGACCGTTTCTCGGTCAGAAACAGGCCTGAGGACGGCATGGTGAGAGAAACAGCCGAACTGCAGCTTTTCTCCTGAGACGGTGTGAGCTCTCCTCTACCGCGATGAAAGGTGGGCAAGGTGGGCTGCTCTACTAAAGTACAAGGAAATAAGTTTTTGATATGTTTTTCTATATGTGTGCCTCTTGTGCAAGCGTGTGTGTGTGTAGGTGTATGTGTGTGTGTGTGTGTGTGTAACATCTGGTTGAAATTAATTGTGCGTAATAATGAGAGTGCGTTGTGAAATGATAAGGCCGTTAGAACGTGTGTGGACTGCAGGCACGCGAGAACGACTGAAGTTGTAGAACTGAGATGGATCCAGCGCCAACAGAGAATAGAGATGAGTTTGAGTGGTCAGATGTCATTAATATGATGTATGTTGAAAACAGTCAAAAGTTTGGACACACCCACACACTTAGAAACACAGTTCTTCAAGGGTTCTTTTGTAAAGCTAGTTCTGTTTAGAACCATGAGTTGCGTATAGATTGCATAGTTTGCATGGTGAAATGGTTCTTGAGATTGGTAGAGAATGTGTTGTGTACAGTGCTATACAGAACCTTTTTGAAAATGGTTCTATATAACATCAAAAGGGTTCTGCTTTTATTACAAGCTTGACATCGTAACAATAGAAGAAACTTTTTTAGTGCTATATAGAACTATTTTCAAAAAAGTTCTATATAGAACTGTATACAACACATTCTCTACCAATCTCAAGAACCATTTTACCATGCAAAGAACCATTTAAGCATGAAATGGTTCTATACACAACTCATGATTCTAAACAGAACTACTGCCTTTACTAGAGAAGCCTTGAAGAACCATGTTTTTAAGTATGTGGTCATAAGCGGCTTTTCCTTTTTATTTTACCATTTTCCATGTTTTAGAACAGTAGTGAATACACAGACACTATGAAATAAACTATAAAATAACAACACAGAATTATGCAGGTTGTGCAGTCAGCAAAAAAAGTGTTAAAATACATCAGAATTTCTTCTATTTTAGCTTCTTTTAGAAATTAGCCCCTCTGTGCTGAGACCTTGTTGTTACTGAAAAACACTGGTTGGTGGCAAAATGTTTAGATGAAGGATATTTTTTTTTTCCAAAATGCATTGAATCCCACTTTCATGAGTATTCTTTGATATTTGTTGTTAAGAGTGGGTGAAAGAATTAAAACCACTATTATTAGATAAAAGAAAATGTGTTCTTTGATAAAGTGCATTGCATGTCGACTATTACGCTTTTCTAACCTGTTATGAATGGACTTACAGCATTTTGGAACTGAAAACGTTTTGAATTACAATTTAAAAAATGGTTTGGAAATAATGTCATTCATTGACATCAACTTCACCATTTTTATTTGTGTTTGAAACAAATTTCATTTGCATTTACAGATAAGCCTTCAGGTCAAAAGGTCTTTAAGGTCATGAAAAATGTATATTTAGTTAGGTGTGTCCAGATTTTTCATTGGTAGTGTAGATCCTAATGATGCCCCCCCTTTCCCTCTCTCTGTCTCAGACGAGTTTGCCGAGGAGGAAGACATCCAGTCGTTTGGATATAAGAGGTTTGGTAAGCACTCATTCCCTTTAAATACAGGTTTTATTGACTAAGATATAAACGAATGACTGGTTCTTCTACAGCTGTGCTTCAGAACTCTGGGAAAAAGAGGGTGCATCACCAGGTCACATATAGCCACATCAGGCATCTCTGTAAATCTGCTTTGGATGCTTTTGAACCCTATATAACACAAGACTTACAACACAGTACAAACAAGCATTACAGTGCATCCGACTGTTAGGATTCTCTTTGTGTGGTCTCACTTTGTAAACATGTTTTCTATTCTTTTTTGTATGTTCGGTCATTAGCCTACCTCTTAAAAATGACCATTTTTCACCATTATTCTGAATGAGCACGACTTTAGAATTCATAGCTGCATTGTCATTTGAAAAAGTCTGAAATAGAAGTTTACATGAATGACAGAAAACCACATTGCTTGTTTTGATAATGTCTGGGTGTGTCATGGTTGAATCTGCAACTGGTTAAATCTGGTACTCTAAACAGTGATGTAACATTTTTTATGTTGCTTTTGATCAGTGATGTAACTGGGATCTTGTGGGCTCCAGTGCAAAAAAGATCAGTATACACTGGTAGTAACTCATGAGAAACCCTGTTTACAGTACTTTACAGAACGTAAAACAGAAATGATGCGTTTATTGATGTGCTATATACATGGGAAAGTAAAATCAGATCTCATCTGGTCACACTGGGGATGCAGTTTATTGAAAGGTGTAAATGAAATATATATATATATACAAAGCATTATGACCACTCTCAGATGAAGGGAATAACATATTTCCAGAGGCACATGTCAAGGCCTGGGATATATTAGACAGTAGGTTTCTCTTAGTTAGAACATGGGTTCTCGTAGTCGAGGTGTTGGATGTGAAAGAAATGGGCAGACGTGAAGAGCTGAGCGACTTTGACAAAAGCCAGATTGTGGCCAGACGACTGTATGGAAGCATCTCCGAAGCAGCAAGTACTGTGGGGTGCTCTTGGCTAGCAATGGTGAGTATGTACTGACAGTCATCTGGCGACAGGGTGTTGGGAACCCAAGCCTTATTGTTGCACGAGAGCAACGAGAGCTCTCAAATCTCGTCTGCACTAACAGAAGGGCTACTGTGGCACAAGAGTGCCCATGCTAACCTCTGTCCACCACCAAAAATGCTAAAAATGGACACATTAGCATCGGGACTAGACCTTGGACCCATAGAAGAAGGTCACTTGGTTGATGAATCCAGTGTTCTTTTACATGCATCCTGGCGTACTGCACACATTGTTCGGGAATGGTTTGAGGAACATGACGAAGAGGACAACTGCTGCACAAATTTAGGTGGAATGGGAATTTTGAATAAGAAACCAAATTTCCACACACTTGTGCCTTTGACCTTTACACATTGAGGAAATTGGAGAAATATTACAGTCCTTAAAGCTTTAGTACCAGCTGGTCCCGACCCCGAGACCACAGACTTGTCTGATGCAGCTGACCGAGTCAGGTGGCTTTTCAGGTGGTACAAGATGCATGTTAGGCAAAGGCTAACCTCAAAAACAAAGTGGATTACAATAGACTAGACAGCTGGAGGTGATCAAGGGTCGGCTGTGTTTTCATTTTCATTTGAAGCATGACTCTGTGGTATATGGGTATAACAGTTATGATGAAACTTTCATTTTACAATTAGATTTGATTTGTATGTAACTTGCATGAATAATGGCCAGTATATTAAAAATACTCCTAGGCAATTTCGACACATGAGTCTGTAGATTTTATCCTTAAACTTTATAAACAAAAGATAAAATTTTTCTAAAAGATCTTTTTCGCATCATTTTAAACATTCACAACCAATGAATCAGTTAACGCTCTCATTTTCATCCATGCCTGGTCAACAAATTGTCCCCTTTCAATTTTTAGCTATAGCAGTGCTACTATTAGTTTCAACAGGAGCTAAATATTCAGTTGACATTTTCACTGTGCTGTCAGGTTTTTTACGTGGAAAACGTCTTTGGAAAGATCTTTGTTTTTACTTTTCATTTCGGAATGGAGCCTCAGCGGCTTTGTAAAAATGGCTGTTCACCACAAGGAGTAAAAAAAAAAGAAAAGCACCACCGCACCTTGATTAGTGTTGCTACACCTGAGAAGCTTTCATGCCAAGCAATTATTGAGTTTTAGTGACAAGGGTAGAACAACCCCCTCCTAAAACCTTTACTATTTTATTATTTATTTGGAGAAATTCATCAAACATTTCATTCCATTATGCATTAGAAATCTTCTTGAAACATCTTGAAAGCCTAGGACTGCTAAAAAGATAAAGATCATCAAATACTGATCCATGTAGATAACATTGAAATGAAACAGTCGCATTATTCCTGTTCTGCGATGTAGGTAAATGCGTGATTATTTGCATTTTACGGATAACGTTTAGTGTGTGTGCCCCATTGGGTATTACTTACTAGGGTCAAATACTTTCAGTATGACCAAAGCTAGCATGTAATTAGTGATTAGTCTGTCTTTGTTTTTGCTCTAAATCTCACTGGGATTTGTGCTCTCATTGTGAGTTTAATCCATTCTCTAAATTCAGCAAGTTAGCAATAACAAAGGAAGACTTTATTAGCTAACAAGACTTGCCAATTAGTTAGCTAACTTAGCCACAATCTTTGAATTTTTGACAGGTTTAAATGTAATGCTTCTATGCTGTGTAATACAGATCCTACACCTCTCATCATGTGTCTTTGGATTAGGAAAAGGCTCAAATCTCACACCGTTCTCCAAACTCTTGGGATGTCAGGTATCGATTCTCAGTAGCCCAAACACAGCACTGCAGCATAAAGTTCTGCAAGCTTGTTAGAGGTGTCTGGGCCAAGTTAGAGTTGCCAAGCTATGATTGACAATTGAACAGTCGCTGTTTAGTGAAAGACCAGTGCCCCGGGTAGAATTCAGACAGAAGCTTGCCATTTCGAGGATAAAGATGGGTCATGTAACACACTGTTCATCTATTTTTATCTTTTGTTGTAGACACAGTAACACCAAAATATTGTCCTAGTTTAATTTTAGGAACTCCCCATTTAGATATTGAGGCTTTCAGGGGTCCAAAGGTTTAATTAGTCCGTGATTTCCATACGACACCAAGCGAAGTAAAATCACTATAACATACAACCTCGAGTGGTTTACTGCTTTTGAAACATGAAAGATGCACTTGCCTTCAAACTGAAATAAATTGTGCAATTGAAAATGCACACTGATAAAACAGATCTTACTTCATGAGTGAAGCATGCCTTCAGTCTAGGGCTGGACAACATTACAATATGTATCATTAGTGTGATAAATTATATTACAATACAATTCACAATCAAGTATAGAAAACTGACCAACTGCCTGTTTCATTATAAAAAGTGCAACATTAGTCCCGTTTACCTGTATTTAGTGCAACACAAATTTTTATCCAAATATTGGATAAAAATCAACACAACAGTGTAGGTTAAAAGACTACCAAATGAGATAAAAAATATAAAAACAGGTTAACACAAGATTTGTGTCACGCGTCCGCGACGTTCTCATAGAAACACGGACTCCATCTCCCAGACTCCTCTGGGAGATCACATGACTGAGATACTTCCCTCAGAACCGGAGTACGGCTCGGACTCCATTACCCAGAATGCTCCGGGGAATCACATGACTTCTGACTCTCTATCGCACTCCTATCAGCGCTCTCAATCACCTGAATACTAATGTGTATCACCTGTGTGTGCAGTCATGACTCATAGAGTTTAGTTTATAAGCCTGGGCTTTAGTTATGTCTAGTTGTGAAGTATTGTTTGTCTGTAAACTACTGAGCGTTCATCATTACTGTTTGTATCCTGTTTTTTGACCGTTTGCTTCGTTTTTTTGACTCTGCCTTTTTGCTCTATCCCTTTGTACTTTTGCTGGACAGTGTTTTGATTTGTGTTTGGACCTTTTGCCTGCCTCTACGACTACGCCTTTTGCCTTACCCTTTTGTGTTTGTTTGTCTGGTGTTATGCTCATCATAACATTTCTGCTGTGTTTGCTGCATTTGACCCATGCCTGTTATTTGACTATGTTTTTGGATTGTGATTCTGAAAGTAAACCTGCAACCTTTTTATCCGCGAGCGTCTGGTTTCTGTTGATTCGTCACAATTTGCCTATGAATTCATATAAACATTCCATAATATGCTACCCATTTTGTAATTTCTGTAATTATTTATATTTAATACTAGCCTCAAAATGTGCCACACAAGGACTCATTTTAGTAAGGTGAACACATCATTAATGTTCACTTGTGATCGTCATATATCAGGAAAACCCTTTGCCACAAGTTTTGACATACATGCATATAGACTTTAACTTTTTTCAAAAAAAACACTTGCCTGAAGAAAACATTCACACCAAGCAGCTCAAATTCACAAGTGATGAATCACCTTGCTCGTTGTCCGTAATGCTTGAGGCCTGTGTATTATATCCTTTTCATTTCAGATGTCCTGGGGTTTAGTCTTTTTTCAGTGTTCAGTGACTAATGGTTAATTGTATGTGTGTGTTGGAGCATGAGGGGCTCTAAACTGATGCTGGTTCATGATGCTGATTTTGGCTGTTGTACATTCTCTTGCTGTAAAGCATTATGGCCTGTCGGGTCAACCAAGGACAGAAAGAGAGAGTACAAGGCTGATGAAGAAAACACAAGAGAAAGGTGAAGAAAGGATGAAGACAAAGGGGATGAAAGATAGAGATATGGTTGTTTGTTAATTAAACATTCTCTTTCTCTTCTCTATCATCTCTCTATCATAGAGAAATGTCTTAGATTGTCTCATATGGACACAAAAACACACAGGAATTTGAGTCTGGCTTGTATTTGAAACATCCTGTAAGGATGCCAGAGGTATGTGGCTACAGGTCCAATAACTGGAGTGTTCTTTAAATTAGCTGCTTTCAGGTTTCCGTATGTGTTTGTGCTCTGGCCTGTAAAGCACATCTGCTGTGTCCTGTTGTCACTGGCAGCAGGCAGATTGGTTACCCAGTTTTCTCCCCATTTTAGTCTTGGCCAATTCCACCTACAAGGTAAATCTGGAAGGTTGAAGGAGAGCTTGGATTTCTCTTGGTTTTGTAACTGTTTATAGTTTTCCCCTCCACTAAACAAGAATAAAAGATGGGATGGGACAAAGGGATTTCATAAGAATGAAAAAGAAATTGGGCTATGTCTTTTTTTTTTTTTTTTTTTCAAGAATGAGAACAGAAGGTGAAATATTAATGAAAACCACAAAGCACATCTTGAGCCAACATCAACTTCAGGCTTCCGTACACTCACACGTACACATAGTCATGCTGACTGACAGGCCAGACCACCCACTTAGAACTGGCCAGTAGTCAGGCAATATTACTTTCATCATGATGTTGATCATAGTTATAAAGCAAGTTCAGGGAAATCACACTGTGCTCTGTGATCATTGGTAAAAGTGCAGTGTTCGTTACTGTGTATGAGAAGAAAAATTCTGCTTGAATGACAACCTCCAGACTGTAAAACAAGGTTTTTAGCTGTGCAAATCTGCTACGTTTTGCCATGAGCTGGAAATTTAAACACACCTGTTATTGTCTTTGTCTTGTATGTATCATTATTGTCGGCTATAATTGAGAAAAGGCCAGTAAGTCAAGCATCCAGTTAGTTTGAACTGTGTGCAGTACAGCAAAGGCTCGCCAAATGTAAACTGTGTAAGACTACACTAACATGTGCTTCTAGAGTTAAAGCCTGCAACTGTTGTTGACAATACAAGTTAAATATTGTCCACATGAATCATCCTTCCTGTCTGGTCAGTGTGGCACATGTAGCAATATACACAAACACATTTCTAGCATATTTTCGAATTTTCAGAAGCCATCGTGACTGAGACCATAACCATCAAAACATCAGCTACTCTTTTCTGTGTGGACATTTTAAGATGAAAGGGCCAAAATTACTCTATAAAATCTTGTTATATTAATGTATATTAAAGTTATTTGTCTTACTCCTGTAAATTTAACATACTGGAGGTTTTGTTAGTATCGGCAACTTAACCTTTCTTATAACCTGTGTTTTACTGATTTTGTGTGTGTTGCAAAGGTCTTTTTGCTGATGTGGGAGTGATAAAACAATGGTTGCAGTTTTTAGCTGATGCGTTGAAATGAGAGGCCTTCATTTTCAACCCAAGTGTTTTGTTTCACTTTTCCTTCTCACCACATTGCATTCAAGTACCAGTTAGCCCGGATTTCTTTGAATTTAATTTTTTCATACAAAGCTCACTGGATGATCAAATTTGGTTAAACAAAGTCTAAAAGCACTAATAATTATTAATTGCTAAGGATGAAGTGATTTAAATAAAGTATTGTACAACTGAAAAGATTAGTGTCAAAACAGTGTATTGAACTTTAAAACTGTATTACCAATGCGTCAGTCGGTCTATTCCAGCAACCTCTCATTTCGTCTTTTGCTGAAACCACCTATGCCCCATATGCCCAAGGATTGGTTTCTGCAGTAGGCTTAAGCCTAGTGCTGGACTACACTGTGTTTGAATAAAGATTCTCCATTGAAAGAAAAATGTAGTACAGAACCAGGTTTAATTCTTCTCTGGAAAGTCTACTGTAAAGGTATTAATGGGCTGTTTATCCTCAGTAACAGCCTCTACTCTTCTAGGAAGGCTTAACACTAGATGTTGGAACATTTCTGTGATGATTTGATTGCTTTCAGTCATAAGACCATTCGTGAGTGTGAGGTAATGATGGTGGCTGATTAGTTCTGGATCACAAATGCCACTCCAGCTCCTCCCAAAAGTACTGGATGATGTTTCATCACCGCAAAGTATGCTGGTCTACTGCTTCATGGTCGCATGTTTCGGGGTTTTATACCCATACAGATGCCTATATATATATTATACCTAACAGATGCTTGGCATTAGATATTGTGACCTTAGGCTCATGTGCAACTATACAGACCGTCTCATTCTGTCGACACTGCTCTTGTGTAAAGATTGAGCAGACTGTTCGCTACAGTACATAGATGTGTATGTGGTGTAGTCATTGGTGAGTACTGAGCTGAATTCTGTTTAATTTTGTGGGATACTCTCTCATATACAGAGTTTACAGTCTTGTGAGCTGAATTCAAACCCTTGTTTTGGTTTCTGACCAAAATTCCCTTTGTGATTCAATCAAACAGTAGAATTTACTTTATGTTGCAACTCCTCCTCATGGAATATAACAGAAAGCCTCTAATCAGCACCCTTCCCTCCCCCCGCCCACCTTTTAAAGTCAGTGTGCATCTGAAATAATAGTGCGTTTTCTTTCGTACCGTAACACATTTCCAAGTACAGCACAGTATCACAGAGGGTCTCTGAGCTATCTGAGCATTTTCTCTCTGTGATAGGTGGGTGTGGTGGTGAAACATGATATTATTGGTTAATATAATTTTTCCCTGCCCGCTGGCGCACAGTGATGAAATCAAAACTTAGATGGTGATTCATTATTTTGATTATAGAAAATAAGAATGTTGTCTTTAAATATGATGAATCTTACCCAAAGACCAGGCACATGACCTAACAAGATAAAAAAGGTCCATTTTGATTTCAGGTTGGCGCATCTCATTTGAAGGGGTTGCTTCTCAATTTATCTACTCTCTTAAAACAAATGTGTTAAACACATTCTGTCTCTTACTAGACACATCAATGTGTTCAGTTGTTACTTTTAACAAAAATGTGATTAAATATTTCAATACCCAGTTATGGATTAATGCATTTTGGGTTACTTTGAACACAAAATGTGTTAAATCAGAAAACAGTATGACACAAAAAGTGTTAAAATGGGGAGCACAAGTTAGTGTATTGTTATTTAACACATCACTTTTTAGAGGGTACATTGCAGATACTAAACTGAAAATCCCTTAAATGTTCTGCGTGCATTTTTTCTACAGTGTTTCTGTTCTCATTGTCTGTCTCTCTGCAGGTATTCAAGAAGGAGCTCAGTGTACCAAATGTAAGAGTGAGTGGGGTCTGAAGGCTGCTATTTGCTTGCTGTATGTTCTCTGTATCCTGCTTACCATCGCTGTAGCCATACTGGGTTACAAAGGTACACACACACACAAACACACACACGCACTCATTTTCTCTTTCTCATTAACCCTTTAAACCCTATTGGGTCTGTAGTCAGTTCCTCATCCTCACAACTACCTTACATATTAGTTTTATATAAGTTAGGGATGTAAATATCCACCAACAAATAAAAAATGATTTCACTAATGATATTGGTTAAAAAAGTGTTTGTTTATTTTATTTCCAGTTTCTATTTAAATAAGCAGGGTTATCTTTCAGGTTTAGGAATGTTTTTGAAGTGAACCTGTGAGAGCGCAATGTGGCAATTAGCACAACTACAGTGATGTAGTATATTGTCCATGTCCTTGTGTGTGATACAATTGTGATGTGAGAAAATTACAAAATTATAGAGTGCAAAATTTAAAAGAAAGAATGTGGTGCACAGATAATTTGAACTTGGGCTAGTAATAAACGATCCATTTAACTCAAACAACTTTAGAATATAGAACTTTCAGTAGCCCCTCATTTTATATTCCAGTCATCAGCTTTTTAGTTCTAACTGTAGTTATTAGTCCAAACTAGATTGTTATGTATGGTATGTTTAATATGGTTTTGGGCTGTATACTACATAGTGATAATTTAATTTGAACATTTTGATTTTGCTCAGATTGCTTCTTTTTAGACCTGTCAGTAAATGATCAGTTGTTGACTAATGACAGTCAGTTATCAGTCTAAATTTGCATCCCTAATAGTAATAATTGAACAATTGTATAGTACTTACTGAATAATAAGCCTAGGATTCAAGGAGTTAAGTCTCTTGTGTAAGTCTAAACTCTGGTACAGTTTCATCAGTGACCTCAGGTGGTTTGGCTCGTGTCAGCCGTGTGTGTGTGTGTTCTTGCTTCATTGGTGTGTTTATATTAATTGGATATCAAGTGCATGTTCCATTTGTTTGAGTGTGAATGAGGTCATGTTAGTGTGTGTGGATTTTGCTCAGAGTTTGTGTGGGGTCCAATTCCTGCCAAGAATGACTACTCACTGCTGTTTGATCACCATGGATACTGCTGTGGGTTTGTTTGTATTGTAGTGACTGCAACTGCAGCAGTGTGTGTGTGTGCGCATGCGCCCACTTACATGCACTTTACAATTACGTCCAAGAGTGATTCCACAAGAACATGGCACATGTTAGTAATCTGAGCAGTCATTGCTCTTCTCTTCTCTTCTCTTCTCTTCTCTTCTCTTCTCTTCTCTTCTCTTCTCTTCTCTTCTCTTCTCTTCCCTTCCCTTCCCTTCCCTTCCCTTCCCTTCCCTTCCCTTCCCTTGTTCTCCTATGTTGGGAAATTCTCTTTATGTTGGGAAATTTTGTTGTCTTCTTTTCTCTTTGATGTGAAATTCTCTTCCTTTCTCTTGGTTAGGAAATTCTCTTGTCTCTTTATGTTTGGAAATTCACTTCTATTCTGTTGTCTGCTTTTCTTCTTTATATTGGGAATTCTCTCCTGTTTTCTTCTTCATGTTGGGAAATTCTCTTGTAATCTTTTCTGTTCTGTGTGTTCTGGAAAACTGTGAGAATTGGGAAGATTCTAGTAGTTTCTAGACATTTCCATATGCTTCAGTGATTATATAGTATCCTTTATTGTTTGTGAGTGATTGAGAGAGATTATACTTATAGTTGAATCAACGATCAAAGCCACTCTTCAGGACTGATCCAACTCACCTCTTTCTGTCTCTTATTCTCTGGACTTTGTCAACATTCACTTCTCTGGGCAGTTTTAATTTTAATCACGAGTACGTAAGCAGTGTCCTTACCAATCACAAGGCTGTTGTGGGCTGTTCTGCCAACACATCTTTAACAAAACTGCTCTCCTGCAGTTTCCTTCTCTCTGTTCAAGTCGAGAAAACTAACAACAAACAAAAACTAATCTAGGAAGCCTGAAGAAGTCCTTTCATCCGTTAGTTCAGTCAATCTGCCAGTAAAGCGACTAAGAAGAACTTTATCTTTTTTAAGATGTTGCCAGATAAAAGCTGGTTAACACCACAACACCACCTGTAGGCCTGTTTCACTCATTTTTCAATGCTTTTGTGTTTAGTTGAGCAGGCTGGGAGCTGTGGACTGAGGGCTGTCAATAATGCACGCATATCAGAATGTAAAGACAGCACCCAGACAGTTCTCAGATGGATAATAATAATAATAATAATAATAATGATAATGAATAATGAATAATAATATCTTTATTTATAGAGCACTTTTCATACAGGTGGCAGCTCAAGGTGCTTTACAGACAGGTGATAGTGTTTTACAGCAACAGACAAGTCAATGACAGACCAAGTTAAACACATACCAAAGAGAGGTAGATTTTTAATTCAACACTAAGTTAAAGAGATAGCCAGTGCATTTCTTTCAAAACAGGAGTGATATGATCTCTCATTTTTGTTTTGTTAGGATCTGTGCTGCTGCATTTTAAGTTGTAGAGGATGTATTGTTTTATGATCCCTCCCGCCTAGTAAGAAGAGAATTACAGTAATTAATTCTGCTTGTATCAAATGCATTAACAAGTCCCACTGCATCACTACAGGCCGAACTCTATGAATATTCCTCAAATGATAAAAAGCTACTTTTCTGACTGCATTTACTTGCGGGTTAAAACAGAGCTCAGAATCTAAGACTACACCCAGGTTGCAGACTTAAGGTTTGGTATACGAAGCTAAAGAACCGAGAGAAATATCTGACACACAGCCGGTCAGTTTGTCTACAGAGTCTTGATCATTAGAAGGAATCAAAATGAATAATTGTCATCAGTGTCATCAGCATAGCTATGAAAAAAAATTTTATGTTTCCTAATGGCATCACCTAGAGGTAACATGTACAAAGAGAAGAGCGAGTGCCTTTAAAGTGAACCCTGTGGAACTCCACAAAACAATTATAAACCTCTTTGACGAATGATTTCTCAGTGAGACCAGAAATTGTCTGTGCATTAAATGTGAGTTAACTGTATCTGCCTACCCAATATTCAAGGTGGTGTATTAGAATATTCGATTTCATAAGTGATTTTAACCCATGTTTATTATATTTCTGTCTTTTTTCATTCAAACATTGCGGTTTGAATTCTTTGGAGGTGTTGTCCAGAAAAATCCTCATTCTGTAATTCAGTAATTCGGATTTGTCAGACTCCCTGAAATGTTCCAGAGGAAATGAAGGGGTCTGTAGTCTGCAGTGGTGTGAAAACAACACCCACACTCTACTGAGCAAAGAAAAAACAGCAAAACAGAGTAAAGAATCTGTGACTGGTGGCTTTGGTACTTGAGTTTAATGGAAAATCTTCTAAAAAACAAAGTAACTGTTCACATTTCATGACTTGAGAGCCAAACATATGAGAAAAGTTATCTCTCCTAGGAGTAATAAAACTGTGCACTGTAACAAAGACCGTAAATTACATAACTAGAAACTAGCAAAGAGCAGCATTTTTCCGAAAAAGTGACCCATCACCGTCTGAAATACATTCTATCATGATGTAAAGTTTACTGATATGGGTGTGAATCCAACCTCTTACATCATTACTGTTTAAATAATTTTTCTCTAGTGGTCCAGAGAGTGGATAATGCCACTGAAGGAATGCAGAAATATGGGGGGAAAATCATTGCCATGGAGTTGGATGTAAAAAAGCTAGGTAAGTTCTGTTGTTATTCCAATTGGAGGAACAGATTTGACCAAATAACTCTGTCAGTTTATCTGTCACTTCCATCTGTCTATTTATTTTTGTCCACATGCTCTTTTCTTTATAACCCTATTTTTGTTTTCCCTCCCTATATCTCTTATGTTACACTACATTTATCCCTCTCAGGTTTTTCCTTCCCTTCTTACCTTCTTCCTATTGTTCATGCCCCATTTCAGATGATGAGTCTGGTGTAAAGTTGAAGAACACTTCCAGTGAGCTGCAGACGTTTCGCTCTGGACTCTCAGCTTTGCGCCAGAAACTAGCCGCAGTCTCCAACCGTGTCAGCAGTAATGCTGTAGCTTTGCAAAAGCTCCAGTCTTCATCAAAGGATACACGCTCATTGCAGGATTATCTGCGGTCACAGCTGGACACCCACTCCAGCACTCTGCGCTATGCTAATGCTACACTTATCTCGGCCTCTGCTAGCATGCCTGCACTGCAGCAGGACACTGCGCTGCTTCAGCAAAACCTGCAGGCGCACATCAGTGCTCAGCGCTCACTGCAGTTTGCTGCTGATGGCCTCAACCTCACCCAAAGGCGGCAGGACACAGTTGCAGCAGCACTGCAGCGTACAGTGGAAGCAGCAGCTGAGGCCATGCAAGGCATGCGTAGCGACACCTTAGCCCTACAGCGGGATACACAGCTGGTCAGCAGTAACGAGGACTGGCTGAGGGAGAAAATCCACAACCTTGAAGGGGCTGAACATAACACTTCTGCACAAGCTATGTCCACAACGGAGACCCTGGAGGAGCTGAGCTCTCAGCTAACTAGCATCTCCAGTCAGATGCTTAACATGAGTGCACTGAGTGATATTAATTCAGAAAACCTTCGGGAGTTGTTGGACCTGCAACGAGAATATGGCAGCCGTACAAGTACCCGCTTCGATCAGATGGAGGAACGGCTAGATGCGACAGAGGAAAGGGTAGACATGGTGACGGGGAATGTGAGCTACGCCACGCGAATGCTAGGAGGAGTTAATGGAGAGCTTGGTGCTCTACGGAGCTGTTCAGACACAGTGGGACGACATTCAGATATTCTGCTTTATCTAAACAGGAGTCTGGTTGAAGCACGGGCAGATGGGAACACTCTAAGGTCACAGCAGGATGACCTCTCAGCTAGGCTGGACAAGGAGGTCAGCAGTCTGTCCATTATCATGGAAGAAATGAAGCTTGTGGACAGCAAGCACTCACAACTCATCACCAATTTTACAATACTGCAGGGTATGAGATTACCCATGCTTTCATACGTATTGACAGCTTTCTAGCAGTTGGGACTTTTGCTCAGATACTATATGTTAGGGCCAGAAAGCTTGTATATACTCTCTGAGACTCTCCCAAAATGCACATAAGGGTTGAGTTTACCTGAGAAATATTTTAATACACTCAAAATACTTACATTTATGAGATAATTCATCAGAATTCTTGTGTCAATGGCATCATATGCTTTTTCATAGTTAGGCTTCTGCTATTCATACATAAAAACTGGGGTGTGACAGTGCATCGTAGAAAATTAACAACAGATATAATGCAATTACTTTTAACACTAAAATTTGCAAATGCTCAGCACCAAACAAGTCACTCCAGCAGTCCTCCTTCCTTCTAGTTCTAATGGTGTTAATAAGTTGTGAAATGACATATAGTCATTCTTCACTAAAATTTTGTTTTAAATATTGTCAGAATACAAAATCATAAACCCCTGTATTGTTATACCCCTATTTGGTAATATGTTAATACTCAAGTAATATATCAATCCAGGAAGTTATTTGAAATGATGAAAAATCTGATGTCAAGATAAGTTAAATCCAAAGCATCACCTGCTCCATCTATGTATTCTTCAGGCCCTCCTGGTCCAAGAGGCCCCCGTGGTGAAAAAGGCCCAATTGGTGCAGTTGGTCCTCCTGGCCAGAAGGGGGAGCGAGGCAATAAAGGAGAGGCAGGGGTTGCTGGCTCTCAGGGAGAAAAAGGAAGCCCTGGCCCTCATGGACTTCCAGGGCTCACAGGCAGCCAAGGGTCACGTGGAGGCCCTGGACCAAAGGGCCCACGGGGGTCAGGAGGCCGTGCAGGATCCCAAGGTCCCAAAGGAGAGCCAGGCACTCCCGGACTGCCAGGTAGAGATGGACCTCCGGGGCCTCAGGGTGCTCAGGGGCCGACAGGCATTCGTGGGCCGATTGGCCCTGCAGGAGACCCAGGACCCGCAGGGCCAACAGGGCCTATGGGACCTCCAGGACCTCCAGGGTTACCAGGTCCACCAGGCAGAGCAATAGTAGTGCCGACTGTACCTGTTACACTGCAAGGAGAGGCACCAGCTGTTCCTGTAGGACCTTTTACAGGTAAGATCTACAAACATGGGCAAACTGTATGTGACCTGCAGAAAAGATGTTTAAATACTACTTAAGGCATAAGGATATGGGACGGCAGTCTCAAGCCTCAGTGATTTGAAATGAGCTGACACCATACACATACAATGCTGTGAGTATGCTTGTATGTTAGCATCTGAAGGCTCTCTATCTGACCTATGGTCCCGTTTACACGTGTCGCGGGTGATACCATCATAAAGTGGATGGTACTAAGTACAAGTATGAATGGGGTAAAGTGCGTGTCGGAGACGCGTTGTGATCCAATCACCCAAACCACCTTCAGAGATGGGACACATATGACCACATAACATTTGAATGCTAGAGCGTCTCAATGCATCTTTGAGGATTGCCTTTATCAGCTGCATCATCACAGCAGAGATTAAATCAGCTGCGTAGTTTATTTTTTCTGCTCTTTTCCTGTTGATTTACAAGTTTCATTAGAAATCCATGCAGTCTATAATTTTTGTCTAAGACCAAATGTAATGACAGATAGACGTCGTAAATATGAGTGGTCTTCCTCAAGTGGTTCGTGGAGAAGCATATGAAACACATGAAAATGCCAGGTATAAACAGCTATACATTCACTTATTATCAGATCACTCAAGACATGTTAATACCAAGTGTGAAGAGGGCTTAATGTTAGTTATTAAGCACCAAAATCTTCCTTATTAAAGCCCACTAGGTAATGACCTAGTAATGGAAAGCTCTAGATTCAGTTGTCTTTCTTCTGACCACTGCTGTTAAGCCCTAGAACAAAGCACTTGACCTCAAGCTGCACAGTTGCCCTGTCTTCTCTATCACAGTATAAAAGCGCTTAGAAAAAGGACAGACTGCTCATTGGCCCTGTTATGGATGATTTATGGTTACGAAAAAAGCCATTTCTTCATTTTGTTGTGCACACTTACAGCATATGTTCCACTTTACCTTAAAATAGAACAGAGTAGGAAAAGTTGACTGCAGAGGATGACAAATTTAAACTCATAATGCACTTACTTTGCACTGCAGCCAATTCTTTTCTTTTTGGAACATCTGGTTACATGAATTCAAAGTAGTCACTATAGTTCACAGATTCGGATGTTTGACAGCTTACTTGGAAAATGACACTTGCATAGAGGCATCATGTCCGTTATGCTAAAAATAAATAAATCGAAGACATATCTGTCACTGTCTGTCAATACATATGAGCAGCTATTTGCACCTCCAGAAAGACCCACAATGAGATGTCTTCAAAGAATCTAAAAGTGGAAGAAATCATAGAAAGCACAGAAACTGTATACATTTGTATACAGTTGTAATTAGGGTGGAAGAAAAAATGTATACAGTATATTATTGCAATATTTTGGGATTTAAAGAGAAGTATAGGTACTGGGAGGCACAAATATTATACAATATTTCATTATTCAGTTAATCAGTTTAAATGTGTATTAAGCTCATTGTTAGACTAATAGATTATCAACATGCATTTCTGTTGTAATCAACGCTGTTTCTTTCTGTTGAGGTTCTCTCAGTGTAGTTAATATTAGGGATAAAAAACCATAAGGAATATAACTGGGCAAGACTCACATTAACATTACAGCCACCTGCCATTCTGTTTGTCTACAAAAACAAAAGTTAAATCTGTTAAATATGTAAGTGTAAAGACAAATGTTATGGAATGTTGATTCCCAGTTGTTTTGCTTCAATAAAATAAGAGTGAGATGAACAAAATGTTCTTTTGGAGGAGTAATTTGCATTCAAAAGTAATAAATCCTAATATATCAGAAAATGTCATATTACAATACTTAGCGCTTCACAAACCTTGAAGTATTGCAGTAGTATCAGATTGTAGCCCAAGTACTGTGATATCATATCAAGAGGGGGCCTGTAGTAATTCTACTGTTGTAGGTCAAAAACTGCTTCTAAACAAAAGAAACCTCTACCACCTTGAAGGCAGTGATAGAAGCTTTATGGGTCAGGGCTTCTTTTGCTTAAGCAGCTGTGCAAGCTCTGAGCATCATGCAGCGTCTGCTGGAAAGCTGAAGCTGAACAGAACAGTTGAGACGATTCGCAGTAGAGTGACTTGAAAAAAAACTGAAGGTCAGAGTCTCCCAGTGGAGGTTCAAATGAAGTCCAGAACAAAACTTGTTATTCACGAAGGTTGAAATAGGCAGTGGTTCAGCGGTCCTCAGTCACGTTACACTTGAAGCAGTTGTGTGTGCAGGAGTGGGCCAAAATTCCTCTAAGTTGATGTAAGATGTTGATGGACAGTTACACAAAAGGCTTGCATCAAAAGGGGTTACTGAAATGTTCCCTGAAATTTCTGCTGCTTTGTACAACCTCGTTCCCAAAAAAGTTGGGATGCTGTGCAAAATGTAAATAAAAATAGAATGCAATGATGTGCAAATCATTTAAAACTTATATTTAATTGAAAATAATACAAAGATAACGTTCAATGTTCAACTGAGAAATTGTATTGTTTTTTTAATTTGATTTTATTTTTCGCCTAATGTTTTCAATAGGTCACAGGTCAGGCCAGTTTAGCACCCAGGCACCTTTATTCCGGAGCCATGCGGTTGTAATCAGTTGGAATTGAATACAGTCTGTGGTGTGCGTAGCTATCAGCCTGTTAGCCGTTGCTGAGCCACTGTTATTTCCTGGACTTGATTTAGCAGAACAACAGATGGGAAAAGAAACCGTAACCGGTCTCACAAGTCTGCACCGGAACAGAACAACACAGCACCGCCATGGAATTTGGCTCCACAATGGAAAAGAGGCCGTAGTCTGCACCCTGATCAAAATACACTGTTCTCATATTATAGTAATGTCTGTGTGTGCTGTATAGGTCCATTTGGCTGCCCTGCTGACTGGATAAGGTTCAGGAACAGCTGCTACTACTTCTCCACCAAGCAGCTCAGTTTTGATGATGCTCAGACAAAATGCCTTACTATGTCTTCCTCCATGGTCATCATCAATGATAGAGAAGAACAGGTAAGAGGCTGAACGCATATCTTTCATAATCTTAAACATATTTTCATCTAAGGTCTTAGGCCTAAAGACTTGAATGCATTTTGTCTACTACCAAAAAAACATGATGCATTTATATATGACTATTTTCCAACCTTTAATCTTTGGGATTAAATAGGCCATGTCTATTACTGTGCCTTTATGACTGATGTACATTACATCTGTTCTGATTGGCTGTCCTGTATTCCACCTTATTTAAGACCCAGTCTGGGCTGAAACATCTCTTTTAACTATAATATGAAGTGCCTTAGGTTGAATAGGAGGATATATGTAAATCCATTGTTTTCCATGACATCACAAAAACAATTCATAATGGCTGTCTGTATGTATATGTATATATGGCCATGCGAACTGGGGAGAGAACAGTAGGTTTTGAAACTTTAGCTGTGTTGACACAACCAGATCAAAGTCTTCTATTTAAAAAGGCAAGAGAAATTCAGTTTTACAGGAGAGAATGCTTTGAAACTTTAAAAAAGTTCATTTTCTACGGACAGTGTGTGGAAGAGTTCTATATGTAAATAAATCTGTGTTGGTGGATTCTATTGTATGTTACAGCTTGGTCATTTATGTGTTGTTCCTCAGGGCTGGCTACACCTTCAGACAGTGGGTAAAGGCTTTTTCTGGTTAGGTTTGACGGACAGACAGGAAGAGAATGTTTGGCGCTGGGTGGATGGCTCACCGACGACATTCACGTAAGTATAGCTGTGAGTGTACATACATAAATAGAGGAGCAATCCTGCTGTTTTGTGATGTAGTGTTAAGAGTAGCAAAATAACCCTGGTTTTGCTTTCTACAATTGCTACATGCTAATTTTTTTAAAAGGTTACAATTAGGATTAAATTCAGGGTTAGGATTACAAAGTTCTTATTATATATAGGTGCTGTGCTAAAGTCAGAGACTTTATTTAGTCCAAATGATTCATTTTTCAGTTAACATTTCTAAAGAGATTAGATAAATAGATAGGAAAATAAGTAAAAAAAAGTTTGAATACTGGAGAAAAAAAAAGGAATTAAAGATGTAGAGGAGTTGGGACTACTAACAACCGTGCAAAACCTGGTAGATCATCGAAACTGTCCCTATAAGATAAACAGTACTTAGTTTTCATCTTTCAGAGAGAGGAGAAAATCCAGCTCCACTCTTGCTTCTGGTCTGAAAAAATGCACACGTGTTTCTGTCCGTCCTTCCATGTGTACATATCAAGAAACTGTTACTGAGAAAGGAAATAGACAAAAAAAGAACAACATTAGCTGCTGGTGTTCTCAGAACAATGGACTCAACATCACTGATTGTATTTGGGATTACTTGGCGTATGAGAAGCAGAAAATGCTACCAACTTCTAAGACTGAACTTTGGAGATATACCTGCCGATTTCTTTGACAAACTGAAAGTAAATCCCCCGAAAAGAATGGAAGCTTTAATAAAGGCAAATGATGGACACACTAAACATTTAATTTTGAAATCAGTATACACATATTAATTTTGATATTAATATCAGTATTTGATATATTTAGTTCATTGAGTTTTTTTTGTCAAATACATGTTGCTGAAAAACCTTTTTCTACTAAAAGTTTTGCACAGTACTATATGTAATAATGCATATTGGGTACATTTATGATTTCCTGGTGAGGTATTTGTTGTTTGTGTGTGTACATGTGTGTGTGTGTAGGAAGTGGAGGCCTGGACAGCCTGATAACTGGAGCCATGGGCATGAAGATGGAGAAGACTGTGCAGGTCTAGTTCATGGTGGCCTGTGGAACGACTTCTACTGTGATGACCAAATCAGCTCCATCTGCGAGAGAGCAGTGGACAGTTGAAATCTGTCACATGCATCCAGTGCAAACATAAGGTAGGCCTGTGTCCCAGTGAAGAGATGGATGTGGTCAAAAGGCCTCAGAGCTTGTGTCAGAGATGGATGACTGACAGGAGTATTAGCTAGGAGTGTGCACCTAGTGCAGGTACAGTAAGAAAGAGGAGACATGCTCGTTTTCTGCAGGAGAAGAAGATGCTGCAGCCTTTGGGTTGAAGAGATTTTGCCCATATCCACTGTTACCTGCTATTACATCACTGTGTCCAACATGCAGTGGTGCAGACCAGTCAGGAGGAGCCACAAATGTTTAGCCATCATATTAAGTGTGTATTTTTATATCGGTGTGTATAATGACCAAAGGCAGTGAAATTTGTCCATTTTAAGCTGTTCATAGAGAAACACTATTCAGCAAAATGAAGCTATGCTGTGGTAAACTGAGCTATTTCATAAACTAAACATGCTAATAACCTGGAACTGGCCTTAGAACTGTGCAACAAAATCATAAGAAAAAAAAAACGTATAATGTACACAAACAGGAAAAAGGCTGGTGTAAAAAAAGCACATGAATGTGTATTTCAGTATTTCGGTACTCAAGGGATTTGATAGTATTATATGTATATGATTTTAGATATTGTTTTATTGTAAATTTTTAATCAGAACCAGTTTTTTCTTTCTATAGGCCCTTTCTTGCCATTGTCTCAGACACATTCACATGCTCCTTTTTATTCAAGTAACACAACATATGTTGGAATAAACATTGATTTTGTGTCTATCATGAACGAGTAAATGTTTTTTCTTATAAAGTATAACAGCATCTCAGTAACACTACACCGTAAATGCATTTGATCAGTTGTTTTTTATTGTTTATTATTATTTATTGTTGTCTATTATCATGATGTTCATTTAATACACTTATAAACTTGCAGTGCACTTGAAATGAAATGAACACATCCATTTTCTTAAGTATTCACATTTTTATCGAGGCATTTCACTTCATGTTTTGTGCTCTTTGCCCATGATCTTGTCCCTTTTCTCCTCAGCTGCACAGAAGAATTTAATGATGTGACATTAGCACCTTAGAGAGAGAGAGGAATTGCTCAGAACAAAGTTGTTTTAAAGTAGAAGTTCTTAAAAAACAAAAAGGGCCACTCCATGACAAATCTTTTGAAGAAAAGATCGGATCGTCACACATCCTGGAGCCACTGCACTCAGAAATTACTAACTGACATGGAAAGCAAAGGAAAATGTAAGGTAACAGTCAAAATCCACAAATTCTTTAATATAGAAGTATTAACAGTGTAGTGGTTGGAAATGTCCCAGAATGTTATGTCCATTAGCACATATTTTCCCATTTTTCCTCACTTCACCTCTTCATATGCACTTTTTTGTGCTATGACATGTTATTTTCACACTATGGGTTTAGGTGATGGTGGTAGTTGTTGTCTCTTATAAAGGTGACTTGTGTTCAGATTCAACAGTTTGGCTTAAATTGCTGTAATAAAAGTGAACAGGCCGTCATCTTAGGAGTTACTAAAGAGTTTCCCACAATAATTTCACAAGACCTTAGGCAGATATTATTGGCCAACCGATAGATCAGTTGGGCGCTACTTCTGATGCAGTGGTTCCAAGATGTTCGATCATAGATGACATCAAGAAAATGTAATTTGACATGGAATAACCCAAAACACAACACATCACGGACGCTTTGAAGACTAAGAGTCTAGTCAGGGTTCAGATCAGGTTTAAGTCCAACACTGAGCTGCTCTTTTCTCTAGTTATCCCTGAACAGATTTCACCAGTTTCAAAACTCTAGTTTGCGATGTAAACATTGAAGCAACATAAAGAGTCATAGTGCAGTCGGGGTATAAAAAAATATTTCAAAATGTTGCAACATTTTTCTTTCCCTTCGTCCTGACACCAAACTCATGTATTTACATTCAAAACAAAAACAACAGTACTGGCACAAAACTATTTTGAAAAAATATTGCTATTTCTGACTTAGACGTTTCTGAAAATATAACTTGGACCAGGCTGGACCATCTTTAATATACAACCAATGTGCAGGGACCGTGAGATGGAAACTGTTTCAAATTTGATCTTTCTTTCTTTTAATAAACATAACTGCAGGAGGATATTTATTTCCAGTTGTTTCTGTTTATTAAATACTACCCAAAGCCTTTTCTATCCCTCAAAGTAGCAAGCTAAGTTCAGGTACTCTCTTCCTTGCAACTTTTCTCATTTTATCCTATTCCATCTCTTCCTTGCTCTTATTTTACTGCTGATCCTTGCAAATTGCGGTAAACAAGCCAGTTCACAATTTTCAAACAGCATCCTTAGCAAATCAGCAGTCAATCTGCAGCAAATCTGGAACCAGCTATTTCAATGCAATTAGAAATAAAAGGAAGGGATACCACAGCAGAGACGTTTAGCTAGCTGGTTACTTTACCTTTTTTTTTTGAAAGGGAAGAAACACAGCAATTTAATTCAGACCAGAGATTGTTTCATCCAATCAAGTCCAGTCGAAGGTAAGATTATGTCCAAATTAGAGAAGAGATTTAATCCAGTACAAAGGTGAGATTCAGTCCAGACTACAGTGTATAGAAAAAAAGACGTAATCCGAAACAGAAGCAGTGTAATCCAGAGGCAGTCCATCTTTGTGATGAAGCAGAGGAAATATAGCCAAAGGTTTCCTCATAATTGTTTTAATTTTGTATGCACTATAAATGCATCTGGGGATAAAACTGATAGCATTTCCATCCAAGTGAAAAGCATGTAGTTGTTTGGTCTGGTGGGGCCTGTCTCAGTAACTGAAGAGAGATATATGTGATCTATAGATGGGTACTCAAGCAATTCTAATTTATTGGAAATTGTATGATGGTTTTGGGTTGGGGTAACCCTGCAGACAGAGTGGTACAGTCTGTTTGATGTTATCTAGCGTTCTTCACCACGGACCGAAGACTGGAGATTTTCTGAGCATTCACTGATTGCTATATGGTGGTTCGGCATGGTCTTTCTCTACTCATCTTTCTCCACTATAACCTCTCCATGAAGCACCCTTCTCCTCTGGCGCAGCATGTGGAAATATAGCTGAGGAAATACTGGAAGAAAATAACAGAATGAAAATCAGGACCAGTTTCCTGCTACTGTATAAAAAAAGAGATAAAAAGTAAACCTGAAATCTTAAAGCACCCACATCCTATTTGTTTTTATATATTTGAACTTTATTATCATTAATCTATTTTTGTTAAGGTCTACTTATAACATTTGTGTGGTTTTATGTACCAAAAACCCACAAGAAGGTATTTTACATGAACATCTCTTTATCCCTTGGAATTAAATGGGCTGTTTTTATAAGTATTCCTTTAAGTCTGATATATGTTAAAGGTCTCTGTTCTGACTGGCTGCCCTGTATTGTGCCATGTTCAAAAAGCATTCTGAGCTAAAACACTCCTTACATCGTGTTGAGTGGGCAGGGCTAAACTGCTTTAGCCTGAATAAGTGAATATAAGCAAATTTGTTGGTTTTTGTGACATAACCAAACCAATCCAATCAAAACAGGGTAACTTACGTTTCCCTATATAGACTGTAACTGTACGTTTTGAATCTTTAACAGTGTTTACATGCTACATCAAACTCTTTTCAAGAGTTCAAGGGAAATTCAGTTTTCCATAGAGCCTCTTAGTAATTTAGTTTTCACTGCTGAATAGATGGTCTAGGAGAAAATGGTGATCAGCTGTTTGACTCTAAAATAAAATACAAAACTGTTTCTTTACAACACAATACCTCACATTGATTTGTGGTTAAACAGCAAAGGGAGGGTCTTTGAAACTGACTGACCAAATCTAAAATGGTTTCTGGTTTCTAAACCACATGGGTTTGACTTCTTTTCTCTGAAAATAAAGCACTGTGGTGTCCTAAAAATACCTTTCGCAATCTGTGGCATAAGCACTATTTCAGTGTTTTCTTCATTGTAATTTCACAATAAATGTATCATATCACATTTCTGCAACTTTATATTCTGTAAATCTTTTGAAGCTTAGACATACGTGCATTTCAACACTATGACAACTAGACTAAGACATGATAACCTCCCACTATTACTTTCCTTATTGTGATGAACAATTACATGATACAGACATGCTACAAATTACTGCTGAATATCTGGACAAAAGTGGAAAAAGTGGGTGGGTAGTTAATGGTCAGAGGAAATCTTACGTGGGATGTAGGAGAGCATTACGATGATGAGGAAGTAGTAGTAGTCAAAGGAGACATTGTACTTGTTCGGGAGCCTCAAAGAGTACATGCCCGATCTCCGAACATATGGTAGAGCAGCATATATGGTCATCAGTTCACCAATCACACCCAAAGGATACATGACAATGAACAGGTTGTATCTAAAAGAGAGAGGGAATATAAGAGACTGTAGAAGGATACATTTTGAAATGCATTCTCAAAAGTGTCAAAATGCACAAGTTTCAAACCAGTTTCTGAAAACCATCCACACTTACAAATGATTAGTGTATTTTTTGTTCCAGCAGTGTTGTCCTCTAACCTAAAGGATAGTTAGGGAAACATGCACTAATTATGTAGTTAATATTATATATTTTGTTACATACACATTATAGACCAGGCTTTTATCACAGAGGGCTAGATGAGCATTTTCCTGATTTAACCTCTTTCTGCAGGCTCTCTGGTGTCTCTTCTGCAGAAAGAGCTGCTAGTGAGAAATGAGGGGTGACAACCCCCTGCTGTGAAAACAGTTCACCTCTCCACAAAGACAGCCATGCTGAGACAATACAGACAGCACATATGCAGCTTTCTTCAACTGCCAAAAAATAAAAACTAGCTTTTAAACACAAACACTTTTATAAATGTTGATTTGCTTGCTCACCTACGAAGACAAAAATCCAGTTTGCTTCTGGTTTTGTAACTCATACACATTTCCACCAAAATATATTCCATCAAAGTTATTGAAGAAAAAAAAAGTAGTTCAACTGAAGGACCTCTTCCAAAACAAGCAGAAACTGCATTTTATGGCTACTGTGAAAGAGTTAAATCACTTTCCCAACTTTATCATTCTTAGTTGAAAGTTGAACAGAGTAAGCACTAATTAGACCCTGATGTGGCCCTCTAGAACCTCCACTGACATTTGCCAAATGCTATTACATTTGAAGAAGACCAGTATGTAGTCTTTTGGAGATTTTGATGGGTCCAGACTTTCAGTGTAACTCCTATAACTTAAGAACAACTCAGGTAGTTTGCAGTGTTTCCCATGTAGTTACCAATTATTAAGCCTTAGGATGTATTAAGCCTGGAACTTTAAAAAAGGGTAATAAGAGGTATGTGAATTTAAATGTTCATGTACAAAAAATAAATAAACAAATAAAAGGGCTTCGCCCGAAATATAATAATATATTAGGGAAATACTTACAGCCACTTAATAGGCAAGTTAATGTATATTTTATACATGTATACTGTGTTCCCACAAAAGCAAGAAAACATGGATTTAGATTCCCTGGGACTTTAATACATAATTGACATGAATTACTCTGTCTAGCAAAGAACCCCTATCAGCAACAAATCAGTGCATATAATGTTTTTTTTGCCATCACTTAAAAAATATACAATTCACTGCACCATCACAGGGGTGTAGGGGTGTCTGCCAGCTGACATAATGCCAGCTGTTTTATCATCCCTGTGTACTAGTGCCAAGCAAATATTAGGCACCGCCTGATGACCTCACTGTGGACAGCTGGCATGCTTTAGCTGACTTAGCACACTGAAACAAGATCAACAATGAAGACATTCATACCAGACAGCCTCAATACACAAGAGCTAATCTCCACACTATAAGGATGTGATTACATTACTGTATGGATGATTTAAGAGCCAGCAGAGTTTACATAACATCAAAAACCTTCATGTTACTGAAGCTAAGTAAACTTGTTTAGAGTACCTAGAGTACCACCTAACCTAACTCCAGCCATCTCCACCATAAATAAAATCACTTGTCTAGCAGTTACAGGGCAAGTTGAAAAAGAGGGTGCTCTATATTTAGGCTGTGTGTGTTTAGTGCTTAGGAGGTGTAAGAATTTGGAGTTTGAGGCACAAGCCTCATGGGAAACTGAAGTCTTGGGGAGAAGGACGGAAGCGTGTGTGCATGTAGGGGGAGAGATGCTAATAGTGGACAGGCATTCCATGCCCAAAACAGACAGTCTTAAAAACAGGAGCAGCTGAACATGAGTCTTCTACAAGGGGCCTAACCAAGATACACAGACAAATACATGAACACACACACACAAAAATCCTTAAGATGTCAACTAAAATAGAGAGAACAGGTGAGATGTATTCCTATTCAACGGCCAACATATTCCAACATCTGTGCTACTGTGACCGGGTCAACACCGTTCAGTCACAGGACAGCGTAACTACTTCTGTGGGACAAGTGGGGGGAGGTGCTGTAAATGAATTTAGTTGATTGGTTCAAACCTGGCTATAGTGTTGTCCCCAACTCTAACACATCAAGAATGGCTTATTAAACAGTTCATTCTTGGAACAGGTGTGGAAAATAAAATGTGCAGGGCAGTGGTACTCCAGGGCTGACACAGGTTGGTATAACAAAGACTGATCAAATAATTAAATCTATAAAGTCAAAAAAGTAGTAGCCACAAAGAAACTTAAAAAAGCACTATGAGCACGTAATCTATGTAATAATATGGATCTATGAAGATGGAAAGACCGCACAAGGCCTGTCAGCTGACTATTAACTGCCATATAAATGATTGAGAATAACACTTTAATTGTCCATGACTGTGTGGCTGGTAGAATAAACAGATTGATAAATGAATAAACAAACAGATGGAAAAGCAAACAAACAAAGGAACAGATGGAGAACAGGCAGATAGATGAGCTAACTTGATAGCTCAGTAATGCTGGGTAGGTTAGCTTTTGCTTGGTGGTTGGTCTTTTTTGTTCACTGTACACAAATAAACACTACTCACTACTGTCCTTTAGAAGTGAGGAGTTAGAACATTTAGTGTCTCAATAAATGTGTTTTTTGCATTCTTTTATTTACTTGTGTTTGAAAACAACTTACAATCTGTTTGTCATGACACATATGATAGTGAAAGCTAACAGCTGTGGAAAATAACTGCAGTTGAGGCTGGCAATATATTTTATCATTATCATGATACATTATGTCACAATATCATTTTCTGAGCATATTGTGTATATTTATTAGGAGTTTATAATTAGAGTTTTTTGTATTTTGTGTTTATAATTTTTTTCTGTAATAACTTGTCCTTTTTTGCCCTTTGATTTCATGGTGATCTTAAAAGTTCTTTTATTTTGAATGTTTGTTAGAATTAATTAAGCGCTGAAAGTTGTTCGTTTTAGATGTGTAAACTGCCTATCGGTTGTAACTTGCTTTGTTTTGACTGGAAGATTGGTGTTGCACCCATTTTATTGGTTGTTTTTAAATTGTACTTTCAGTTCTTTTTGTACTTAAACAACAACGCAATCATTATTCTCTTCAATGAAAGTCTGGGTCAAAATGCATTGGTTAAAAATCAAGTGTAGAATTCTCCAGTCATCAGGTGTTGATAGTTTCACCCTTTTTACAGCACGTTGTTGAAGAGTGAAGTTGCGCCAGATTACTCTTTCCAACATATCATGAATACTGTCAGTACTTAAAGAACACAGTGTTTTATTACGAAGTGAGCGTAATTAGGCCTGTTTACCTGTATATAGTACAGTGCAGTTTGCACTGAATAAAAAACATTGTAGTTGTATTATTATTATTATTATTATTATTATATGTATTATTATTTTTTATATGCAGCACTACAGGTTCTATTCTGTCTGTTGCAACGTATTAAAACTCAGAAAAACTAAATATTGTGATGCACATGGTGTATTGTGATATTTTTGCCATATCATCCACCTATAATTGCAGTCAGCTCAAATAACTGCATTCAGGCAATTATGTGATAACTGTGACGTAACTAGTCTTTACTAACTCTGTTCAAGCTACCTTAAAACAAGCTTTGCAGTTGTCAGGGTCATCAGTAACTTTTGGGGTCCGAGCACTTTGTACTCAGTGAAGCCACATAAATCCTCTGCTCGATTCATCTCGTATGCAGTCCTTTCATCCATATTCATCCCTACTGCAGTGTGTCTTTATTGGTCATTGACTTTGCATTAGAAGTGCTAACTGTGTGCTACAGTCGTTAGAGGCTGAACAAAAAGTTTAGTCAAAAATCACGTGCAGAAATTTGAACTGCCATTTGATGATCCTTTGTAATTTAGGCAAAACAACTGCACTAAATATTTACTTCCACAAAGAATGAACCTATAAAGGCTGAAACCAGAAATGTTGGGAAATGTGTTTCTTAGTTTGGCAAACTCTGTGTTTGTTTTTTATGTTGTTTTTATGAAATCTTCCTAAAGTAAAAACAACTATGATGCACGAGAACTTTCAAAGTCCAAGGAAGACATTACAGAAAATATAATAGAAGCAAATAAGTTTAGAAAAATGTCAACCCTGAGCTAACAAGACTGGCTGCAGATTTCATAAAGTATTCATCACATTTTTAATGAAAGAGGAAACATCTTAGCATACTGGGTTCCACAAAAAGCTGCTGAAAACTTGTGGAATGGTTGATGGTGGCCCTATTTTTAAAATATTCCTTGTAATTCATATTGTGGCTTTGTTAAAAATGTGGCCTGTAAAGTGTCCTTGCAAATCGTTAAAAGTCTGTATGAAACTTTCTGAGTTGGTGCAGATGAAGCAAATGGCCTAGCACTGCTTGTAAAGTAGGCATCTGCAAAAACCTCAGAATTCACTAAGGTGGACAAAGTGGCCAGTTTTTTTTTTTATTCCTTCAAAGTATAGGAGTTAGAAGAAAAAAGGATGTCAACACTGGGTGCCTTTATCATCACCCATACAAGTTCTCTCTAATCCCTTTACATCTGACCACATACTTACAACATGCTACATATAATCTATATATAATCCGTATATATCTTTAAAATCATTAGTTAAAATTATTACCAGAAACTCTGCACATCATGTTTAAACCATGCAATATCCCCGACTATGTAGCAACAAAGCACTGTATTATTGTTATCAACATTATTGTCACACCATAACCAGGTTAATAAAAAGACATAATTTACCCTGTTTCTTCTTTGACATGTTAAGCGTTCTAAACATAATAGGGATTTTTAAGCATTTCTGTATACTGGATGTGTACTAGGTGACACAGGAAGACAAAAAAATAAAATACTTTTTCTAACCGATGTTGGTGTGAGGGTAAGCAAACAACATGCTGCTAGGAGGAGCCAGGACCATGCACGAATTGCTAGGAGATTCCATGCTGTTGCGTTTGCACCTGGCCCATTTGATGAAGTATGGCAGATGGTTTAGCAGATTGAAGGTGTAGAAGGAGTAACGTGTGATCTCGGTGACTGTCCACACCACCAGAAAAAGGATCACACTCTCCTGATTCTGGACCTAAAGAAGCAGTAAACAGCTGTAATTAGCAAAGGGTCATTCTCTGAAAAACAGGCAGAGGCAAATTCTTTTCAGTCTGGGTTTCTGTATTTTAGAAAAACATATACACTATATGGCCAAAAATATGTGGATACCACTCCTTACTTTTGAGTCTATTTTTTTTGCCAAATCTATTGTTAACAGGTGTATAAAATCGAGCACATAGTCATGCAATCTCCATAGATGCCACCTTTGCCACAAGTCAGTTTGTGAAACGTATGCCCTGCTAGATCTGCCCCTGTCAACTGTAAGTGCTATTATTGAGAAACTGAAGCTCCCAGGAGCAACAACAGCCATAAAATGGTAGAACATACAGAGCAGGGCTGCCAAGTGCTGAAGGGTAGTGCATAGTGCATAAAAATCGCTTGTCCTCTGTTGCATCACTCACTACAGTTCCAACCTGCTTCTGAAAGCAACATCAGCACAAGAACTGTGCGTTGGGAGCTTCATGAGATAAATTTTCATGGCCAAGCTACTGCAAACAAGCCTAATATCTCTATGCGTAATACCAACCGTCCGCTGGAGTGGTGAAAAGAATGCCGCCACTGGACTCTGGAGTAGTGAAAACGTGTTCTCTAGAGTGATAAATCACATTTCACTATCTGACAGTCTGATGGACAAATCTGGGTTCAGCGTATTTCAAGAGAATGCTACATACTGGAATGCATAGTGCCAGGAGTAAGGTTTGGTGGAGGAGGGATAGTACTCTGGGACCACCAGGGTTTGGACCAAGTCCCTTTTTTCCAGTGAAGGGTGGTGTTTACACTACAGCATACAAAGATATTTTAGACAATTATATGCTTCCAACTTTGTGGCAACAGTTTGGCAAAGGCCTTTTCCTGTTCCAGCATGACTGTGCACTTTTGCACAAAGTGAGGTCCATAAAGACATGGTTAGATGGGTTTGGTGTGAATGGCACATATTTCCAAAGACACATTTCAAAATCTTGTGGGAAGTCTTCCCAGAAGAGTGGAGGCTGTTATAGCCGAAAAGGTGGCAACTTCACATACATGCCCATGGTTTAAGAATGGGGTGTCCAACAAGCTCATACAGGTGTCATGGTCAGGAGTTCACATACTTTTAATGTTAAATAAATATATTTGTGTTTTCTATAAAATAATGTCTACATTATAATTTATTGAGATATCCTTGTTTGAGCTGTAGACTTGAAGTCAGGTTTGAAGCTGAGTGACACCTCACTCTGACCATAAGTGTTTTAAATGGTTCCAAAAAAACAACTTTCTAAGCTTAGGGAGACAAAACAAGCAGTACTGAGTATACTTGTGTTATACAGAACTCTGCCTCCTCTGATAGCAAACACTCATACTGGCCATACCAGCTCCCACACAGGCTAGTCTCTATTCAGAAAGCTACAACTCTATCAACAACTCTTCACTACAAATGTGTTACAGGATTAGCAGCCTGGCCTGACATATTTGAAAGTTTTAGGTCCTGAAGAAGCTCTACAGGACTTCACCCTCTTAGAATGGTCCCACCAGTAGACGGCCCATGTTCAGTTTCACCACATGTAGGGGCAATACCAAATTCTTTGTTTATGGGAATAGCAATTAACCACCTCCTGCTTCCATTCTGTCATGTTTGTCCCATGTGGTGTCATCTACAGACAGTCTACAAGCATTTGAACAATAACATTTTTTTGTCTTGTGGCTCTTAACAGATCTAACATTTAATAATTAAATAATGGCAGTACCAATATCAATAGCTGCTATTAGGAATGTGCATTCCAACTAATTTTGATATTCAAGTGCCCATAAGACTTAATGAACAGATAACAAGTTAACCGCAGAGAAGGGAAATGCAACAACAAAAAGAAAATGACTTTGGCCAAAATTAGTGCAGAGCTGTAGACTTACTTTTTAGATGACAGCACTGGTATAGCTAAGGGAAATCACTTTCTAATGTCAGCTAAATGTCACCAAAGATTTCTCTATCTTCCCATTAAATTCTTAAACATTTAACAAAACAACAAAGGATAATTCCAACTATGTTTAATAAAGTACAAGTATAATCTCAATGACTATAATTTAACAGTAGCAAACAGTCTATATAGTCTATATAGTCTTCAACATTTCCAGACTTATTTTCCCCAGTTTAAAAACCAATGTCTAATTTCTGTGTTTGCATGTTTGTACTCACCTGTCTGATACTATTAGTGATGAACCAAACCATGAATATCCGGGAGCACACTTGGACCCCAGTAACGATCACTGATGTCCGCACAATTCCTATAACATAGATTCATACACAAGTGTTTTTTGATCTACTCCCTAACTACAACGTAATATGCTGAAGTGCTCGTGATGATTAGAAAATACATACCAATTGCACAGTGCCCAACCTGAAACATAAGATGGAAATAGGTAGGAAAGGTAAAGAAGGCAAGGTTTAAAGCACAGGAATGGCTGATTGAAACATCACATCATGATTTTTCCTAGGTGATGCCACCCCCCCAGGGTTGGGATGACTAAGGCCCAATCCCATTTTTTATTTTTACCCCTGCCCCTTGGAACTAAGTTACAACGGGTAGTGGTTGAAATCTTCCCCTACGAAACGGGACCCTCAAATAAAGAAGAACATTACTTCATTAACAGGCTCTTAGCGGTGCTCTGTAGGCAACCCTGCCAGTGTGCATTGATAGCAGATGAGCAGTAAAATTCAGCACCTCACTGCTGGGCTTTAGTTAAATTTAGGGCATCATATGCTTTCATAGAGGGGGGATGCGATAATTATTTATTACCACCCACCCTCAATTCTTTGGTGATACGAAGCTGAAGTCAGCTATTCGCCAGCTTCTCGTTCGAATTTTCCCATTCTACCTTAAATGGAACAGCAGTTACATTCTGGCGCTTCAGGCATTCGCACTATTTAAGGTGGAACTAGCTAGCTAGCTACCTAGCTAAAACATTAGCACACTTAGCGATTTTTCATGCTTGTTATGAGGAAAAGAACCATATAAAATTACTCACATTTGTGGGTTTCTTTGGTCGCTTGTGCAGCCATCTTGCCGGTTTTTCTTTTCTTTCTCATAACACTCTGCTTGGAGTGTGCCATGTAGCCCTAACACTTTGCCCTACCCCTCTATCTCAACAAAAATCAGAGCACCCTACCCCTAGATTTGAATGCTAAGGGCTAAGTGGTAGGGGCAAGGGGTAAAATGGGATTAGGCACAAGTGTCAGAGAGTAAAACAGAGTGAGAGAGAGCAAGAAACAAAAATGAAGCACATACCTCTAGCACAGCAAATGTCTGGAAAAACTTAAGTGTCCTTGCTATACTTCTGTACAAGCCCTTATGTGTGCCTTTCTGGAGATAGTACCGAGCCATTGCAAGAGCCAACACCAGCCACCTAGATCACATACGTGCTGTATGTTATTAAAAATTCAGTATACACAGTTAAGCAATAAACATTCTACAAAACACAGTTCATCACATTCGTGGTGTTATGCATATAGATGTATCCATGCTACAATAAGACACTGAAATTGATTATCAATTTATTTATTATGTCAATTTATTATTTTATTTTGGCTAATTTGTTTTGCAATTTTATGATGTAAATAACGTTAGGCAGGTGAGTAAATGCTGCTGCTACATCTCTACCAAAATGTTTTAGCATAATTCTGAATAATTCACTGTGCTAAAACCCAGTTGCATCAATCAATAAAGTATCTATCTATCTATCTATCTATCTATCTATCTATCTATCTTAATTTAAATGTAGCTGAAGGCAAATAAAAATTGGTCAAAAAAAATCAGCCATCAGACAATTTGGCTCTAACAAAAAATCGGAATTGGCCATAGCAATTCATGATAAGTGCATCCCTACTATGTATTCTCAAAAAAGTGTTTTTCTCCATGTTATACTACAGGAAAAGCACTGCTTATCAGTGCAGTTAGGTTCTATCACTGAGACTTTGTGTCAGCTGTGTCATGTTCAATTCAAGGTCATTAGTCTACAAGAACAGATCTGTCTTTTTGAAAAGCTTAGAACAAATTCCCTCAGTAGCTGCTCTCTGAGAAACTTAGCCAGTAAACTCAAAATGGCCTCATTTTTGTCAAAGGGATGTTTACTAGATAGCTATTTAATTTCTTCTCATAAGGTATTATTTAACATGATTGCTAAGGGAAATAAAGTGAGATTTTATCAAAATACCACTGGGCTGAGCCTGAACTGGTGACAGAATAATTATATCACTTACAATAAGGATGTTTGGGAGCAGAAGATCAGAGAGATGCTGCAAAAACATGAAAGCTACAGGGTTCAACAGAGGAGCTGTGTGTTCAAATCTACCTATTCCCTCTGGGTTCCACAGGTTTCTTTAAAGATTCTGCCTTAGTATTACAGCCTCCTTTCTTTACCAAATCACCAATAAAGGTAACCACTATTATTTGAAGAATACAGGAGAAACTCCTAATGGCAGTAACCCTTTAGAGAGGAATAGCCCTGAAATTAGCCAAACTGTGTATTTCCCATTATTTGTTCAAAGTTGGACAAGCATGCTTGTTATGTTCTTTTTTAATCATAACCTACAATCACTAAAGATTCAAGCACACACCTGAAGGTCAAACAGAAGAGTCACACAATAAACTTATGTCACTCGACAAGCTTGAGGATTACAGCCACTGATTTTAAATCCTAAACATCAGCCTGTTATGTAGGTCAGTGGACCATTATATGCATGACTTATGCTTAGATAGTTGGCATTAATATCAACATATTGACATTCACACACATATTTTTACAACACTCCCCAAAAATGATACACACTGATTGATGTAAATGTAATTTTCAGTCTTTGTCTTCAGTTTTGTCAAGTTCTTGCTGTGCTACCTACAACTCCAGAGGTCGGATCCAAATTAAGCCTAAACTTAAAACTTTAAAAATGGTGTAGTTTAACCCTAGGCTACATTCTAAAAAAATATATGGTTCTTCAAAGGTTCTTTAGTAAAGGCAATAGTTCTATATAGAGCCATGGACACTCAAAGAACCACCAGCATGCTTAAATGCTTCTTTGCGTGGTTTTTCAGATAGATGGACAAATGTGTTGTATATGGTTCTATACAGAACCATTTAAAAAAAAAGGGGTTCTGCTATTTTTATGATGTCAAGCAAGTAACAAGAACCATTTTCAAAATGATTGTTTATAGAACCATACACAACATATTCTTCATCAATCTGAAGAACATTTCACCATGCAAAGGACTATTTATAAGCATGAAATGGTTCTACATAGAATGCATGGTTCTAAACAGGACTATTCACTTTACTAAAGAACTTGTGCACACCTTAAGAGTGTAGACTTAAACACTCTTAGAACGCTCAGACATTTTTGACGTCTTTAGGATTTTAATAGGTTATTAACAGCTACGTTAGTATCGTTAGTGTAGACGTTATTTTGAAGAAGTTTCTGTGTTCGTTATTGTCGTAAAGTATGGAGGTGCCTGTTGAGGACTCCGCTCTCCCAAAGCGAAGCTCCAGTGTCAGCGTGCGGCTAAACTTATCGGAGTGCCGGGGCGGGCACGCCGCTGCCGCCCTGAAGTCGACCGTATTTGGAAAGGTAGACGCGAGCAGACACGGAAAACCCCCTTTCGGCTACTCCCTCACACAGCGGCCGAAACTCCCCAACCGGGGGCAAACGACGTCAAGGCGGTCTTTCCTTTGCTGATTTAACCCGCCGTGTGGTTTTACTAAGGTCCGTTAACGACCGTTAAAACGGGGATAGCTATAAAGGGCAACACTGGGAGAGAGAGAGTAACGGCCGTTAGCCCACCTCAGCTAAAGTCCGCTGTTTTTGTTCGTAAGTAAGAGCGAGAGTGAGGGGGAGCCACGTACCCGGCCGTCATGGCGATGTTGTAGAACGTGAGCCATGCGGTGGCGATTGCGCTTTTCGTCCGCTTTTTCTTGTTGTTAGTTTCTTTCTCCTCCACCGCTCCGTCCTCCTCGCCAGACGCCATGGTGCCACCGGGTGGGGGGAAGGGGGCAAGAGTGCCAGAGTGAGAGAAACGGAGTGCGAGAGCAGGGGGCTGGAAGGAGAGCGGTGTTTTCTTTCCCGCCTGTTTTCCGACAGGCCCCGCGCTCCTCCGTTAGGATTGGTTAGGAGTCCATACTCAACCTACGCTTACAGTCCGAGCGTCCGAGGGAAGGGGCGGGGCCTCCGGGGATATGGGCGGGAGGTGTGGACAGAGTGAATGGTGGACTGCTAGTAAGCCTGAACTTCTAACCAATCCCAGCACAGGGGGGCGGGGTCTTTCGGAAAACGGGTATGAAAAAAAAACCGCGGGGGTGATGCTTGTTATCCTTACTACATAAAATTTCGGAATAAAAAAACGGAAGAAAATTTCAGAATTGTTTACTCTGATTCTGATGGATGGGGTGAACCAGTTAGGTGAACCTGCCATACTGAGATGCATTTACAAATATATTTACGTTAAGTTCCGTAAGTCGTTCAGGGTGCGTGTAGTTTCTGCTGCGGTCCGCACGCACAATCCATCTCATTTAAAATTCAAAATTCAACGGAAAAGCCCGACCGGCCTAACGGCCGTTTGTCCCACAACAGCGAACTGCCGGCCTTACACGTGAAGAGAATAGCTACTCTCGTCATTAATGTCATCATGATTATCGTCAGACAGACCTGGTGTGTCACATTTTAGCAGGTTTGGTCATCAACTATAGCTCGTTATTTTGTCGTGACCTTGTAACGACTTAAGCTAATTCTTTAGCAATACAGCTAGCCAGGTAGGCTAGCAAACAGGCTTTGCTGCCCAAATTAGGGAGCTAACGGATATGCTAACATTAGTAGTGGCTGAAGTTGGCTTCCTATTCACCAGCTTCTTTTTCGAATTAAATGGTGCAGCAGTTACATTCTGGCCAATTTGAAGCTGAAGAGAGTCTGCACCTTTCCCGCGCTTGGGTGTGGTTTCAGCACCTTCAGCAGACACGCCCCCAGCATCTCAGAGCACAGAATACTGCTTATTTTTTCATGATTTTGAAACCTAATTTTATATACTTGGCGAATTTTTTTTTTCATTCAATTTTCATTCAAATTTGGCTGAGTGTTCTGTTGTGTGACAAGCTCAGAACACATTTATTTCTGTTTTACATGGACTTTAAGTAAACCTCTTTATGTAGGTATTGTACTTTTTTGTTAAACATAGCTTATTACTCTGTGATGTCCCATTACTTTTAGAAACCCTTTTACTGTAGGAACCACTAAACCAAAATAAACCTGAAATATTTTTTTATTGAGCAAAATGCTAAAAACAAAACTGAACAATATATGGATAAACCTATGTCAATATTGCCTTCTAACCCTAGCCCTGCAGGCCCAGCAAAAACAGTGCTAAATGGTCCTGTACAGACACCTGAATGTAGCTGCTGCAGCATTTAAAGTAGAACAGGAAATTTAAATTAAAGAAGCTTTGTTGAATTTCTTAAGTCATTTGTCTTATACTTGCGTTCTATGCACTTATGCGTCCGACCATCAGATACTGCTTGAATTTGGAAAATATTTCTGTCTTTCTCGCTATCAGTACCAGCTGGTCCATGGCTTGTTGTGCTGACGAGGCCCTGAGTCAGGTGGTTTCTCAGGCAGTATAAGAGGAAGTGCAGCAATCAGTTTAGGCTAATGCTAACCTAAAAAAAGACAGGGGAAGGTGACTGAGTGACTGCTGCATTTTAATTTTCTTTCGGAACGTGACTGAAACAACGACTATAACGTTAGCATGGTACAGCATATCTGCGCTTATTTGTGTCACTACTACCCACTACTAAGTTCTTAAATTTACAACCAAATTGAAGTATTACCCTAAAGTGTGTGTGAAGTAACATTAAAAACATCAGGTTTAAACCCATAATTTTAAAGATGTCTGTACTGTAGGGTTGTTCAGTGACTTCTTGGACAGTAATGGAAAATTGGTTACTATTGAATCATAGAAATTAGTTCTGGAAGTCTGGATGTGTTGGAGGGTTTGGGAATGTTACAGAGTTAAACTTTACCTTTTAGCAATAAACCAAACAGACAACTTTTTTGTCTTTTAAAAAAGAAATGATGTTAGATGGCAACTGGAATTCTTAAAACTACATTTCCCGTCATCCACAGCTAATAGTGTTGGCAGGTCATGCCAATCGCGTCCATTGTTATATAGCTGAGGACAGGAGAAGTTTACATCACTGACTCGCTTCCTCACTGCTTCTGCTCAGTAGGTTAAAAATCTTTTTTAAAAGTTAAAAAATCTCTTAAAAAGGTTTTTAAAAGACTTTACCATAAGATTCTTGCACTTCTCCCGTGTCTGTTCCAGACTTGGTCGGGAGAAATAAGCTAAACAGTACTCGATCATTTGCACTTTGTTTGTGCGTGATTCTGCTTTTAAGGCAAGGCAAGTTTAAGTATATAGCACATTTCATACACAAAGTCATTTCAATGTGATTTTCATAAATAAAAGCGAAAGGAACATCAAATAGAAAAATGACAACAAAGCACTTAAGAGTGAAAAACAATAAAAATTAAGTGACAATAGCTTCAAATAAATAAAATAATAATAGTAATAAAACTGATAATTAAATGAAAGTACATTTAAGGCATTTATGCTGTTTGGACTGTAAGTATGTGAGTCTTTCTCACATATATGATTATAGCTTGGTATTGTGAATGCGTGGACTGGCAGGCATTTGTAGACCGGAGCCGGTGTCTGAGAAAGTGCTTCACTGCAGCTTCTAAAATTAGCCCCCTCCCTGCACCCAGTAGAAATCAGAGTAAAGCGAAGACACCACCAAATATAGTGCAGCCCACCTAATCCTGATCCTATTACACACACACTACTGTAAACACATACTCATACTGTATACTCACACAATTATGTAGTGCTATACTAGTGAGGTTTTACCTTTGATCCAACAGCACAGTATGTGTAGCAAGAACACTACTTTACAAATGCATGAACAATGCCATATGGCCACTCTTACCTTAACCTCCTAAAACCACTCATGAATAAGCAAAGTTTAAATTTGAAGCATCATGGAAGTTCTTCAGCATACCATCAAATGGCCACAAGATGGAGGTATACTGTAAGAAAAATGATATGTCTGTACTGTGCAATTGTCTCTGTGAAGAATTTTAACAAGAAAAGATGTCTAAGGCCAGCAGTGGAAAAACCAAGAAAGCTGGTCCCATTTTGCTCTTGTACAGCTTATTTTAGAAGTGAAGGTGTAAGCACATCTGTTAGTAAGAATGGTAACAAAGACTGGATTGTTTGATTGCTCACTGTCACATAGAGGCCTAAACCTGTTGTCTTCATACATTGTGAAACACTGAACACTCATAAAACTCTAGAGACCCAATGATTGCCATAATCATGTCATGGCATATGTTATTGTCATGAGTTGTCCAGTATTTGTCTAGATTTTGTACAGTGTCATGTTACCATTACCGTTACCATTACCATATCATAATATTTGATGCCATGACAGCTGTTTAGAGTGTATGACATCAAACTTTGTCATCTGTCATGACAGTTACCAGTAACAATAACATGACACTGTTTCATTATTGAATAACATCCATCACGACAACTCATGACATCCTATGCACTCTTAGAAAAAGTCTACTGTCCTGTCAAATTTTATTCTTCCAAGGTACAAACAATGTACATGTGCTCTCAAAGGTACAACATGGTCCATAGGGTCAAAATGTGTACTTTAAATGAGTTTAAAATTAAATTACATTTACTTTTACAGGGGAAGGGTGCAAATGTTTTATTTTTTGAAAAATTAGATTTATATAACAAAAGTCATGAAGTCAAAACAGGGTCCACAAGGAGTCAATGCAATTTAAAAAATATAACTGCAGTGAAATATGGTACAATTATGTTGCCTAACTGAAGGACTAAAAACGTTCTCTCTAGGGGAACCACACCAGGTACAGTTTTTTCTGAGAGTGTGACAGATCTGTCATGGCATGTGTTTGGCATGGCCATGTCAATGTTATGTAGCAGGGTACAAGTAAAGGGTTACTGTTTATTTTAATAGTGAAATGAGAACAGGGTATTGATGTCTGTGTGGATGGTGTCTGTGGGTGCAGATCATGGTATGTACACTTTTGAAGGGTATTTACTCAGGCTTTTCTTACCACTCTGGACTCTATTTAGAGTTAAGTGCTGGATATGTTTTTAGAGATTTATCTATGTGTTTTGTTCAACCTGTGTTTGTCTGTGATGTGGGTCAGATTGGGAGCTAGCATGTGTGTGTTTGTCCAGGCCTGACCCGATGAGCCAACACAATAGTGAGTGCAGAGTAAGCAGAGCGGCCTTACTGGCCACAGTCCGCTCTGCTAGTGTGCGTGGAACATGCTAGCGTTCCGGCACAATAGCCCCCCTTTGCGGGGACCGTCGGCCAGCAGTGCCCTCTCCTTTTTCTCCCTCTCCTTTTCTTTACCGTTCTTTTTGCGCCTCTCCTCCACACTATGGGGTCGGGGAGCAGGCTGAAGTTTGCAGTTTGCGAGGTGCTGCAGTTCGCCGCCTTCTGCGTCCCGCTCTTCATCGTGATGCAACGCTTCGCCCTCATCTTGGCGCGAGTGAAGAGCCAGGCGCAGCCCTCTGGTGGGGATTCCACCACTGCCTACTGGTTGATTGTGGCCTCATCTGTGGCCTATGTGACAACCATGGCAATGCTGGTGTGGCTGCCTATGAAGTACATGGTGTTCATGAAGAAGAAAGCCCTGGTGGGGAGGAAGAAGTGGTGAGAGAGAGAGGAGGGGGGTCATGCTGCCCTTCCTTGGTTTCTTGCGGAGTGTATGTGTTTGCGCACAACTATGTGTGAATAATTGTGACATGGCTCTTGTGTGTGTATATTTTAGTCATTGTATGTGCCAGGCTTCAGATCAGTATTTAAATCATTAGCTTAGTTCCCCAATGGCCTTGACTGGGTATAAACTGCATTTATTTTGTGTCCATATTTACTGTCACTCCCTGACTGCTGTTGTTGCATCATATTTCCCTTGTGCATCGTGATTATCCCAGCTCTGTGATGAGTACAACTGGATTGGTTTTCAACATTTTAGAACAGCTATTTAGGACAAGTAATGAAGTGTTTAAATAAGCTTATAATCCAGTTGCTCAAGCTAGAGTTATTTTAGGGTTACTCTATTGCTCTTGTTTGCTTATTTTAGCTGTTAGCTAAGCTTCACTTTGGCTTTAAATAATGATCACAAAAGAATTTTATAAAAATGCTGTAAAATAGGTTATGGATTTACTTTAATTTAAGCTAGAATTATACTATTCAGTACTTAGAACAAATGGGTAGTGTGGTCTACATGACTTTAATTTGTTTGAAGGCTGTGAATACATAATATTTCTTTCTTATTGTTATGTAATTAAGTTAGGCCTATTCGTGTTTGAGTAATTTTTCTTTCTCTTTAGGAGACCTGTTGCTCTGGCCTATGTGCTCCTCTCCACACTGCCGTCATTTGCGTTCCTAATAGCGAGCTCTGAGGTAAATTTCAACATTTTTGGACTACTTGTTGTTATGATGGTTAGTTTTTTCATTGTTATCCTTACGATCCAATGCATTCCAAGGGTCCTATTACCGAAACGTCCTAACTTTGAAATCTTATTTGTTTAGTCACTGTGACAACTTCAGTTATGACTGAATTCAGGACCGTAGCTATTACAGAACAACAGTTCCAAAGTTCATACTGTTATCCTAACTCTAACCTAACCTAAAGAAAACAGTATTACAGAAACGTCCTAACTAGACAAAGTTTCCTAAATTCTGTCCTAACTTTAAAACAACACCAACAGTGTCCTAACTTCTGTTTTAACCTTCTGTTTTTAGGCAACTGTCACAGGCAGCATAGTTCACTACTATTCTAATGACATTACATTTATTTATATTGCAAAATGGTGGTGTCAATTGTGAGATGGTTTTCTTTTCTAGCTCATTTTAAAAATCCCAGACACTGCAGATACAATTTCCACCATCAACTGTGATTATCTTCATGTGATAATGTTGATGAAAACTCATCAAATTAGGTATTACAGTGATGGGCTTGAACAATGAGGAAACAGAATTGAACGTCTGGCTGTTTATTAGGAGGAATAACATTCAGCGCCTGCAGTCTGCGAAAGCATGTGGGAAATGGAAACTGAAACTGGGGAGTGGCAACACATTGATAAACAGCAGGAGGGACACTCACAATATTCTTAATCTCCAGTTTATTGCACTTTTGTATTGTTTTGACCTTTTTACGTTAGTAACGGTAGCTGTAAATGACACATTTATTGTTATTTTAATGTGTTTATGTATCAGCTGTGCACGGATCATCGATTGCTGTTAACAGACATGACAGTTGATTGTCGACTTTGATGGGGTAGGTTAGGATTTCCTAAATTGACATAAAGTAAGATGCTGTATTAGAATTATTGTTTGATTTATCATCCTCACAGTTTTAGTTTCAGCTTATTTTAGTTGGCTGTTTTTATTTATTTTACTGAGTTTTTTTTGGCTAGTTTAGCAGTTTTCTCATCATGAAAAGCAGCAGTGAGGGCAACACGCAGGCTGAGGTGAGCTCCGTTATAGCCTACAGAGAATGGAGCATGAGGAGCTTTTGAAGCTACAAGCTCATCTGAATGTGAGAAGGATCACCCTGGAAGTGGCTTGGCAGGTGCCCCACTCGGCTGGTGCAGTGCCCCACTTGGCTGATGCAGTGCCGCACACAGCTGGTGCAGTGCCCCACTCAGCTGGTGCAGTCTGTCCTGGACCCAGTACCAAGTTCAAAGAACACAGGCTACAAGGTAATGGGACTGCAGAAACTGTGAGCACTTCCACCCTTCCACATTGTGACTGTCAGTCTGTGACCTAAAGGAGTTGTTGGCCAGAGAAAACTTCACCCTGTGCCAGATTCTTGTGACTAGGAGTGCCCACAACTCCAGCAGCACTGGTGTTCCCCTCCTCAACTACTGCTAGAACTTACCACAACAAATAAGTTTGAGGCAAAATGTGATAAATGTGAAGTCTCTGCTGTTTTAGCATATTTTCTTTTAAAAAAGGCATGCAGTTCAACAGGCGGTTAGTATTTTCATTTCTATGTCACAGCAAAGTAGAGTATGTTGGCACTCTGTGACTGACATCGAACACTGTTCAGTTTCTCAGCACCCCACTCTGAAACCACGGAAAACCTCAATTGATCACATGTGACTTGAAATTTACACAGAGAAAGGCAGACAATCTTTTAGAAAAACAGACATATGCTAATGGTCTGTTACCTCAGCTAAAATTACTAGCATAGTCTTTATTGTTTTTTTTGTTTTTTTTCCAGCTCAAAATCAGTAAGTTTCTGAAGAGCTGGTAAGCTGATTCAAAGCACGATACATGATTTTGAAAGTTTTATTTAATTAAATTTAAATGTGTAGAGTGTAATGATTAACTAGACATTTTATAGTACCATCCTGCTACTTGACGCTATACAGTCTCACAGTGCTCTTCCCCTGCATTCGTTTTTGAACACACAGCAGCGTGTTCTGGCTAGTCATAAATGAAATTGTATTAATTCTGGTCCTTGATTAATCATGTGCACATCTAGTGAGGATGAGTAGGGGAGAGGAAATATGAGTATGGGGGCTCTCCGATATAATGAACAGTTCTGCACTGTTAATCACCTCCTCACTCTATTGATACTTGTGTGAGTCTTGAGTACATGTCTTCGTTTGAGTGCTTTTTCATTCTTGCTGCCTTGTATGTGCTGTGTCTTTTTCTCTCTCTCTCACTCTCTCTCTCTCTCTCTTGCGTTACCACAAAAGTCAGAATGCTAAGTCAGATGAACCTCTGGCCTCACTTCCTACTTACGTACCACCTTCACACTCTGGCCCAATTTATGGCACTGTGCATGAGATGCATGTGCGCTAGGGAAGGAGGATGCTGACAAGTTAGTTTGGAAGACTTTGAAGAATTCCCCTCTGTGGTGAAAGGCTTCATCTCACTTCCTCATTATTTCCAGGAATTTACTCCATGTCTTGATGTACTGGCATGTATGCCCTCAAAAAGACTGGATTTCCTAAAACTGCTTGACGTTCCAGGATGATTTCTGATGTGTTGAAGTGCACAGAATGAGTGATGTACCTAACAAGCCCAAGGACAGTGATAAAATGAGTCATCTGACATAATTAGTGATCCTTGGAATTTATTTTATTTCTATGAAATGAGTAATGGGGGACGTAAAAAGCGTTACTCGTTATTTCTAGAACAGCATCCTTGCTTCTTTGAAATCAGTCAGTTCTTCAGGAACAGGTCCATTACCATCCTGAACAGATGGCAGCAGGCAGTGTTTACTCAAGCCTTCATGTAACATTTTTATAAAAGAAATGCTGGTGTACAACAACAGAGTAAAAGACAACTCATTAGATCATAATTTATTATAGTGTTTTTAGATCTGTATTATGTATGTGTGCACTGTTTAGTATAAACAGAAAAGATTGAATCTAGATAAGAAATACACTATATGGACAAAAGTATTGGGACACACCTTTAATCGTTAAATTCAGGTGTTCTGTTCAGTCCCATTGCTACAGGTTTATAAAATCAAGCACCTAGCCATGCAGTCTGCCTTTACACACATTTGTGAAAGAATGGGTCATTCTAAAGAGCTCATTGAATTCCAGTGTGGTGCTGTAATATGATGCCATCGTTGCAACAAGTTTGTGAAATTTCTTCCCTCCTAGATATTCCACGATCATCTGTGAATGGTATTACTGAAAACTGGAAGCATTTAGGAACCACAGCAACTCATCCACGAAGTGGCAGACCATGTAAAGTTACAGAGTGGTGTTGCAGAGTGCTGAGGAGCATAGTGCATAAAAGTCCCCAACACTCTGCTGACTCAATAACTGCAGAGTTCCAAACCTCCTCTAGCATTAACATCAGAACAAAAACTGCACTGGGAGCTTCATGGCATGGGTTTCTATGGCTAAGCAGCTGCATGCAAGCCTTACATCACCAAGCACAATGCCAAGCGTCAGATGGAGTGGTGTTATGGAAACATATTCCATAGAGTGACAAATCACGCTTCTCTTTCTTTCAGTGTGCTGGACGATTCTAGGTTTGGCGAATGCCAGGAGAACATTACCTGCCTGACTGCGTTTGAAGTCCGGTGGAGGAGGGATAATGCTATGGGGTTGTTTTTCAGGGGATGTCGTAGGCCCTTTAGTTCAAGTGAGGGGAAGTCTGAATGCTTCAGAATTCCAAGACATTCTGGACAATTGTCTGCTTCTGACTTTGTGAGAAAAGTTTGGGGAAGGCCCTTTTCTGTTCCAGCATGACAAAGCAAGGTCCATAAAGGCATGGTTGGGTGGGTTTGGTGTGGAAGAACTTAACTGGCCTGCACAGAGCCCTAACCTCAAATCCATCGAACACCTTTGGGATGAACTACAGTGGAGATTGTGAGCCAGGCCCTCTCGTCCAACATCGGTCTCTGACCTCACAAATGCTCCTCTGGATGAATGAGCAAAAAGACACACTCCAAAATTTTGTAGAAAGCTTCCCAGAAGAGTGGAAGCTGTTATAGCTGCAAAGGGGGGACCAACTCCATATTAATGCCTTTGGATTTAGAATGGGATCTCATAAAAGCTTGTGTAGGTATAATGTGTAGGTGTCCCAATACTAAAGAAAGTTTGCCAGAGGAATATAATCACAAGTCTAAGATAAATATATAAAAAAGAAAATAATAATAATAGACTGCTTTATCATCAAGCATTTTCACTATTTTGCCCATCCATAGTAGTTTTTACACATTCTATAATGAAATGGTTTGACGGTCATTTGATTAGCTAATTTATAGCTCTCTGCAAAAATATAATAAATTAGAGCTAGTTAAGGCCTCAAATATAGCCATTGCAGCTGGCTACATTAAGGTGTTACTGAAATCTAGCCATCATTTGGTGTGTTGTCTGGGGAAAATAATGCAACCTAAGGTTAATTTATAGTAATTTTGAGGTGACAGCTGTTTCTCACCCCCGACCCAATTACAAAGCTGTAGTTTTTTTCTAAATTTAAAGCACCACAAGTACTTGTACAGCCAGAACACCTCCAGTTTTGTCAGAAAGATTTGGAAGAGGGATGAAAGCACCTGCATTTAAAAATTGTTCAGAAGAAGTGGCCTTGTGAATTTAAATGTGTTCTAGGCAGGCGCATCCACAGGTGAATACATAAAGGAATAAATTGACACATTTGTTAGTAAAAAATAATTAGCCACAGGAAATGGGAGAGTAGATCTGGTTTCCTGTTCTCTAAATGTTATGACACTCTGGCTTTGCCATTCCCGGAGATGAATTCCCAATTCACAATGGTATCTCAAGGACAGGGTTCTGTGCCAGTTTTCCATGTTTGTTAGACTTTGGTGGAGCTGCAGTGAGTTAAAAGTGCACATGTGGTATAAATCTCTTTCTTTCTCTCTCTTCTAGGTGCAAATTAGAAATGATATGCGATTGGACACGTTCACTGAGTTACCAGTGTCTCTGGTGCTCTTCTCTCTGATCTGCATTGATATTGTGGAAAGGATCCGCCACTGCAGGCTCACAGGCCAGGGTAAAACCACAATTTACATTCATGTCCCTTGAGTGAATGAAAACATAGCAATACATTATCTGTCTGTTGCTGCATTCTTAGTGCACTGTACTGTAACACTCGCCAGTATGATCAAGAAAATACCAGTCGTGAATATAAGCTTCCTTCAGTTAAAAACAACAATAAAACAACAGTGCACAGCATCATCTAATGATCTGTGTCAAACTTGTCAAAGGTCTAGTGTACATAATGAAACAAAGCAAGATAAGAGAGATAAAGTGGAATAAAAGCATGATCATCCTAACATAGTTAGGTGTGAAAGTGAGTTTATAGTTGATCAAACTTTGCGATAGTCAGAAGTCTGGCATGAAAGACTAATAACAGGGTAAAACAACTGCATGTACATAAAGTAAAGTGAGATATGTACCAGTCATTTCATTAACTTTTTAATTTTATTTACATAGTGATTGGATAATTTTCCTTTTAGCATTTCAAGATGTGAAGTTTTTCATTTCCAACCAACACCTAACAATGAAATAAACTATTACTATAATACTTAAAAAGGTTAAATACAAGGAAAATACATGATAAGTTTAGTCAATTACTGACTATAAATAATGCTAATAGCAATGTTTAGTACATTTTAGTTAGTTAGAACTAGTGTGTAAACAACTTTGCTTTACTGTCTGTATGTTACATTACTTTAGAATTGCTTTAGAATATAAGTCTCTTTAATAAAACTTAAATGTATTACTGTTTAGAATTATTATGAATACACTTTTAATTAAAAAAGAACTCCATTTATGTTCTTAAAAATGGCATAGGTGCAATAACCAAAATAAGATTTACAACATACCTTCGCTTTATTGATAGATGATGTTTGCCAGCTTGTAGCATCACTTAACCAGTAATGTTGGCATCTCTGTTTTGCTTTCTTTGTATCCTGTTACAATTTATGAACTTGTATTATTCATAAGCTTGTATATTTTCGAGTTTGACATAAGCACTTGAACTTAGTGTAGATAAAAAATGACCCAATACCAACAAATTGGAGTCTGTCACAGTCATTAGATTCTAACAACCCATCCCAGTTTTGCAATTACAGTAGCATCAACAGCAGTCGTGGACAGGACATGATTTGAAGTACTCCTGAGTGGCACACTGTCTAACTGCCGAGTCATCAAGAGGTCATGAGATTGAATCCTGGTGATGCCTTAGCCCTCCATGGTCAGACATCTGAGAAGAGGAATCTCTTACTCCCCCAGCACTGTGTGATAGAGGAACATGTAACCTGTGGTTAGAATTTAGCATTAACTAAGCTGAAGGAGGAACTGAGTAAAAATCCACCAGAAAAAATGAGCAGTTTCAGCTTAAGGCCACCACATTTTTTGGAGTAAGCTCAAGTCAGAATGTTTGTTGACCTAACCTAAGGTGCAAACTATGAGTTTTTATGAGAAATTTTGACTAAATGTGAACTTACGTTGACTTAAAATTTCAAGTTTTATTTTATTTATTTATTTTTTTTGGGTGTATCATCTGGCCTACTGAGTTCATCCTAATTGATCCCAAAGAAATATTTTCCTTATTCTACATGCAACATGATTGACAATACAGTCACAAGCAAATGTTTGGGTGCCACAGTCAAATTACAAGCTTTGTTGGTTGAAAATCAGTTAACTCATCTTCGCCAGAGAGCACACTTCTGCAAATTTGCATAAAATCTACATAAAAATGCTATATTTAAGTTTGTTCCCTGTAGAGGATATGTTAACTTATTTTCACTTAAAAAAATCAACAGATGACTGTTTGACTGGGGGTGTTTAATATTCTAACTCTCTGTTTTGCTTTTTTTGTGTGTGTGTTTTGCATGTTTAGCAAATGAACTGGCTCGGGACGCAGACATCCCAACCCTTACCCAGGTAGAGACAGTGACCCCAATAGTCACCACAGCCACTGGGCCATCTCCTGCAGCAACCAATGCCAGCACAGGCACACAGAATGGAGCAGGGGCCGCTAATGGGGCCATTCCACGGTTGCCTGGACCTGCCACAGTTGCGGGTTTACCAGCTAATGGGGTCGTTCCAGGGTTGTCGGCCGGTGGGGCAATTCCGGGGTTGCCAGGCAACACGACAGTCCCAGGGATACCCAGCAATGGAGCAGTACAGTTACTGCCAGGTAACAGCCAAGGGCAGCGGTACGCTATCGCGGGGATTTGTCCTCGCACTGGCTTACCCATAAGAAATTTTCCATATGCCCCTCCGTACACCGGACCACTCCGCTTTCTACTAGCAAGTGATGCACGCGCTGACGTGTTTGCCGACAGCTTCCTGTTCTGGTTGGACACGGCAGAAATGGTACGAGTGGCGAGTCACACCCCAGTCTACTTCTCAGGCTGGGCTTTACCAGTCTACCTCTTCAGCTTTCTTTCGATGCTGCGATTGGTTCCCATGCCACACAGTCCCCTCCTCTCCCCTCTGGGTGTAGCTTTGCAGGACCTCCCTTTTCTTTTTCTAAGGGTGGCACTCATAGCCATTTTTGGGTTTGTCACGCCAGTCCTCTTCGTAATGAAGAACTTGCTGGTCTGCTTGGCCTACATTTACTTTAACTTTATGACCAAGCTGAAAATCTTCAACACTGAGAGAATGTTCTGACAGAACCCATAAATGAAGTTACAGTGAGATGAACTGTTGAGGAACACAGGATTATGAATAACATAGCCAGTCTGAGCTGCTATGCGGACATTAATGACGCGACCGATGAGGAATGGAGCAGGTTTCCAAATCATTACGTTTGAAGATGGGTTACAATAAGGAGACGCATTTTCTTGAAAAACAAGTCAACCAGGAAAGATTCCCTGATTATATTTTCCACAAAAGATATAGATGGTTTGATTAGGGAAATTGTGCTAAAGTTAGATAATGCAATAGAATAATGCCAAAAGAGCTATTTCAGTGAGTGATGAGATTTGGAACCTGGGCTGCTGCACTTTGACCAAAGTTTGATGTTTCAAGGAATGTTAAGGTGATTCCTTGTTGTTTATAAGTTATCTGACTTCTTATCTAGCTTTAATGTTTTTTTACATGCTCACACACACGTATACACACACTTTGATCTTAAATCACACATGTCCCATTATCTTTAAACTGTGCATAATTACTTATGTCTTACTCATATTAATTTAATACACAACAGTGTGATTTATTTTTTTACTTTTTTCCCCTGATGCTGGTTTCATTTGGTTGTGGTTCAACCTACAAACACAAGAAGGGGTCCTTTTCTCTCTGTGAAAGAAGAAATAAAAATGGGAAATTGGAGATTTTTGGTATTTTTGGATTTTTGTACACTGGGTGTGAAGAACAGAGTTTGTGTTTACATGTTCATGGTGGTTTGATGTCTTTTTACTCTCACGCTCGATGTCCTGCTGTGCTCGTCTTTCTGATAGCTTCCTCTTTCATCTGTCTTTGGTTGTGCATTATATATTCTCAGATTTATCTGTAGAAATTTATACTATTTATACTAAAGATCATATATTTTAGATGCCTCCCGTAGTGACTGATCTTGAGGTTGTTTAAAAGTTTGGAAAACCAATTTCAATTGATCCAGATTTTCATTTTTATGGTATGTGCATACCTCACCTCTTTCTTGCCCTGGGCAGGAAACAGGATTTCCCCGCTTTGTGCTCTAGTGCTTGGAGCGCATTTCCTTCTTGCTGAGCTACAGGTCCTCTAGGGTTCCTATTGCTTTTCTTTCACTTAATCAGCACTTTCTCACTTTCCCTCACTCTCTCCCACTCTCTCTTTCCACAGAGTCTTTTTCTACAGAGCTGTAATTACCTTAGATAATAAACACTACCATGTAAAAATTTAGAATTCATTTTTATAATAATATAACAACAGGTTTTCAGATATAATATGACATACAGTGGAGGAAATAAGTATTTGATCCCCCACTGATTTTGAAAGTTTGTACTCTGACAAATAATTAAACAGTCTATGATTTTTATGGTAGCTTCATTTTAACAGTGAGAGATGGAATACCAAAAAGAAAATCTAGAAAATTAAATAATATTTAAATAAAAAATAATTTGCATTTCATTGAGGGAAATAAGTATTTGATCCCCTAAAAACCATGACTAATGTTGGCTCCCACAGACCACTGACACACCCTAATCTCAGTGAAGTCGTTACCTGCATGAGAGACACCTGTCCCAAATTGTCACCTGTATAAAAGGCCACCTGCCAACAGACTCAGTGACACTCCAACATCTCCACCATGGGCAAGACTAAAGAGCTGTCTAAAGATGTCAGGGACAAAATTGTTGACCTATACAAGGCTGGAATGGGCTACAAAGCCATAAGTAAGAAGCTGGATGAGAAGGTGACAACTGTTGGTGCAATTATTCAGAAGTGGAAGAAGTACAACATTACTGTCAATCGACCTAGGCCTGGAGCTCCATGCAAGATATCACCTCGTGGAGTCTCATCGATCATGAGAAAGACTAAAAATCAGCCAAGAACTACACGGGAGGAGCTGGTTAATGATCTCAAGGCAGCTGGGACCACAGTCTCCAAAAAAACCATTGGTAATACACTGAGACGTAATGGTTTAAAATCCTGCAGTGCACGCCAGGTTCCTCTGCTCAAGAAGGCTCACGTCCAGGCCTGCCGCAAGTTTGCCAATGAACATGTTAATGACTCCGAGAGAGACTGGGAGAAGGTGCTGTGGTCAGATGAGACCAAAATTGAGCTCTTTGGCCTCAACTCAACTCGACGTGTTTGGAGGAAGAAAAATACAGAATATGACCCTAAGAACACCATCCCCACCGTCAAGCATGGTGGTGGAAGTATTATGTTTTGGGGGTGTTTTTCTTCTAAGGGCACAGGCCAACTTCACCGCATCGACGGGAAGATGAACGGGGCCATGTATCGCAAAATCCTGGGTGACAACCTCCTTGCCTCCGCCAGTGCACTGAAAATGGGTCGTGGATGGGTCTTCCAGCATGACAATGACCCAAAACATACAGCCAAGGAAACAAAGGAGTGGCTCCATAAGAAGCATATCAAGGTCATGGAATGGCCTAGCCAGTCTCCTGACCTCAATCCCATAGAAAATCTATGGAGAGAGCTGAAGCTTCGCGTTTCCAAATGCATGCCTAAAAACCTTAAGGATTTGGAGATGATCTGCAGAGAGGAGTGGGCCAAAATTACTCCTGAAGTGTGTGCAAAAACTACAAGAAGCGTCTGACTGCTGTGCTTGCCAACAGGGTTTTGCCACCAAGTATTAAATGATGTTTTACTAGGGGGTCAAATACTTATTTCCTTCAATGAAATTCAAATTAATTTTTATTTCTGATTTCATGTAATTTTCTCAGTTTTTCTTTTGATATTCTATGTGTCACTGTTAAAATAAAGCTGGCATAAAATTATGAGACGTTTCATTTATTTTTTTGTATTAAAACTTTTAAAGTCAGTGGGGGATCAAATACTTATTTCCTCCACTGTATGAGATGAAATTAAAAAATTTAAACCTGTCCAGAATAATGAATGGAGCTGTAGATGAAAAGTATAAAGAATATCTATTGATGAATGTCTAGAATCTCTGAGAATTGCAAAGCTGGGATCAAGTCTATGTGTGAATTCTTTGACAGGAAGCTATATTCTGCATATATTAACATTTACTATAATCACAGTATATTAATTGTCATTGAATAGCTTCTTGTTCCCACAATTATAGACATCAAATGAAACATGGAAAAAAAACTCAGCGGTACTACATTTGAGTGTGCTTACTGTTTTTATTTCACTTACTGAAAGGTGTTGGGTCAACATAGACCATTAAATTGTATATTTAATTATGATTAGTATTATCATAAACGCTTGTACAGGATGGTCCTAATCTTTGGACCTATTTTAGTCAGTAGACAACCATTCTAAACTAGGAATCACATATTATTTATTTTTTTATTAACTAATAACTTACAGAATGTAAATACAATCCAATGACCAAAATGTGTTTTTGGAACAAGAAGAAACTTTAAAAAGTAACAGTTTAACTAAAATTGTCTATTTATAATCATCTGTCAAGCTGTCAAGCTCTTGGCCTCAAAACTTGATCCCCACTTTTGAAACAAGAGGCATTAATTTTATTACATCATTCTTGATGTTCTACAGCTTTCACAGTTATTTTAGAATCATCTACAGCTCTCTTTGTCATTCTCGATTAATCTAGAATACAACCTGTATGAAACCTGGGAAGGAGCACAAGACTAGTATATTAGAATCATTTCATACATTAAATGCAACCAAATAAGGTTTATCTAATCAAAAACATTGATTACAATATTTTAAATGGTACTGTTGTGGAGTGAAACACGTGCATGTTTTTATATCAAATTTATGAAGTGAAAAAAAGTGCAAAGTGCTAAAAAGTAAAAGTAACAAAAGGGGCTTGGAAGTAGTTTTTCCAAAGTAAATTTTTAAAAATGGAATTGTGTCCCTGAAAACTAACTAAGACTTTATAATGTTATGTGATGACAGTTCAGACCATCATTTTAATAACTGGCATGTGTGAAGGGGGATGAAAGAGTGTCTGTATAAATGTTTGTTTTAGGATGTTTGTCTATCAATGCACACTCACTTAAATATTAAATGAAATGAATGAATGACTCTTGATAAAAGAGTACTCCTTTACTTTCACAATACATTTTCCAACACAGGGTTATCATCCCTGACTACAGGCAATTACCATACAGTGCTGTGAAAGAGTGTTTGCCCCCTTCCCAATTTCTTCTGTTTTTGCATATTGGTCACACTTTAATGTTTCAGATCATCAGACTACTTTTAATATTAGACAAAGATAACCCAAGTAACCACAAAATGCTGTTTTTAAATGTTAAATTATTTCATTTATTGAAGGAAAAATGCTGTTCAGCCCTACCTGGCCCTATGTGAAAAAGTAATTGCCCCCTTAGCTTCTAAATTGACTGGTTAACCAAATTTAATTGACTATTGGGTTCAATTTCACTAGCCACACCCAGATATGATTACTGCCAGACCTGTTGAATTTAGACATCACTTGAACAGAACCTATCTGGCAATGTGAAGCAGACTAGAAGGTCTCACAAAAGCAGCACATGATGGCATGTTCTAAAGAGAAATGCAGATGCAAAGTCATTAAAGTCTACCATTGCTAAGGCTTTGGGACTCCAGCAAACCACAGTGAGAGCCATTATCGACAAATAGAGAAAACTTGGAACAGTGGTGAACCTTCACAGGAGTGGCCAGCCTACCAAAATTTCACAGAGAGCGCATCAACAACTCATCCACGAGTTCACAAAAGAATCCAGACGAACATCTAAAAAACTGCAGGCCTCACTTGCCTCAGTTAAGGTTAATGTGCAATAAGAAAGACATTGGCCAAAAAATGTCATCCGTGGAAGAGTTGCAAGGCACAAACCACTGCTGACCAAAAAGAACACAAAGGCTCATCTCACATTTGCTAAAAAACATCTAGATGATCCCCAAGACTTTTGTAATAATATTCTGTGCACTGATGAGTCAAAACTGAAACTTTTAGGAAGACACGGGTCCCTGGCCTAAACATGTCAAACATGGTGGTATTGCAATGGTCTGGGGCTGCTTTGCTTCTGCAGGACCTGGACGACTTGTTATAACTGATGGAACAATGAATCCGGCTCTCTATCAGAAAATCCTGAAGGAGAATATTCACCTATCAGTTTGTGAACTGAAGCTCAAGTGCAGTTGTGTTTGTGCAGCAGGACAATGACACAAGCAAGTCCACCTCTGTATGGATCAAAAGGCACAAAATTAAGGTTTTGGAGTGGCCGAGACAGGCAGTTTATGCTCAAAAACCCTCTAACGTAGCCCGATTAAAATAATTCTGCAAAGAAAAGTGGGTCAAAATTCTTCTTTAGCGATGTAAAAGAGTCTTAAGTTATCTCAAACGTTTGATTGCAGTTGTTACTACTGTGGGTGGCACGACTAGTTATTGGGTTTGGGGGGACAATTACTTTTTCACATGGGTGATATAGGTTTTGAATAAATCTTTATCTTCAATAAATGGAACAATCATGTCAAAGCTGCATTATGTGTTTACTTGTGTTGTCTTTATCTTATATTAAAATAAGTTTGGATGATCTGAAACATTTAAATCAAAGAAATCGAGTGAGGAGCAAATATTTTTCATGGTACTGTAATCCTTGGGAAAGTCAGTCCAGTATGCTCTGAAATTTGACAAAAAAACTGTCGAATCAATGAGTTTCCTATAGCTTATTCTAGTTGACCCTCATTAAATTAACTGAATGAGAACAACCTCTTTAACATAGTTATAAGTGCCTAATCTTGAATAATCTCATTTAAATATAGTGAGTGAGATAAAGCAACAGTTTAAGTATTCATATGTAGGTGTTCAAATGCTACATAAGCTACTAATGAATAGTACTGGCATATAATTTACTTAGCAGCACTCACCACTCCCATTTGAATGACAATATTTGAAGTTAGCCTTAAACATGAAAGGCACTTGGTGGTTTAATTTGTTCATTCATTCACTTACCCATCCATTCATTTATATAGTAAATGATAAATTTGTTTAAAAAATACCTTTAAGATAACAAAAACCATTTAGAATGTGTGCATGCATATGTGTGTATGCAGAAGAGAGACTGAGAGGATGATACAGAGATGCTTTGCTCAGCAGGGAAACACGTGAAGTGCATTGGGGTTCCTGTATTTAACTCCCACCCCCAAAAGGACTCACACTACATTACTACTACCTTTAAACCCAGTTAAAGGCAAGTGTGAGTCCCACGCTGATTGGGCCAGAGCAGAAACCCACACATACAGACGCGTGAAGACATACTCCCTCCCTGGATTACTCTTCTTGGATTATGAACTAAAGCTGAAATATGAAGAAGTTCAGTTTTCCTCTGTTTGTGCTTCTGTGCCTCTGCACATCTTTGCACTACACTGTTCAACTAGGTAAGGACTTTAGTAGCTGTGTTTTTTGGATTAAATGTATAGTGCTTGAAAAATACTGTTGTGAAGTACTGTTAGAAGTTTAGTTAACAATTTTGAAGTCACCAAGAACATGCAGGCATATATTACATGCAATGATTGTAATGTGACTGTTATATGATACTGCTAATACAATATATGATCAACAATTTTTAATGTAAGTTAATAGTAATAAGATTTCATTCTGAATGTCTGTTGGTTCATTCATCATGAATTGTTCACACATTATAAAGGGCAGCTGGCATTTTCAAATATGATAAAAAAAACCTGAGGTTTTGATCTGGCTGCAACAATATAGTTAATAATTTATTCCCTGTTCTGTGTTCTCACAGACAGCAATGCTTTCCTCATCTACAATGAGGCTCACAACAAGTGTGTGAAGGTGGTGAACCCCAACAGTGCTCAGGCCACCGACTGCGACCCATCCTCGGACGCCCAACGCTTCCGCTGGATCTCCTCTTCTCGCGTTCTGAGCGTCTCCCACAAGTTCTGCCTGGGGGCTCAGGACCTCAAAGAATGGGTGAGGGTGATAGTCCTCCCGTGCAAGGAGCGGAGTCCCATGCAGACATGGGAGTGTAAAAACGAGACCCTGTTTGGTCTAAAGGATCAGCCCTTGCATTTTAACTATGGGAATCGCCATGAGCCCAATATCGTGATGTACAAGGGAACTGGTTCCTGGAGCCGCTGGCAGATATACGGGACCAAGGATGATCTGTGCTCTCATGGATACCAAGGTATGTTCACCACTGTGCTGACTGATTGGCCGATAGGTAGTTATGCAGGTAGTTCCAGACTATAGATTGAATTTAAGCAGGAGGCTCATCATTTGACTATATGCACTAATGCATGGTGCACGTTCTGCATGCCAAAGTGTTAAACTTTGTCTCTTAAACTTGAGTGATGTATTGCTCTGTCTAGTCTTGTGAGCTAGTTCCGATTATGATGACTGGTCAGGTTTTAGTGGATGTAGAATTTTTAACTGCAACGAAAGAGCAGCCAGAAAGTCGATCAAACAAGTGTGAGTCCAATATAGCAATCAGCTCTATACAGGATGCATATCAGTACTGAACAGGAATAAACACAAGCACCTTGCTAGGAAAAAAAATGTGAACAAAAATACTGCACAGTAGGAGCACTAGAATGAATGCTGCATACAGGCCTCTGATGATTGGCTGGAATTGGAAACAGGTATCTGGAGACTTTGAGCACTGAGTGCATTACATCCATAATTATAATTTGTGATTATTTTGGTCCCACTTAATATCATGTTTCCTCTTTGAAAGATATTGCATTTACTTATGTAATTATAGCATATAAACCATTGAATTAATTGATCCTTCCGCATTTTCTGTTAGTGGTTCAAGGTTTGTTACTGTAAATGGTTCAATGCTTGTTATTTACATTCCATCTCAACTAGTTTCTTTACTCTCACTCATTGTTTTCTGCAGAGGTGTTCACCATTGGTGGCAATGCTTACGGCAGCCCCTGCCAATTTCCCTTTAAGTTTAAAGACAAGTGGTACGCTGAGTGCACCGTGGATGGCCGATCTGATGGGCAGCTCTGGTGCTCCACAGAGACGGACTACGACAAGGACAAGAAATGGGGTTTCTGTCCCACCAAATGTAAGACAACTCTAATTTTACAGTGGAAAAATGGCTTAAGAGACCTTGAAATATTAGACCAGTATTGTACTATAATAAATATGATAGCGCAGATACAATTTTCTCTAGTATATATTAACTCAGAATGAACTCCCTTGTATATCTGTGGTAAGTTTGTGTTTGAGTTTAATGTGTTTCATTCCTGCTTTGCTGTTTTATAAGTATTTCAATCATTTGTTCAGATTCATTAATTCGCAGTTGAGGAGAAACGTTTGGTAATTTCTGTTTGGAATGGTAGGAATCACACAGAAGGCATGCAGGGAGCAGAGACCACACACTAAGTGACAGCTATGCAAAGCCAAAAGTGCTGTGGTAGTTAAAAAGGATGATTTTCCTGTTTTGCTCTGTCCTGTATTAGGGCCATAAAATGGGGGTCAGTCCCAGTATCTGGTCCTGGGACTGACCTGCTGATACACACACTTCCTGTGAAGTTGTTTCCTGTGCTCTCTGTTTTCCTGTTGTAATGCAGATGTATGCAAGGGGTGTTTTTTGCTGTCTATGTATGATTCCCCTCATTTCGGCATTAATATACATTACATTAATAGAAATAACTAGATTAGTCAGACATGTGCCATTAAAGTAACTTCCTTTTGGGATAAAACCTCATATCTCCAAAATGGTAACTGTACAGAAGATGGAAAAACACATTTTTCATGGAACTAAATTTGGTTCTCTGGCATTTTTGGCCATTTCTGTTTGTTAGTTTTGTCATGAAATGTTGACACAGTGTAAAGGGCAACTGGCATTTTCAAATTATATTAAAAACTGATCATACGAGATTTCGTATATATGTATATGTTTTATTTTATAGAGCATTCAGTAATTATCAGAGCAGCCTGCTGGAAAAAAAAACAGACAAACAACTAACAGCATTTCTTTCTCTCTCTCTCTTTTTCTGTGTATGTGTATATCAGCAACGTCGGGTTGGGACAGTGATCCAGTAACTGGTGTGCTTTACCAGAGGAACACTCAGTCAGTACTGACCTGGCACCAGGCTCGTAAGAGCTGCCAACAGCAAGGCGCTGATCTCCTCAGCATCATAGAGCTACATGAGCAAACATACATATCAGGTACACAAAAACACAAACCTGAACTCGTCGACCAGGAAACTTGAAGTAACACAGGAAAACAAATACAGACATTATTACAGCACTAAGCAATACAACAATAATTATTATGGACTTCACACTGCTTTCTATAGAGAACATGCTAACAAAATGTGAGGTTTCACAAAATACTCTTACAAAATAAGAGTTAAGACTAATAACTGAATAATAATGAATTTTGCTGTCTTTTTGCAGGTTTGACTAATACACTTGGCTCTTCTCTGTGGATTGGACTGAATAGTCTAGACTTTGAGAGTGGCTGGCAATGGAGCAATGGCAACCCATTCCGATATCTAAACTGGGCTCCAGGTACACACACATACTTGCGCTACAGCATGCAGTCTAATATTAAACCCACTGTTTCAGACAAATTGGTGTTAAAATACCTGTACCCTATTTCTCAGGCCACCCCTCATTGGAGCCTGGCCTGAACTGTGCTGCATTAAATGCTGGGAAGGCATCTAAATGGGAGAGTATGAGCTGCAGCAAGAAACTGGGTCACATTTGCCGCAAAGGAAACTCCACTATCATTACGCCTACCGTGGGTAAGACATACACACACAAATGCTTAAACTCACACATATACAGTGGTGTGAGACCATCCTTTCATTTATTTAGTTTCCAGTCAAAATGGCACAATAGTACACAATATTTGTTTTTCAGCATCATGCCTTTACTACAGCGTGCATTGTTTTCAAGAGATTTGCTTTCAGTGTTTCCAAAGAAAATCTGCAGGGATAATTTTCACACACTCCATAGTTCAGCCTAAGAAGTTGGTTCCATTTTCTGCTTCTCGCATTCTAAGTAATCCCAAACACATTCAGTGATGTTGAGGACTCTGGGGAGGTCAGTCTATTGTTCTGAGACCACCAGCAGCTTCTTTGTTTGATTTGCAAATGTTATTCTTTTTTGTCTATTTCCTTTTTTCAGTAACAGCTTCTTGACAGCTACACATCCTTTTAGACTCATAGTGTTGAGTTGTCTTCTCACAGAGGAAGGATGGACAGAAACACCTGTGGATTTTTCAGATCTGAAGAGTAGAGCTTGATTTTTTCCTCTCTCTCAGAGATGAAAGCTTTAAGCACTGTTTATCTGATGGTGACTCACTTGATGGCTCTGTATCTTTTAATAAATTAGTTCCAGTTTTGGGAACTCCTTTTTTTATTTTTAAAAATATGCCATTCCTTATGCAAATAGATAATAAATCACTGAAAAATTAGTTATTTATGCTTAATGGCCATTTTCACTGTAAATTAAATAAATGAAGGGTGGTCTTAGTACTATTCAAATTTTACATTTGCACCTTGTTTATTGATCTACCTCTCCATCATTCTGTGTGTGTGTTACGTAGATAAGGATCAGCCCAGTTTCTGCCCAGCTCAGTGGGTGCCGTATGCAGGCCACTGCTACTCTATCCGACGAACTAAGATGATGTGGAAAGATGCTCTGGCAGCCTGTCATAAAGAAGGAGCAGACCTGGCCAGCATTCACAACATAGAGGAGCACAGCTTTGTCATCTCTCAGAGCGGATACTGTAAGAATGTACACATGCAGACAAGCATTATTCGGGTAAAAGCTTTTTGGAGTTACAAAAAAAAGAAATACTGCTGATGAATCTAGCTGCCATACGTTTTACAATGTTGTATGGATTTATGCATTTCACTGCAGAATTAAGCAGACTGAGAAAATGATTTCACAATGTCAGTGATTTTGTTCAAGAGGAAAATGGTTAATTTTTGTACAAGATACACTGTAAAAAACAAAAAACTTTAAAATGTTAGTTACTGGGCTGCCTTAAAGAGTTAATAGAACTAAGTTAATCGGATGTTAACTTTTAAATTAAAACACCATTTTTTTTACAGTGTATTAGTTTTTCGCTAAAAATGCAGAAAACTGATTTGCAGTGTAAAGCTAATGTAGTATTAAAGAGATAATTATGGTTCCATAATCTGATTGGCTAAGCCATCTTTAAAGTCATTGCAAAATACTAACCATATTTACTTATGACCTCATACATCAATTGTATTAATGCAACAATATGAAAAAAAAAAAACATGCTACCTCTGAGTGGCTGAACCACCTAAGCATTCACCCTATCGACAAGTTCATGGATTCGTTCAGAGAGTCCGAAAGTGAGGCCTCTTTCTCTGGGTGGGTAGGATGGTGTTCCCTCATCACTCATTGTGATGCTTGCTAGCACGGGGGTCCGTTTGCTGCCGTGACAAAATTTACTGATAGCGTTCAGTAAATGTTGTGTCCAATAATGCTGCATCGGAGCCGGTTGTAAAAGATGCGGTGACTTCATGTGTCTGAGAAGAAGCACGTGATAGCCTTCACCCTCCCATGCTGGTAGAGCGATGTGATGGGGAGACTTAACTAATGGCTAAATTGGGAAGACAACTAGGTATAAATACATGTTACCTGGCAGCCATAGCCTACTGCTAACAAACTACATTGCTGCATTGTATTCTATCATATTGTATTTACCATGCTTGAAGAGTTAGGCAGGATTCACAGCCTCCCAAGCATTCTTATTGCTTTATTGTGCTATTGGTTTGACAGAGATGGTGTAAAATTTTGGGACCTTTGTGTTTGAGTAAAATCAGGAACATACTTGCAGCATTAATGTCTGATTCCCACTGAGCCTTTTGACACGTATAGTCCCATGCAAAAGTTTGGGTGCCCTGGTCAAATTACATGTTAACACATCTTCTACAGAGAAACTACTGCATGTTAGTCCACAATTGCTGTTTTTTTTTTTGATGAATGTAGCATGTTGGAGAAAAACATATATTGCAAAATATGACCTGTGTAAAAGTTATGGCACATTTTGTATTTTACGTTTTTTTTTTTCCAGTCTGTTAAGCTCTGCAAATTAACAAATATTATGCAAAACATGTTTTATTCAAGTTAGAATAACTTAGAAAATCGACATAGCATGTAATTTGACCAGGGGTGTACATGCTTTTGCACACAACTGTCTATTCAACAGCACATAATAAAACAATCTTCATAGTTTACATTCAGACTTTTCTCTTTAGCTATACTAACTTGTGTCAATGATTTTGAATAACCTCCTCCATGTTGTTTCATGTTTGTATGTGTGTTCCACAGTGTCCACTGATGAATTATGGATAGGTTTGAATGATCAGAAGACTCAGAATCTGTTTGAATGGTCAGACAGAACCCATGTTACCTTTGCCAAATGGCTGGTAGGAGAACCTTCACATACCACTAACCTCAGAGAGGACTGTGTTCTCATGAAAGGAAAGGTACTCCATTTATGTGCTATATAACTAACACCACTGCTCGTACGTTTCACATTGGTCAAGTGTGTTCTAGTCTCAGAAGTGAATGTGGGTATTTCTTTTGATGATACTGTAGGAGGGGAAATGGGCAGACCACATGTGTGAGAAGGAACACGACTTCATCTGTAAGAAGAAAGCCTCTAGCAAACCTGCAGGATCACCTGACATCATCAGTCCTGGATGCCCTGTTGTGAGTCGTACACTCTCCTCCTCCTTACACATACACATGTCTTAAAAAACTACTCTTTTTTAAACTCTTTTGTACAATATACAGTAACTTTACAACCAATAAGTACAGGACAACAGAGAAAAAACACCAGCTGTTGGTCAACTGCAGCACTTATAGTTATGTGTGTTTTTAGATGAATAAAACTGCAAAAAGAAGTACAGATAAAATGATGGTGCATATCAAGTGTTTGAGGAAAGGTTTCACAGTAAAGTAGAGCGGCTCAGTGCAGAAGGTAAAGCACAACAGATGAAAGTAAGTAGTACAACTGAGGTAGCAGTTCACTGAGAATGTTTAAAGGTCCATTAGGTAGATCCGTTCAGTCTGACTGCCTACAGGAAGAGACTGTTCATGAGTCTGGAGAACTTGGCCCAGATGCTCCCTAGCCTTCTTCCTTTGCTCAATGTAGATGTCCTTAATGGCTGGCAAGCTCGACCCAGTGATGGACTAGGCAGTCTTCGCTACCCACTGCAATGCTTTCCTATCTGAGACAGAACAGTTTCCATACCAGACATTGATACTGCAGGTCAGAGTGCTCTCTTCTGTAGAAGCAGTTGATGACAGGTGTGCGCACGCCAGCCCTCTTCAGTCTCCTTAGGAAGTAGAGGCACTGCTGTGCTTTCTTCACTGAGTAGATGTTCACCAGGACCAGGAAAGATTACCAGTGATGTGTGCTACCAAGTACTTGATGGAGATGCGCTGATGAAGTGATGGATTGAGAGACTCTGTTCTGGATCCTGACTGTCTGAGTTCTGTTATTCAAGAAGTCTAAAACCCAGTTACAGAGAGATGAGCTTAGTCTAAGTGAGTGTAGATTGCTGAACAGCTTCTTGGTTATGATGGTGTTGAATGCTGAGCTGAAGTCGCACAGCATTCTAATATGTTTCCTCATTGTCCAAATGTCATAAGGCCAGGTAGATGGCAGTGGTTATGGCATCCTCAGTGGAGTAGTTTTGCCTGTAGACATATTGGTGGGGGTCTGGTGAAATAGTTCTTTGCAGAGAAACTTCACAACTCAAGGATTTTCTTTACAGTGATGTTGATACGAACCACAGGTCACGATGTTTATAATGCAAATATAGCTATTTTATTTACAATCCAAAATGACCAGTGAACCTACATGTGTCTTCTGATGATTATAATGTTAAAACTGCATTACATCTGAAAAATGTTTTCTACTATTTTGCCTTACTATGGCTTCCTGTACACAATAAATGTTTTAAAAAATACATTTTAGGCCAAAGTGTCATCTCAAAACTACTGTAAAACAATGTCTCAGTCATCAGGAAACATATTAATAACTATTTAGTGTAACAACTTTCTGTGAGGTAGCATTTTAAAAGAATTAAATGCTTAGACATTTGGTTTCCACCACGTCCACTTCGAATAATACTGAACAATTCACATCAAACCAATCTTACTTTATTTACATTGTAATCATTTAATTTTGCAGAAATTTTGTTGAGATCTTACTCAGAGTTCAGCTGACACCGCACTTCCTTTAAACAGAATATCCACGCAACTGCTTTTCTCCATTTAGTGAGAAAATGATGAATAGGATGTGATGTGCCACAAAAAAAGACAAAATGACAATATCTGAGAAGATTCACGTTGTGTCTTTCTTTGGAATGCTGATTCAGTGTTCCCGAAACAATAAAGCTGTGAAAAACATCCATCTTCAGTCACAGGGTCAGAGATCATTACCGCAGGAAAATGCTGATGAGGCTTACTTTTGAATGTTGCTGCTGGCCAAGTTAATGCCATTTTCTAGGATATGATTTCTTCTGTACTGTAGTCCTTGATGAGAAGCACTAATGTTGATGATACCTTAACATTTTTTTTTCTTTTCATTTCGTCAACACCCTCTGACTCAAGGTCTTAGCAGACAGAAAAACAGGTCCATACACTAAGTAAAATATCATACCTGTTAATAAGCTGTTTGATTTCTGTGGTCCCCCAGGGTTGGATCAGGTTTAGCTCTTACTGTTACAGCATTGCTATAGAAGCCAAAACCTTCAACGAGGCCAAAACGACATGTGAGCAGAAAGCAGCCAGCCTAGTCCATGTAGCTGACAGGTAATACATACATCAGTTCAGTTTAAATTGCTTATCTGCATGTCAGTGTACAACTTTCACAAAGTCACATTATATAGACACTTTAGTCTCTCCTCTTGACCCTGTATGTGATAATGTTTTCTTTCATTAGGTATGAAAATGCTTTTCTGATCAGCCTGGTTGGCCTGCGGCCTGAGAAATATTTCTGGATTGGTCTGTCCAACACAGAACGAGTTGACCGCTTCAAGTGGACAAATAAGGAAACAGTGAAATTTACACACTTCAATGTAGGAATGCCAGGTATGTTCACCAATAATACTATAGAGTGTAGCTTGGTTTAAAGGGGAATTCCATCCTGGAGATGTAAACAAGGTCATTCAGGGTGGTTTGGTGTGTAATGCTCCATTCTAGAGAAACTTACCGATTTCTTTGCAGTGTTGATGATAAGAACCAGGGGTCACAATGTCTACAGTGCAAATAGCAATTTTGTTCATCTATATTTCCATTCTTAGTCCATGACAGGGATCAGTAATAAACAATAAGAACAGCCCATATACTCATATGTAAATTTACAACATTTTTATTGGAAATTTACATATTCATGCCATTGTTTGCTGTTTTATATCTGACACTACTTTCACTAAGCCTATTCGTTTTGATAAACATGTCTTTATGTACTTTACTACACTTTCAGCTGAATTGTTCAGAAAAGGGAGCAGGGAACAGACTTCACATGTTCAGTTTGTAGCAGAGATGTGTAGGTTGGTTGTGGTGTAAACACTGGTTGTTGCTTTGTGGTATAAACATGACTGATCAGGCTGAGAATATTTTCAATTATTTGCCAAAAACCAAAATGTGTTGCGCCCTGCACTGTGATTCACGAGCTGCTTCATTCTTCTGATCCTAATCAAACACTATATTTTCAACCTGCAAGGCAAAATCCTGTGAGTTTACATAATGTTATTCCATAGGTCCTTTTTTTCATTAATGTGAGACTCTTGTGTCTCTTTCTAGGCTCTTTCTGTTCTTAGCCACACATTTTTAAGACTATAATGCAAATTTACACCTGGTTTTAAAAGCCAAAGAACAGTCCACGCAAAAACGGCCGCCGCAAGCTGCTCAAGCTTTAGAATATCGAGCAGACTATGTAATCTGACACGTATTGAACATCTCCACCCATTTTTTCACCAACCTCCTCCATTTTGCACCGCCCTACCTCAAATGCATATGCAAGAAGGAGAGAAGCGCATTCTGCCTTTTTTTATTTGCATGGTGCAGAATCTGCATGATTAAGCATGTGTGCAAATTTAGTACCTAACATGCAGAGAGAAAGCGTCTGCATTGTGTCTAAAACTGGTGCTAAAATCTCAGTACTTCAGGCCCAAAGAGTTTTAGTCTGGAGCAAGTTTTTAGCTGAAGACTTATTTTAGCCACACCCTGCATTATGCTCAAAATTTGCTAAAATTTTCACTACAATAAATTCAGCAAATAAACAGAAAGTGTTCTTTGTAGAGGATGACGTTCTCAGTCGTGGAAATGTTGGTCAAATTAAATGCTTTGTTGATTTAAGTGAAAGTAAGTTACACATCCTGTACAGAGAGCTCACTTCTGTGTTTAAACTTCATTTTTTTTGCATACAGTTGTATAGAAGAATGATGTGGAGAAGTACTGCTGACTAATCATATTGATGTAATAATAACTTTGAAGAGACACCTGGAAACTAACAATACTTTTGAATCACACATTATTTTCTGTGACTGTATGACAGATAGGCACCGTGGTTGTGTTGCAATGAAGACTGGAACTTCAGCAGGATTATGGGATGTACTGTCATGTGAAAGCAAACAGAAGTACATCTGTAAGAAAACAGCAGATGGCGTTACTACAACCAAAGAACCTCCTACAACGCAACCTCTCAGTTGCCCCCCCAAATGGATCAAAAAAGATTCTGCCAGTTGCATGCGGGTATGATTACGCAAACACACGCACACACAAACAAAGCCGTGATCATTTTGAATGTTACCATATAAATGGACTCCAGCACTCATAAAAAATCAACTTGTGGCTCCATGCTGCTCCTGGTGACGTGATTCTAGTTGATAAAGTGATAGACAGACACAATCGTAACAAACCTCTCACTTTGACCCTAACTTTTCAGATATACAAGTCTAAAAATGAGAATAAGAAGACATGGTTTGAGGCCCGTGATTTCTGCAGAGCCATTGGTGGTGACCTAGCTAGCTTCCACTCTGAAAAAGAAACTGATACTCTACCGTAAGTGTATCTAAATTGTTTAACCCCTTAAAATCCCAGGGGATCCCATTATTACATGCTAATGCTTATTATTCAGTAACTACAGGGACTTTAATGCCAACTGGCTGAGCTATTCTTAGACTATAGGAGTATGTAATGAAACTTTGGGCACCTGGACATGTAAAGTGTTGAGCTTTTGAGTTATGAATGTCCCTCTATCTCATAGACAATCTATGGAGATCCTCAAGGTTCAGTCTTTGGTCCACATTATTTTTTACCGGCATTGTTGTTGTATAATGTACACTATGTTAGTAGCAGCATGTTTATGTGTAATTTACTGTCTGCTAAAAGGTATGGTGGGGGTTCTGATCCTGCATGGATTGGCTTTAACTCGCTGGATGCTAATGTTGGCTTTGTGTGGACAGATGAAAGTCCAGTAAGTTCATTTTTAATTAACTTTCTTTTTATGTCCTCTTATTATAATATTTTCTTCATTGCTTAGGGTTTTAGTTAAATTAGATGACATACAAAAAAAAACTTGAACCCTAGTCATTGACCTCTGTACACATTGACCAGACATCATTACCCAGGAATGGAATTTATAAGGCAGGGGCCTATTTAAGAACACCAGGTCTATGGAAGAATTTGATGCCCTCAAACTGACTAGTTAATTTTCATGTATATTTTTCCTATGTATTAATATGCTATATGTCCAAAAATTCTGTCAAAAAAGTTCTGTAAGTGTCTTATACGTTCCACTACTTGGGAATGGCTTTTTTGCATTGTTAAAAATGGTATAAAAAAGTTTATCACTTTAGTTTAACGGTCTTTATACTAATATAATGTGATTAGTGGCATAAGAACTTCATAAATACGAGAGCATTGCTTTATAAATATACTGTTCAATGCTTATGCCTGAGTTGTGGCCTTCAAATAAAGTGTTAGCACATTTTGAATAGTGCAAAGCAGTCAAGGTCAAATCTGATTAAATATGTAGGGTTTTGGTAACATATGCTAGGTTTATGTATCCACTTCTGATTTCTTTTCTCCAATGTGTCTGTGTTTCTACATGTTAGTCAGACTACGATAACTGGGCCTATGGGGAACCCAATAATTTCAATGATAATGAGCACTGTGCAGAAGCTACCTTCTACTATGGTCACAGGTGGAATGACAGGGACTGTGAAGCCTACAATGATTGGATCTGCCAGATACGATTGGGTAGGTAACATATGTACACACACATAATCACATACATATAAACACATAACAATATTTTTCAGTTATCTGCATGCAAACAGTACTCCTGTATACCACAATAGTGCACGCACACAATTTTCCCAGTCCTATAATTATCAAGGCTATTTAAATATTAATGTTGTCATTCATGAACAGTGTCAAGTCAGTTAGAGAAGGGAAAACACAAAAAATATTTTAGGAGTGTCAACAAATTTGATTTCACTTTGATCAGACAGTACTTGTGAGTGTGAATTTTAATAATTGAACTTCTGCAGGTGTAACTCCAAAACCACCACCTACGAATTCCCCCCAAGGTAATTGCAATATCCATTGTGTCCCTTCCACGACTTTCAAATAGACTGTCAAAGCATTTGAAATACTGTTTAGTATTTGAAACAAATGTGAATTTTTCCTGTAATGTAAGTTTGATTTTTGTGTATTTTACATGTGTGTGCTTCTTTTCCACACCATAGCGGAGTTTAATATGACTGATGATGGCTGGATTCAGTTCAATGGCAGTCAGTACTTCATCAACAATGACCGCTTATCTATGGAAGATGCTCGTACATTTTGCAAAAAGAACCATTCTGATCTCGTTGTTATTACTGGCCAAACTGAGAGGAAGTTCATATGGAAACAGGTATGATACTAAATCTCTGTTTTTTTAATAGATCAGGCAATGTTGTAGCATTTCCTAATGTTTTATGAATTTCTTCTTGCAGATTTCAAGGGCCAGTGAGGATCAGTACTTCATTGGAATGACAGTGGGACTGGATAAATCCTTTAGGTATATATTGAATGAATGTTTGAAAACACTTTTGCTCACTGAAAATAAAATGAATGCTTCTTTATTTGTCCTCCCAGTTGGGTGGATGGTTCCCCAGTGGTCTATACAGCATGGAACCAAAATGAACCAAACTTTGCCAACAATGATGAGAACTGTGTTACCATTTACAAGAGCATGGGTAAGAGCTATCTACATTGTTTCTTTTTGATAACGGCAGTTGTTGTTATTGGAAGATTTCAGTAAAGTTTTATGGGTGCATCAAACCATGTCTATCTGTCAGGATTCTGGAACGATATTAATTGTGGAGTGCCGTTACCCTCTATCTGTAAAAGAAGTAGTAATTTTGCCACCAGCACAGTGGCACCTACAGCTGTACCAAAGGGAGGCTGTGCCCCTGAATGGACTTCTTTCCAGGGAAAAGTATGTGACATTTCAGTTACAGAAACAATAGTTTTTAAAAAACTACAAATAAATAAAAACATCAATTACAAAAAATTAACAAACACTATCATGTCCTCTGTATCATGTACTCTATCATGTCCTATCTAATTGGAATTTCTTTCCAGTGTTATAAATTTGTAGGGAAGGGTAGTGAGAAATCATGGCATGATGCTCGGCAATACTGCATCTCTCAAGGAGGCAACCTGGTCTCCATTCGGAGTGAAGCAGAACAAGGTGAGTTCCAAACATTTTTGCAACAATGAAGTCATGTTTATGCACCAAAGAGTTTTGTGCCTGTTTTGATTTGACGAATGTGGAGACAAAGTACAGAATATTACTCTTGGAATAATGGTATGTATTGTGCCCAGGCCAAAGATTTTAGGTCAGTTTGTCAAAGTAGAACAAATATTAAACATAGATTAAACATGGCGGAGGTAGTATCAGCCACTGAAGCTGGCTCACCTTACATAAATGGTGTTGTAACTACATAGTGCTAAACAATAATGGCTTTAAAAAGAAACAGAAATAAGTTTTCTACCTATCTACTAAAGCAGTCCTCATTACTGTGGCTAAATATGCAATGAAAGTCTCATAAAATACTCAGTGCCAAGGCGATGAAGGAAGTCATCAAGGTTAAGTGAAAAGTTCTGGACTTACCAAACTGAAAGTTTATATCCAATCAAGTGCATATTTAATAATAAACTTTTCAGCATAAACAAGAGTTGAAAATAGTTCTTTTGCCATAAAAGGTGAGAAAAGCTTTTCAAAGAGCATTTTTCAAACATTGCATAAACATGTTATGATATGATTAGTGAGATACAGACTACAGGTACTGTAGTTACTATATTTTATTACTTTAAATTCTTAATTTGGTAAAGTATTTACATCCACAAAGGTGAGAACTTATACTGACTTTGTTATGACTTCAATGTAAATTCTCAAACCAATTTAAATAGTATTATAATATTCACAAATATGAAAACATTTTTTATTTTTTATTAGTGCTTTCAGATTCCACTTGGTCTAAACAGTAATTTCTTCCCAGCATTCCTCACTACTATGATGGCCAATGCATATGATGACATGTGGATTGGCTTGAATGATATCAACTGGGAGATGCGCTTCCTTTGGACAGACGGGAAAGGTGTTGTGTTCACCAATTGGGCCAAAGGGCATCCCGTGTCTATTCCAGATGGACGCAGATCGTTTGGAGCAGATGCAAGTACCCCTTTACCTATTACAAACACATATTCATACATATTTGCACATAATCTTATGATCTTACACAGGGCACATAATCTTTTACATTTGTAAAAGTCTGCTTCTAATTGCTTACTGAGAGATGATGCTACGTGACGTGTCTTAAAACATACCACGTTACAGAAAATAAACATAAACGTGAATAGTCTAAATTGTAACAGTAATAATTTGTTTTTAGGAAATATTATTATTCATATCTTGGTTAGAAGAATACTGTTACACAAACTCATGCACTCCACTCCAGCCATTATATGGATTTAGGAGCCTCTTTCTGCAGGCCCTCTAGTGGCCATTCTGCTGGCAGAGTGGAAACTTGCTCTAATGTTTTCAATTAATAACATGAAATAAAATATTTACCCTGGAACTTTATTGTCAGATTAACTAAACTAGAGTGTGTGAGATGTTTAGCTGCTAGCGAGCAATGAAAGGGTGAGAAGCCCCTGCTGTTCCTGTTCACACCTCTCCACAAATATGGATATGCTGTGATAAAATGGACAGTGCAACAATGCAGTTATCTGTCTTCATTTCTCTTCTGTCCTTGTCTGCTTTCTCCTTGAAACAAGTGCATGTGAGTCCCTCTCACAGTTTGTGAATTTTGGACCAAAAGCTCCCACTGTAGAAACCAGTTTATCAAAGGAACGCTGTCTGTGTCAAGGATTCTAAATTTGGTGCTGGAAGTTTGTCCCTCACTTCACTTGGACCATTGACCTGTTTTCACTTTTTATCTTGCTTCAGTTCTCTTCACCCTTTCTGAAGGGTAACTACAATGGTTGTAAATAGTCAGCTTATTAAATTACTTGTGGGATTTCAGATTTTGTGTCATATGTTTGTGGCCATGTGCCCAGTCTTAATCTCTGGTCATCTTTGGACTTACAGACACGCAAACTTAACATGCTCATTACCGAGTAAGTCCGCGGGGCTGTAGGGCTACATCATTCTGGCATTTATATAAGTTGCAAGGGGGATAAAACAGACTTTTTCGAACCTCCTGTGACATCGTTTGGGATGCAGACTTTAGCAGACTTTGTACATGGAGTTTAGAGCTTTAATCAGGCCTGAAATTTTCGTTCGAACTCGAATATAGCCTGAGAATTTTCTGTCCGAGACCAACCCAACCCGAACCATGTCATCAAGTTTTGAGTCTAAAATGGTCTCAAGTACAACAGATTTCTGATTCGAACCAGCCCATCGTCACCCATAATGCTGAATCAAACCTGGTATGGCATCTGTTACCATGTTTTGGCAATAATAGCCATTAGATTACAGATAAATGTATATATATACATATATAATACAGTATCATAAGTAATCAGCTATCCAAAATTACGTATATTTGTCAAGCAACATCCTTTATTTGTTCTTAATACACTTAATGTGTTGTGCGGTGCTGATATAGAAGGTTGTACGCCTTCTCCTATTTAAACCTGAGACTCTACTTCTTTACATCAAACATGTTACATTTACATACTGACCACACAAGATAAAAATACTTTTGGACAAACAAACTAAATCCTTTTGCCTGCACTAGACTGTACTTTCTTGAATGCTTTCGGTATTAATTACGGCCTATCAGCCAAGTGAATTGAGCCAAGTGAAGTGCCCTCTAATTAACCTGTCCTGCAGCCATGTGGCCTCATAGATACAATGTGTGTAACACCCTGTTCTGTTCCCTCCTTGTCTTTCTCTGTTTTAGCCTTGGTTTTCTTATTTCCCAGTGTGATGCGTGTTTTTGTATACATCTGCCATGTGCCTGTTGTTGTTTTGGTCTGTCTCCTCCCTGGTCCTGCCCCCTTGTCATCTGCTCCATCTGCCTGAGCTTTACCCTCAGTGTATTTATACCCATGTGTTTGCTCAGTCCCTTTGTCTTGCATTGTCTGTGTTACTCTGTTGCTGTTGCCTTGCCTGTTTTCACTGGTCTTGTTGTTGGGCTTTGTTTCTAGTTGAGTTCTTATTTCTCTGTTCTGTGTTATCATGGACTCTGTTCTACGAACCTCTGCTACTGTTCAGCTTCTGGACTGCAGGTCGCACTTGCATCCAGCCTTGTTGCCTCCTACGTTACAATGTGATGATGTTAAATCCTTCACTGAACGTCCTCTTAGCTCATCCTCACTTGGTTCTTTTCAGCAGTTATGCAATTTTGAAGGAATTGTTCATTCACACATTTTATTTGTATCTGCATTGTCATTCAAAACAAACTTCTCCTTGTTACTCAGATTCAGTCTGAAATAAAATAACATAACAGCTTGTTTGTAACATGAATATACCTCCTGCTTACAATCCATATTGGGCCCTGTCTCTTTTGTTTAAGGCTGGCACATCCCATCTTAGCCAGTTATGACGTTTTCCTGACTGCAATAAGTTCAAAAGATCCATCACGTTGGCAGTTTTGCCATGTGAGTGGTTGAAAGACATTCTGATGATGGGTGATTCGACCAGAAATTTCCTGATTTGTCAGTTGTTTACCGGGCCTCCTCCTGTATGAGTAATGAAGCAACACAATTAGTCATGACTGTAGTGGGCCGGCAGTAGTGGACAGTACGCCAACGAAAAAGGAAACCTGCATTCTCTCTCAGAACAGTGCATGCTACTGAAATTGTAACGCACAAGTTTCTTTAAGATGGAAAATGCAGTGTGAACTTCGAGCACTCAGTGATGCTCACACACAATGTTGGAGTTGCGTCCGGCAAAGAACTAGTACTTGCTGCCTGCATGGAAGATTCAGGCATTTGTAAATCTGGTTCCAAAGAAAATAACCAGTTTCCTTGTTTTGTTTTCACTATTTTTTACACTTACTGTTACACTTTTTAGCATCCATTACATGTTACATATCAAAGTTCTTAAATCTAAATATCTGTTATTACTTTTGTTCAACACAGGTTGATTACATCATGCCAAGGTGGGACCATAGAGACAAAAGGGTAGGTCTTCTGCACATTTGTGCCAAAGTTGCCTCTGATGTGGCCCCTTTTAGAACTGTTTCCAAGGAAAAACTCTCATATTTTAATCTGGTTCTGTGGGAGTTTTCTCACAGGTCTTCTTGTGTATTTTTCTTTACGTTCGTCCCTTAACCTCACTGGTTGATATTTTTTCTTCTGCATTTCAGAGTTTGTGGTTTCAAGAATCAGAAACATTACAGGTAGGCCTTCCAGAAGTTTTGTTCACAGCAGTTTTCACCTCAGTTCATTTGCCATTCTTGACAGCAAGACTTACAGTCCTTGGAATCTTTTCTCTAACTGGAACATGTCCTGATTACATACTTTGTTCATGGCCTTCCTCAGTATTTTCTGGGACGAAACGATAACAGTACTTATGCCTACAAATTCATCAATACCGTCCTCAGAACTCTGAATGCTGTCACAGTATATGTTGCAATGTTCTTCCCCTCTTTACCTTGTGATATTACATAATGAAGCATTTTGTCTTTCATGTATTCTTGCTTTTTCGTTTTCTCCGCACTAAGGATAAAGTTATGGCTTGTACTTTGCCGTTACAGAGCGGCCCCTTAAAAAATAGAATTTCCCTGGAAATATGTCTCTTGGTCCTGGCCTCGCCCTGCTCTCTGCCTTGTATCTATTTCATCTTCTGAAGGGGGCCTAAAGCACTGAGGTCCTTCTGCTAAAGCTTCACTAGCTTGCATATTGCATTTATCTACTGTTTTCCACTGTGCCTAATATTTACAATAGAAAAATGTAGCAAGATGAAAAACAGTCCGAAACTCAGATAAGAAAAGGTTTCTGGATAGTTAGATATCATGTTTTTTTTCTTGTAGCCTGCAAACACATGGTTTGAAATTGCTCAAAGGTGGGTAAAGTAGTCTAAACTCATACTGAAGTAAAAGCATTGATACCTTATTTAAGGAATGACATGAATAAAAAATAAAGGTACCGTGTTGGATATTGATTAGTTTTCAGCTATTGATCAACTAAGACACACTGCACCTTGTGAAGTGTAAATGCACATGGCCAGGGAGCATACGTTTATTAATAAGTTATTATTAACATAAGCACAAACCACACATTACATGGGTAATATACTCTTAATACATAGGCATAGTCCCTAATGATTGGTTAATGTTACAAGATATCATCTCATGTTTTTCTGCCTAGCGACAAAGGCAGACAAACATGACCATGTGCCAGTAGTGGATGGTATCACACTTATGCAGCTTTCAAATCTCACTCAGTCTGGTATCTGCTTATCCCCCTTTCCAGGAGTGGTCAGCTAGGGGCCAGGCAGTTTCTGGTACAGAACACTCCCACGGCTGTAGCCTGACTTCCCTGTCTTACACACACAGTTGCTCAAACTAAGTTGCTTTCACAAACTTGATTATGATCATATACACATATTAAAGTAAGCAAGTGGAATACTGACAAATACAATAAATGTAAATAAATGCAGTTCCCACATTACCTCTCCATAAAACAACTTGAGTAGAAGCATCTTAAAAATCTACTTAAGTACTGAGTATCTTATAGAACTTCAGTGGACCGTCTTAATTCATCCAGCACCTATCAGCAGTAGGGTTGCAACCTCGGTGCAGTAAAATTCCTGCACTAAATTCAGTGGATGGGTAGGTCTGTTCTTGAAACAGTCGAAGGTAGTTAGATATTAGTTCAGCTACAGAACCTAATCTCAGTTGTAGTGCTGAAGTGCTGCCTAGTGCCTAAACATATCACCAGAAGTGCACCTTTGCGGGACAGTTGTCCAGACGTTTAGGGTAATCTGAGCTAATCAAACTCATTATTTATATACAAATTGTTTGATAGGATAATAAGAGGCTGTTTAAACTTCATAATCATTGCTAACATATGAAAATGCTTGGATTCTGCAGCAACCGAAATCCAGGACGATTCAGGTGTCAAAGGAACTAAAGCTGGTTAGGTGCTGTTCTCTTTTTGATGCACTCTTTCTAAAATAAAATGATGAAGTTCAAAGTTAAACCAGTTACTACCTCTATTATTGTGCTATGACTTTTAAATTTCAGCAAGCAACTTGTGGGATCACCTGTCCTTATTTTACATCTTCAGACTGAACTAAAAAAGTAAAATAAGTGAAGGTTGCATGGAGCATTGTTAAACAATACTTCTGTAGTCATTACTTTTTAGCACCCATTATATAAACAATAGCTTGACTGGCACTGTTGATAACACCTAACACACTGTCATTGTATGTTTTTAGGTTCCAAAACCAGTCACAATTAATTTTTACATGACTATTTTCCAATGTCTCAAGCAAGCTGTTTTTGTTACTGTACCTTTAAGACTGATGTATGCAAATGTTGTCTGTTCTGATTGGCTTCCCTGTATTGTGCATCATTCAAAAAGCACTCCAGACTGAAACACTCCTTATAACTTCAGTGTGAACGGGCGCAGTTAAACTGCTGGAGGCTGAATAGGCGGATATATCTGTAAATGCTTTTTTTGTACATTTTCATGCATTTAATAATGTGATAATTACAGAAAATTAGATTTTGTCAATAATTTGTTCAACGCGTTTACATGTGCTTGGGCAATCAGATAATGGGAAAGCTGCATTATAATGGGAAAGTCTGCATTAGTCAGGCAATAATCGGATTTCTGCTTTGCAACCAGCCAATGAAGTCACAGAATAAGACATAAGTGTAGTGGAAAACTCAAATATCATGCCACGCCCTTTTTTTCAAACATCAAGTGACTTAAAATATGAACATACTTCATCTAGAATTAATATTTCAATTTCTTCAAGCATGTAGTTGTTTTTGTCATGGCTCCAGAAGTGTGTTGCATCTCACGGGTGCTGTGTTAAACTCTGCTTGCTGTTTCACAGACAGCGCTTTATTTTCGCACATGCACAGATTGAGAAAAATGAAAGAAATCAGTGTAAGGGTATACATGCACTGAAAAAGCTGATTACTGAGCTAAAACCGAGCTCTCTTAATCGGAATTCTAGAAATCTGATAACAGCCTTAATCTGATTTAAGAAATCAAAGTATGCTGTTTATATGACTACTTGAGTAATCACATAACTGCCAAAATCTGTTAATGGTCATATAATTGGTGGGCATATAAACACACTCATTGATTTTCATGACATTACAAAAACAATGAATTGAAGCAAGCTGACTTTGGGTTTTGGGCAGTGATTGGCGTGTTTTGAAACTTTAACAGTGTTTACATACTAAATAAACCCTAAATTTCTTTCATTCTGCAGTTCGACTGTGTCATTATGGTGAAGGAACCGAACAGGTTGACAGGCATGTGGAAGGTTGAGGACTGCAGTGAGAATCGAGGTTTTATCTGTAAGAGGAATATTGGTGAGTGGAGAAACTAGTCAGCAGGTCTGTGATTTATTAACGATTACAGCCAGCACTGTACAGTTATCACAGTGACAACACAGACATTACCAGTTTATTTCAGTCTGCTTCTACTATCTGTTTGGTCTAACTCAGACTCTCAGATACAAGTTCCAGCGACAACTGTGTCACCGAAGGCATATTTTGCCCTGGGAAACAACTCATATAAGCTGCAGACGGAGAAGATGAGCTGGGATGAGGCCAGGAGGCAGTGTAAGGCGGACGATGCTGACTTAGCCAGCGTGCTAGACTCCATCACCCAGGCTCTGACCACACTCAGGTTCAGCAAATTCAAAGAGCCAGTGTGGATTGGCCTCAACAGTAACCTGGTACACATACGGATCACTTTGTGTAGTGAGAACAGCTGAAGAGAACTTTGAGCTCTAGATTAAATACATGTTACAGTACATGCAGACACACACATCCCAACGATATATGCGTTCTGACCTTTGCCTTTGTTTGTAGACAAATGGACGGTACCGCTGGGTGGATAACTGGCTTCTGCGCTATACGAAATGGGCAGCTGGGGAGCCAAAGAGAAACCTGGCCTGTGTGTACATTGATACAGATGGAACCTGGAAAACAGCAGAATGCAGCAACACCTACTACTCTCTCTGCAAGCGCTCCCAAGGTAGCTCCTAGGGCTCATTAGAACTGCAAGTATTTCATACAAGGTTTGGATTGGGGTTCCCGATTATCACTGCAGTGTTAAGTGCCCCCTCTGAAAATGTGAGCTTGACAGACTTTGAGAATGGAATTGACCATTGGATGATCCATCATCCATTTATTTATTTATTTATTAAAAACTTTTTGGATAAGCTTACAGAACCTAATGAGAAAGTGTAGCACATAATTGAAAGTGCAGTATTGATTTCAAATGATTTTTATACTGTATGCATGTGAAGGATCACTCCTAGAGATCAAGTTTAGATTAAGTTTGTTTGCTTATCCTTCCACTGAGCTAACATTAGCAATGTGCAAGTTGTGTGTCATTGCTTCACACATGCCTAGTTTCTGTTAGGTTAAAGGCAATTATATTAAAGCTCTTCTGACCTTGCAACAGTTGCTACGAAAGAATGCTTTCTCTTTGTAACACTAAGTTTGAATGCTGAAAAGGGTGGAAAGCCTCCCTCAATTCATACTGTTCACTAACCAACCTAGCAAGCTCATTGGGTGCTTGAATGTGATGCTTGCTGTTCTCCTCTAAGTTCACGTGGGTGCTCTGAGTATGTATTGCATAGCCAATAGTCATCAACAATATAATCCCAGGCTACATACGTATTGGAGGAAGCAGGTGGGGCTTTTGGTGGTGCTGGTGTACAGCAGAGAAAAGACGTATTACAGCAGAAATGTGAAGAGAAATTGCAGAAGAGAAATAAAAGAATGTTGAACCGCACTGTTTACGAGTTTGGAATCACTTCTTAATTTCAATTTTATCCAATAATAATGTATAGAGTTTGAAGCATTATAAACTAGGCACCCTGAGGTATTTATGTATGTATGTATGTATGTATGTATGTATGTTCAATTCTGGAAAAAAAAGTCATAAAATGATAGATAACATACTGTAATTATCTTTTTGTAGTCATTTTTTTGTAGTACATAGTAATTATAAGTTATCTGCCTCAGTATTTGGTCACCACTGTCCAATTAGTGGGCATTCTGGCCAGAGACATGAAGTCATGGCCAATTGGAGATGCTAAATTGTCCCTGAGTGTGTGAATGTGTATGTCAGTGTGTCTGCCCTGTGATGGACTGGTGATCTGTCCAGGGTGTTTCTTGCCTCTGCCCAATGACTGCTGGGATAGGCTCCACCCCCCGCCCCCACCCCCACCCCACGATCCAGAAGGATAAAGAGGTTTAGAAAATTTGTGTGTGTGTGTGTTTTATACATCATTATCTGTCATTTTCACAGCTTCTTACAAATTGTTTGAAACCTGTAGAGGAATAGAATAATATTATACTAATTTAATACATTTATCTGCAACAAAAAGTGATTCCAAACTCATGAACCATAACTCCAAACTCTTAAACAGTAATCTAGACATATTTGTTTCAGGAAGAGCTCCCTTCATTTTGCCCTTCATCTGCAGATATTGCCCCCACTGAGCCCCCCCAGCTCCCAGGAGTCTGCCCTGAACCAAAGAGACACAAGACCTGGATCCCATTCCGAGGACACTGTTATGCTTTCATGGCCGCCAGGAGTGAGAACTGGGCCCATGCCACAGTGGAGTGTATGAGAATGGGTAGGCCTATGTAATCACTTCATATCCTTGGTTATAAAATGTGCAAGCAAACATGTCCTTGAAAAATGTGGCAGCGCTGAACTTTTGCCCTGATTGTGTTGTGCTTTGTAATATAAACATTGTATATTTTGGACTTTTGTCTTTGCATTATATCAGTTTGTATTAGAGCTTCTGCTCCCCTTTCCCTTCTTGTATGTGTGACCATGTGCTTTAGTAAGTTTAGGTATCAGGCTTTGGCTTATAATCCACTGTTTCCAAAATTTTTGAGAATTCTGGTTTCTTCTAAAATCTTGTTAGCCACTAATGATCTGCATCTGTTTACAGGTGCATCATTAGTGAGTGTGGAGGACATGCTGGAAGCCCAGTTCATCCACACGAATCTTGAGATCCTTCAAGATGATGCGAAATCTTTCTGGATTGGCATGCACCGCAGCCACTTAGGTCTGGGTCAAACTTAACCTCACCCCCACTCGAAATACTACTGGACTAATGAGCTTTAATAAGAATAAAACCCAAAACCATAGTGTTTCCAAATAAAAAAAAATCTGTGTATTTCTGTGTTTTTGGTCTCTCAGGTGAGTGGATGTGGATTGATAGCATGGTGGTGGACTACACTAACTGGGCACCCCGACTGCCCAATACTTATGGAGACTGTGTAGAGGTCAGATCCGATAGTGGCTTGTGGTTCAATGTCCACTGCAGTGGCTACAGGGCTTACATCTGCAAAACTGAAAAAGGTCAGTGACAAACAAACACACACACACATAAAAGATTACAAAATGCAGTACTCTGCAAAAGTCAGAGAGCACTCTTAATTTATTCAATTTACAATGAAGTTGGCCATTAAGCACAAGTAGTCCCTTTTGAAGTCATGGAATAAAAAGCAGAAAACATATATTTGACAGAAAATTACACAGAAGCCTCAACACCCAAATATAAAGTTTTTCAGTATTTAGTGTGTCCGCTCTTTGCCTTTATTGTAGCTTCAGTTTTTCAAAAAAATCTGCGGGGATTTTTTTTACCTCCAAAGTTCTGTGTCAGAAGTTGGCAGCATTTTCTTCTTGTCATCATTTTTGAACTGTAGTTATAGAAACGTCCGTTTTTTCATTTATTTTTCTTTGACGTTCCCCTTCTTTATGCAAGTGATTTATTTCATATTAAATCTCCTCAGAAGTACCTTCTGAGAATAATTAACTTCTGCTTAATTGCCTTTTTCATTAAAATTAAACAAATAAAGGGTGAGTGTCTGAGATTCCATTAAAACTGCAGTTAAGTCTTCTAAAAGCTATGGTCTTTTTTGTTTTGTTTTGTTTTTTTTGTTTTTTTAGTTATACTGCCAACCGAGAAGCAACCAGAAATTGGTAAGTATGGATACATTGTTAATATTAATAATATTGTGTGTGTATTGTGTGTATAATATTGTGTGTGTGTATACATATATATATATATGTATATATATATACATATATATATATATATATATATATATATAGACAATACCACAAGGATATTATATGTAGGTGACATTATGGATTTTATAGAGGTATAATTATTGTGTCTGATTGTATTACTTCAGTTTTCCTCATAATATTTAACTTTGCCTTTACAGCACCCCATGTAGACGAAACCCCTCATGGCTATGCAGGCGTCGCTGTAGCAGTTGTCCTGGTGATCATTGCTGTGGCGGGGTTGGCTGCTTTCCTGTTCTACAAAAGGCCAACTATACCAGTGGTTGGAGAGTGTACATTTGACAACACGCTCTACTTTAACAACCCTGCACGATCTAGTAACACCGTTGACACCAAGGGACTGGTCGCCAACATTGAACAAAATGAGCGTGCATAACACCCCCCACACACACCCCCCAACACACACACAAACACACACACACACACACACACACACACACACGCACACACACAGCATACAGCATTAAACTGCATTCACACACACACAGGATAAAACTGTGTTGCAGGGTAAACAGACACACAGACTGACACATACACTGTACTGCACACAAGCTGTTTGGTTATGGAAACGGTGGGTCTGCTCGACGTTGCACAGTGTAAAATGTCACTGTATGTTTTGATGAAATGATGAAATTGGCTTTGTTACTTCAAATCTGTTTACTCTGAAAAATTCAACATCGGCATATAACACAGTACATTCTCATATGTTGTATAGCACTGTATTCATATCTTGCAGCACATAAAATGTTGTTGTTTGTTTCTGTTGTTGTCCGCTTCAAAATTTTTTTTATTGTAAATAAATGTCTACAAAGAATGCAATGTGCAAGATTTACACATTTGTATTTGTTTATTATTATGTCGTTTCAAACTCCTTCATTTTCTACATTTTGTTCAACACTATTGCAAATATAGAGTTGAACAAAACTGCAGACACATTATTTAGTTCTTAATCTTAAGATACATCATTAAGTAACTACTGACAAGGATTTGGCAACTATTATGAAGTTAGTATTAAATTCAGCCACATTTTATATTCTAATTTTGTTTACGAGACATGAACATTATGTATATAATTGACACTTCAGTTTCTCACTCTTCTAACAACATAGTCATATGCAAAGGTTTGGACTCCCCTGGTTAAATGACATCTTGTTGATTTTCGAGGTTAATCTACGTTCCTCTACAGGGAACGAACTTCTACACATTTTAATGCATAATTACAGTTTATCTACTGCAATTAACAATAAACCATAAAATGCCATATTTAAGTCATAAAAGATGTGTCAACTTTTTAAAAACAAAATCAACAAAGCATGTACTTATTTGGTGTGTTCCAATTTTGCATACGACTGTATCTTGCCCTCTAATTTCATTAGGATTGGACAACTACCCTGCAGTTTGTGGGGTTAATCAGAAAAGAGACATTTTGATGCTGTGCTTAACCTTCAGCCACTGTAAACACAACAGTGTGCTGCAAACTTTTCATAAACAAGAACTCCTTGAGAAGGTTTTACCTGCTGATCTTACCCCATAACACCCACACTCTCTCTCTCCCTCTGTCTCTCTACCGCCCACTTGATCCCTGCACGCTCATTGCTAAAATGAGGCTGATATTGCCATAGTAACCAGTGACCTATGAGGCTGAGGCAGTGGCTACTAATCCTCTGAAAGTGGCACAAGCATATTTGCTCATAAGAGGGTTTTTCACTCGTGCCCTGGAATTCCCTCCTTATTTTTCACAGCCTCCATTACCTGAGGGAAATATCCCTTTCTTCAGCTGTACGGAGGAGTGGGAAGAAAAAACGGTAAGGTAAGTGACTCCATAGAGATTAGACTGATTAGTGTTTGTTTGTAGTCCTGGTGGGACAGTATTTGGAGAGTGTGTTTCTTAGTATAAGCAGGTCTGGTAGTTTAGTGTTAAATGACCTGATCTGTAGGTAAAAAGTAAATCTAGCTTTAAGAACTTTATGGAGAGCACTTTGTTTTTGTTTTGGATGTGGACAGGTTGTTGACACCAGTGCCCAGAGTTGTGTTGTGTGTACTAGAGTTTGTTCCTGCGTGTTGTTTTGGGGCCATTCTGGTCGACCACTGAGCGGCGATTAAGACACTGAGAGTGGGAAGAGGGGAGTTAACCCATTAAAACCTAGGCTTATTATTGAGTTATTACTCTTTATAGCTATAGAAGATTATTATACAGTAAGTACTAAGAGTGATTCAGTAACTACTGTGAACTAAGACGTGAGTTGTGTAGTTGGAGTGAGGAATTAAAATGTGGACCACATACAGAGCCTGAGGGTTTAAGGGGTTAAGAGTCTTTGCCTTTAACTTGAGCACAAACAAACACGGCCATGTCCCATGACTGCTGCAAATACACACTACAGTCTCCCCATTACATTTACATACCATATTCAACATACATTTTAATCACAGCTTTTATTCATTACTGTGTTTCTTGTTTGTAACAAAGTTTTGCTAGTAGAATCTACACCGATCAGCCATTACATTAAAACCTTGTTTCTACACTCTTTGTCCATTTTAGCTGCTCTTCTTACCATATAGGTTCACTTTTCAGTTCTATAATCAAAAACTGTAGTCTGCATACTTTGTTACCCCCCTGTCACCCTGTTCTTCAATAGTCAGGACCCCCACAGGAACACCACAGAGCAGTTATTATTTGAGTGGTGGATCATTCATAGCAGTGACACTGACGTGACGGTGGTGTGTTAGTGTGTGTTGTGCTGGTACGAGTGGATCAGACAAAGCAGTGCTGCTGGAGTTTTAAACACTCTGTCCACTCTATCTGTCCACTTCCTTGTTGGTCCACCTTGTAGATATAAAGTCAGAGATGACAGCTCATCTGCTGCTGCACAGTTTGTGCTGGTCATCCTCTAGTCCTTCATCAGTGGTCACAGGACGCTGCCCACAGGACGCTGTGGGCTGGATATTTTTGGTTGGTGGACTATTCTCAGTCCTGCAGTGACACTGAGGTGTTTAAAAACTCCAGCAGCACTGCTGTGTCTGATCCACTCAGACCAGCGCAACACACACTAACACACCACCACCATGTCAGTGTCACTGCAGTGCTGAGAATGATCCACCACCCAAATAGTACCTGCTCTGTGGTGATCTTGTGGGGGTCCTGACCATTGAAGAACAGGGTGAAAGGGGGGTAACAAAGTATGCAGAGAAACAGATGGACTACAGTCTGTAATTGTAGAACTGCAATAAAGCATTACTCTCAAGTAATGGAGCTTATAAGACAAAGACCTAAGATGGTTCACTCGTTTATTAATCACTACATAGACTGTTTTATATAGTGTAGCAATGAAGGAGATGACAGATGAAATTGGGACAACACTTGCAGCAGAAACATGATCTTTTGTGGCATAATCAACCTGGGACATCAACAATATAGGCTGTTGGTACCATCACAGACATAGAAACACAATTTAGCTTACCAAAGGTCACGATGATACATTTCCAGTGTAAGTAAGTTTTTAAGAATTTAAAGTCTGTAATATTTATCTCACATTTTTATTATGGGACAAAATAGTCCCCAAAGAAATTACATATAAAAAACACATATAAAAAAAAGTAAATAAAATGGCTACATTTAGTAGTAGATATCACAACCCCTGGTTCCTTTCACTACCAGTGTAGAGAAATCTGAGTCGATAAGCATCTCTGCACTGAACCATTTGACACCAAACTACTTTGGATGAGTTTGTTTACATTTTAATTATTAAATTATGCAGAAGTTTTGAAAAAAATGATGCAATTCCCCTTTAATTAGGCCTCTGCTTTATAAGCTCGTTTCACACTAGTGTTATAAATGGAACAACTGTCCATTTACTTGAGTAAAGGCTGTTTATGGCAATACAATGTCATTTGCTTCATAAAACATCTTATGTAAATGTACTCAAGTATATCTAATTTTATGTCATACTTCCCTTGTGTTATGGATCCCTATCTGTGTTTTTAACATTTTTTAATCCCCTTTATTCTTTATTACACTTTCTTTCTCAGTTTTGATCTGGTTTGGGGCAGAGTGGGAATCAGTCTAAGTGTGTGTGTGTGTGTGTGTGTGTGTGTGTAGCTCATTAGTGTTGGAGGGGCCTCTTTCTGTCCTGCTGTTTCTGAGGCCATTAGAAAAGCCCCTTAATTACAATTCATTCAAAAGAAGGGTCCCCATCCCCCCCCTTCTCTCTGCTCCTCACGTGCTAAAGTTTCTCTCTGTCTCTCCACTACTTGCTGACCTCTTCAGTTCACTTTCTGTCTATAACTGCAATTTTTTCTCTTATTTTCTGTGCTGTGTGCAGGTCAGTGTGTGTGTCAGTGTGTGTGCGCACGCATGTGTGTTTGCTGCAATGCGTGGGTTGTGCAGGCCGTGGCCTCTGCTGGGGCTGCTCAGCGCTTTGAGCAGTTGGTTGCCATCTGTAACGGGAAGTGAAGGGTCTTTGCGAAGAGCAGATGTGGGCACACTGGTCAGTGAGCTCTTCCAAGCCGTCCAGTGTCCAGAACGCCTCGGTGGAAGCCAGCAGCTCTGTGAGAAGGTAAGAGACAACAGGTTTAAACAAGCAGTTGATCCAAAAAATACACATATCACATTTACAGTTAAAGCCAAATTATATCACCATCCAGTGACTGGTATGACTTTATTTATGGAACACATATACTAATGGATATTAAGGCTTCCATGTTCAGTAAAGTCAAAATTAGACACTTCTAAATGATTTTTTTACAAATCTAATTTAAAAAAAGTTGAAGTAAGTGAAGTGAAGTAAGTAAAATGTAAATAAATGCAGACAGCATTGCTCTGCAAATTCTTTTTGACCTGTATTAAATTCAAAACATTACAAAGACAACATATCTAATGTAATTTACTAAAAAAGTTGGGAAAGGGGCATGTTTACTGAGTTACATGACCTTGCCTTTTAACACCGTTCAGTAAACATCTGGGGACACCAATTGTTGTGGATTTTTTCCCATTCTTTCTTGATGTATGAGCACCTTTGCTATGAATCCATGCTGTTATAACACATGCAGAATGTGGCTTGGCATTGTCCTACTGAAACAAGCAGGGACATCCCTGAAAAAGTGTTGTCTAAATGGCAGCATATCTTGCTCCGAAATGTGTATGTACCCTCCAAAATGTGTATGTACCTATGCTGCTTTAGGTCAACCACAAGTACACCTCTATACCACGACAGACGCTGGCTTTTGAACTTTACATTGGTAACAATCAGGATGGTCCTTTTTTTCTTTGTCCCAGAGAACACGACATCAATCATTTCCAAAAATACCACAGCACATATTCCCACTTTGCATCAGTCCATCTCAGGTGAGCTTTAGCCCAGAGAAGTTGGCGGTGTTTCTGAATGTTATTGATATACGGCTTCTGCTTTGCAAAGTAGAGTCTTTTCTTGCATTAGTGGACTGACAGTGTTTACTGATAAGGCTTTTCCGAAGAATTCCTGGGTCCATGTGGTTATATTTATTACAGAAGTGTGTTTTTAATGTAGTGATGTACTGGTCACTCACTATTGGTATTTGGCCTTTCTCTTTGTGCACAGAGGGTGAAATTCCTTTAAAAACCCTTGCAGATGCTCATTCAGGAAACTGTTGATGCATTTTTTTTTTCGGCAAGGTGGGGCTTGGCAAAGAACTCGGCTTTTCCTGGATGCTCCCTTCATATCCAAGCGTGACAATACAGCAGTATAGTAGAAAAGTAGTATAGTAAATAAGTCATTCAGAAGTGTCTTAGGCCTTTCTTGAGCAAAGAAGAAGTCCTTAATTAATCCTCAATATTTGTTGCTTAAAATAAAGCCTTCTGCAGTCAGTAACTAACTCTAGGGTGTGGATGTGTAAAGAGATAGTTCAGTGAAAAATCTAATTCACACATTTCCTCCCTAATCACCTAACGTAACGTAACCTAACGTAGCTAACAAGTAATGAAAACTTATGTATACCCATTAACTTTATGCAAACCACTTGCCTAAATCATTACACATTCTTTTCAAGCCGCATCAAGTTGTTATGTAATGTCAGTGTGGTGACAGTACATGATATATTGTTATCTACAAAAATGAACAAAAGTATAGACAGAATTCAAGCTTCAAGGTGGCATTTGCTACTGTTTTAGCTCTGTGAGGTCCATTTGTGTAGATAACAGTATGTTATACACTGTCAGAAACTGCAAACCTCACTTCCAGAAAGGTTAGGACATGATGTAAAATGCAATAAAAACAAGAATCTGTGATTTGTTCATTCTCGTGAACATTTATTCGCAAAAGTACAAAGACATGATTCCGGTGTTTTTTTGACCTACTTAATTGTATTTTGTAAATATCAAAAAATATATAAAAAGATGCCTACAACACACACAAGTTGGGGCAGAAGCATGTTTACCATTGTATTACATCACCTTTCCTTTTAATTACACTTTTTAGTCATTTGGGAACTGGGGATACTAATTGTTGCTGTTATGCAAGTGGAATTTTTACCTATTCTTGCTTGATACAAGACTTCAGCTACTTAACAGTTTATGGTCGTTGTTGTCCAATTCTCCTCTTCATGATGTGCCATACATTTTCACTGGAAGACAGTTCTGGACTGTGGGCAGGCCAGTCAAGCGCACGTGCTCTGTGTCTACGAAGCCACACTGTCGTAGCATACAGAATGAGGCCTGGCATTTTCTTGCTGAAATAACCATGGACTTCCCAGGAAAGACATCATCTTGATGATAGCATATGCCTCTATAAAATCCCAATATATGTCTCTGCATCAATGGTACCTTCACACATATGCAAGTCACCCATGCTGTGAGCACTGATGCTCCCCCATACCCTGGCAGATGTTGGCTTTTACATCTTTTGAGAACTCAATGTCTGTTTTTTTTCCAAAAACAAGCTGAAACATGGACTCTTCTGACCACAGCACACATTTCCACTGTCTTTCAGACCATCTGAGATGAGCTGGGGCGCAGAGAACTTGGTGGCGTTTCTGCAAAGAATTGATGAATGGCTTTTTCCTTGTGCAGTAAAGTTTCAAGTTGCATTTCTTGATGCTGTGTTAAGTGACAACGGTTTTCTGAAGTACTCTCGAACCCACGGGGCTATATTGAACACAGCAGCATGACAGTTTCTCATGCAATGCTGTCTGAGGGCTCAAAGGTCACGCACATTCAATAGTTTTTTCTGGCCTTGCCCTACATGAACTGAGATTTCTCCAGATTCCCTGAATCATTTCACAATATTGTGTATGGTAAATGGTGAAAGACCTCATTTTTTTTGCAATCTTGCATTGAGAAATGTTCTTCTTGAACTGTTTGACAGTTCTCACAGAAAGTTTTCCCATAAAGTGGTGAGCCACGGCCCATTTTTGCTTGCAAAGACTGAGCCTCTGGTGGATGCTCCTTTTATACCCATCACAACACCCTTATGTGTTACCAATTCACCTACTGACTGTGGAATGCTTTTAATACAGTGTAACTTTATATTAAACTTTCAACTGTTATTATTATTCCTGTCCTAACTTTTTTTGAGTGTGTTGCAAGGATTAAATTCAAAATTTGTTTCTATTTATAAAATACAATGAAGTTGGTCAGCCAAAACATTAGAAGTCTTTTCTTTGTACTTTTGTCAGTTAAATAAAAGTGCAAGAGAATAAACCACAGATTCTTGTTTTTTATTGCATTTTACAACATGCCCCAACTTTTCTGGAAAGGGGTTTGTACATGAACAAGCTCTATTTGTCAGCTATATACAGGACAACACAGCTCCAGTGTAAAACTAGGTAAACAGTAAAAATGTCTTGACTGATTGAATATGTTTGGTGTAAGGGTAAAACTTTTTCAAACTGATAGTTTGGTTAAAAAAAAATGCTGTACTACAATGGAAAATCTGTAATAAAAAAATTGTTTTGAAAAGTAAGATGATTAGAATTTCTTGAATAAGAATAAATTCAGCAGAAGACGTAAATATTTCAAGGCCAAGAAAAATAACAAAAATAATGGCAATAACCAAAGACCTTGACTGGAGAATTATAATGACTTTCTTTATAATGGTAAACCTCCCCTTTTCTAGAAATGCAGTTTATACAAAAATATCTTAAATGTCTAACATACCTTTTCGTTATCTCTATCATTTGCAATATAAAAAAATGTAGTTAATATTTCTTGCCATTAATCTGCTATGATCAATGATGATGATGGGCCAGGGTTCAACAATAATGTTTGCCTGAATGCCTGGGCCAAGTAAAACACGACATCAGGACAGCAGCACGAAAAATCACTTGCCCAACTGTGTTAGTACAACAATGTAGCAATGTAACTGTAACCAAACTCAATTCACTTGAATACTTAAACCCTCGCCATGCAAAAATGATCTTATTCATTCACGCAAAACAAACCAATGGTATTATCTGTTGACAAATGACTGTGTTTGCTCATTCAGTCAAAAGAGCATTTGTGAGGTCAGGCACTTGAGTTCCTCCACACTAAATTCACTAAAACATGTCTTTATTGGACTTGCTGGAACAGGAAAAGGCCTTCACCAAATTGACACAAAGTTGAAAGCATATTAGCAACTGTCTAAAACCTTTACTTTTTTTAATTTTTAAATATCTTTGTATAGTGTAGCATTAACACTACCCTTCACTGGAACTAATGGGCTGAACCCAAACCCTGAAAAGCAGCCCCAGACCATTATCCCTCCTCCACCAAACTTTACTGTCGGCACTATACATTTCTGTAGGGAGTGTTCTCCAAGTATCCACCAAACCAGACTGCCAGATAAAGAAATGTGATTCATTACTCCAGAGAACGCTTTTCCACTGCCCCAGTGGTCCAGTGGTGGCTTGCTTTATACCACTCTAGCTGAAGCTTGGTATTGTGCATAGAGAGATCTTAGGCTTGTATGCAGCTGCTTGGCCATGGAAACCCATTTCATCTACACCACTTTAGTTCTAATACATGTCTCATAAATGGGTCATTTTGATTCAAACATAACACAAGGATTAAATGAACGTTTTTTTCTGCAGGAGTCACTCTGTGAAAGGCACATTTAAGGTTTAGCTTTTTTTACTCATAGAATTACAAGTGGAACTATGGAAATCACTAAAGAACTGTATAAAACTAAAGTATGTTCAACTTTTAACTGATTGTTTGTGTATGTGTGCGATTAGCTAAGTACAAAGCCTGTCCACTAAGCTCAAAGTGCTGCTCAGTGCCATGCTTTACTGACAGGGGTAAAGAGGCCTATTGTGTGTGTGTGTGTGTGAGAGAGAGACAGAGGGTCTACTTTCTTAAGCAAGGGATTTATCTCTCACCTCAATTAAGCTTTGCAACAATAACTATTTTCACACACTCTCAGAGTTCCCAAGTTTGGGCTCTGTCCCACGGGTGACAGGTCTTTCAGTGTAGTGGCTACAGCGCCTAAACAAACTCCCCCAGGGCCTTCTTAGCATCTCCTCCATCTCTGTCTTAAAATCCCAGTTAAAGACTTAAAGACTGTGATTTTAAAGGTGAAAAGATCCACAGTGAATATTAAACATCCTCTACAGAAAACACATTTCTGCTCATTTAATGCACAATTATGGTTTATTTGCTGAATTGAACATATTTGGAAAAAAATAATAAATCAATAATGTGGCCTGTGCAAAAGATATGGAACATTTTACAATTCTTGCTTTTTTTTACCAATATGTTAAACGTGCCGTGCAGTTAAATTTGCAGGAAAAAATGTTTTATTCAGGTTTGCTGCTTGTAGAGGATGTGCAACTTATTTTCACTCAGAAAATCAACAAAATGTGTCATTTGACTGGGATTGTTAAATGTTTTGCTTAAAACTGTAGCTTTTCTCTCTGCCCTGTCCAGCTCATTCTGCAGGTGTCTAGCCAAATCGTGTTTTATTGCTGTGCCCTTCCCCTCTTTTATGTGTTATGTTTCCCTGTTTTGTTTCCTCATATGCTAAATGTCTTTGTCTCTGTCTTTTTTCTCTTTTGTCCCCTTGTATATTATTATAGATTTGATTGACCTTGAGTGCTTTTTTATGAAAAGCACTGACTAGTCTGCTGAAGTAGCTCAAACTGCAGTCCACGAAAAAAAAAAAACCTTAACCTTAACTATAAAAAAAAAACAATTAACTATTCAGACCTTAGATATTTACAGTGATTATGTCATGATCTATTTAAACCCAAGGCATTAAATCATCATTTATAGTGCACTTTCTGGGAGGTGACTGTCCCAAACCTTAACCTTAAATTTACATTATGTTAAAATGATTAATTTATCATTATAATCATTACTTAATTAATGTTATGTAATTAATATAAATTAATATTTATATTTAAAGTGACACTGAAAGATTTAGATTTATCATGAGTTTAATTTTTAAATAATAAAAACTTCATTCAAAAAATGCTGTCCCACGTTTTTATGTCACTACTGAAGCACAAACAGGTTCAGTCCATAGATGGAGTCTTATTTTAGCCACACCCCTGCATTTTAATTGAGACTGTAGCCTACCCCAGCGGTCATTGGGTGGAAGGCAGGATACACCATGGACAGGTTGCCAGGCCACTGCAGGGCTTGTTATAATAAAATAAACATAATTCAGGTATAGAGTCACTCAAAGCAGAAGGATTTTAGTCCAAGTCGGTTAAAAGTCTGAAATGTGTTTTGTACTCTGACTTTAAACTAATTTGTCAGAATGATCCATACAAGCACCGTATAACTCATTACTATTATTATATATGTTTTTTCCATGGTAATAGTGCCTCCCCGAAGACTGGTTACTGTCAGTACTGGAGGACGATGGGAAGGACTACATCAGTGAAGAGGATTACTTTAAAATTTCTACTGTGCTCCTCTACTACATCATCAACATGAGACACCTCTGCTCTTCCAACATTTCGTCACTCTCTTCCTCCTCTGCGCCTACATCTCCTGATTACCCATACAGTCTCCAGGCTCTGACCACGCTCCACTCACTGGAGGATGGTGGATTCCTCTCGGCCAATGAGACGGAGAGCATCTTGCAAGTCATCAATCAGAACTACCAACCACAGGAAAGACCAGCTTCCAGAAACACACAGGTTAAAGGCCACGTCCTGAACAGTCATTCTGTAATAATGTACCTGTGTAAAGCTGCACTATGTAAAATGTATTTGTTAAAACTGAGTCAGGAGGAAAAAAAAACTGCTGCTGTGAGTCTTGACAACCTCAAGTTATGCTTCATGTCACACGCACAGGCTCAAAATGGAGATCCTGGTAGATGTGTAGATCTCAAGTATAAAATCAACATTATACTAATGAAGATATGATGACAACAGTAAATCATTCACTCACATCCTCGGAAGACACGTCCTTCACCAAGTTTTGTCTGTGTTCTCTTTGAATCTCTTTGATTGTTTTAACACTCGCAATCATCAGATTCATCAGCTCAGGGAAGGGGTCCGAACCACATTGTGTTTTACCAAAGATTATATATAAGGTAAACCAAGATAGTGCATGAAGTGAACGGGGTGAAAAGGGATTCAGTCCCCGCCCTCCATCTCTCAGGGCAACAGCAGTGGGCTGAACAAATCCAAAACAAAACTGTTCGGAAAATGCGTGTTTAGGCTCAAATTACTCACAAGACCCTAACAATTACAAAAATGACCACAAAGTTTTGAGTTTCCTGCTGATGTAAACGGGGGCTTGAGCCTCCATTGTCTGCTAAAAGGGAGAATGAGCCCCACTTCCTGTTTGCCAAAACCACATGACCATGTGTTACCCCCTCCTGTCCTATTTTGACATGGCGGCTCTCGGCTTTATGTATCCCTCTGCTGTAACATTGGGTGTAATTACAAATTTCCACCAGAGGGGTCCCCAAAACTTTCATAGTGTAGCTTTTATGTAGGCCATGATCTGTAAGTCAGATTGTGGTTATAATATAATGAAGCGCTGCTATCATTACTCAAATACATGCAATTTACATGATAATAACATAAACAGAAGCCTATTTATATGCATTTTTGCCATATTAATTTTTTTAAAGTTAAGTTTTTTTTATCAGTGCATTGATGCAGCTCACTTGATGAAGGAGGTGGGCGTGACTGACAGCAGAGGTGTGGATTCCTCCTCTGTACCTCGACTGGCTGCAGCCATTATAAATCATCTTCGGCAGGGCCACTGCATCAGCAGAAGGAACCTCCCCTCACCTGCTTTCTTCACCGACTACATTTTCCAGTCTCTCAACCGCACCAGTGACCTGCATATCATGGGTAAACACAGATTAAAACACACTCACACAGGCAGAAACGATGTGAACTAGGGGTGCACCATATTTCAGCAGCTGATGTACAGCACAGTGCAAAAGGCTTAGCCAAGAAAATTGTTTAACCTGTTTACTTTGGCAGTAAGCCTGCTTTTGCCTGTAGAAACATTACATAATGTTGGAATAAATAAAGATAAATACAGTAAAATACAACAAATATATATTGTTTTCGGTTACATTATTAATATCTTGATTAGAATACAAAGGAACACAGGTTTGGTTCCTGATTCTCAGTGCTCTCCAATTACGTATTTATTTGTTAAATTTCTATCAGCAGCACAGTGAATTTAATTTAATGAAGGACTGATTAGCTAAAGCAGGTACTGGACGGTAACTGTAAATACTGCACTTCTTCGAGAAAAGCTTTGGAAATGTTTAAGGCATACACATAAAATCTTGTTTATACACAAAGTCTATTTACTTTTAATTGTAATATTAGTGTCAATAATGATTCAGTAAAAATGCTTTTTCTCACTGATTCATATTTAGAGTTTTAACTTGGTTCTGCAGTTTATATAGGGATTATAGTGTGAAGTTGTTTTTAAATGCCAGTAAAAAAGTAAAATGATTGGTTATTTATTATGTCGATATTGGCCTCAGCAAGGTATAAACTATTAATTACTAATATCTGGCAAGAAAATCCATTTCAGTGCATCTCTATGTGAACACGAATATAGACTCATTAACGTGTGTTAATGTCACGTCATTCAGATTTGGAACAGCTATTGCACCAGCTTGGCGTAGGAGGAGGGTGTGGCACGCAGCTCACATGGCAGGGAGAGGCGGAGCACAACCGGCCTTGCCCCAAACTTACTGGACACATGCAGCCAGGAGTTAAAAGGATCCAGGGACTGGACGCAGGTACGGTTAGGTGCAGGTGATGGTTAAGACTGTGCAGCTCTAAAAGTGAATGCACCAGTTTGTAACAAAGGAGTTGAATGTATATTTGCAATTCTGCATTGACCAGGGCTGCCCAACTACAGTCCTAGAGGGCCACTTAGTCCAACACAGTTTGGTGATTACTCTGCTCTGACATCAGACTGTGCTTGACCAGCTGATGTGCACTATGATAACTGCTTTTAAAGGGATTTTCAGCCAAAAAATAAAAAATGTAACCACCGCTACATCTTTTGTAAACATGCTTACTAATGACCTGCTGCAATACTGCCATAGTTTCTAGAGTAAGATTTTTAGGATTAAAATCTAGGAAAACACCCTGCTGATGATGAATCTCGAAGGTGGTTTTTGGGGGTGGCTGTTTTGATTTAATATTATCATTATTATTATTGTTATTTGTTAGCTGGTGAATGCTAAAGGGCAGCAGATATTTAACGTTACGTTTAGGAAGTCGAATATCTTATTGCTGCCTATAATGATCCAGACTAGACCCTAAACCCTGAACACTAATGCAGAAGGTTTTAGTGAAAACAGTTCTAACATAAAGTACCTCTTAACCAAGAAGCTAGGTGCCTAGGTGATGTTAAGCTAAGCTAAGCTAAGCTAATAACAGAGACAGTGAGATATAAGAAGACAATGCTAAACTATCTGGGGAGTAAGAATGTCTGAGGTGACTTATTTACAGTTCCAGAACAAGCAGGTGTTTGTACTCAGGGTATGCAGGTCATTGGGAATGTGCTACCAGAGACAGAGCCCTGACACAGCTGTATAAGTGTAGTAACAGTCTTTAAATCATTATTACAATGGAAAAAAATTGATTACTCAAATGTCAGAAATGACTTGTTAGATGAGGAGCACAACAAGCTCAAGATAGCAAGGTAGCTAACGTACAATACACTATATTGCCAAAAGTATTTGCTCGTCTGCCTTCACACGCATATGAACTTGAGTGACATCCCATTTTTAATCCATAGGGTTTAATATGATGTCGGCCCACCCTTTGCAGCTATAACAGCTTAAACTCTTCTGGGAAGGCTTTCCACAAGGTTTAGGAGTGTGTTTATGGGAATTTTTGACCATTCTTCCAGAAGCGCATTTGTGAGGTCAGACAGTGATGTTGGACGAGAAGGCCTGGCTCTCAGTCTCTACTCTATTTCATCCGTTCATCCATGTCTTTATGGACTTTGCTTTGTGCACTGGTGCGCAGTCATGTTGGAACAGGAAGGGGCCATCCCCAAATTGTTCCCACAAAGTTGGGAGCATGAAATTGTCCAAAATCTCTTGGTCTGCTGAAGCATTAAGAGTTCCTTTCACTGGAACTAAGGGGCCGAGCCCAACTCCTGAAAAACAACCCCACACCATAATCCCCCCACCAAACTTTACACTTGGCAGTGTAAGTGCAGTCAGACAAGTGGCGACCGCCAAACCCAGACTCGTCCATTGGATTGCCAGGCGGAGAAGCGTGATCCGTCACTCCAGAGAACACGTCTCCGCTGCTCTAGAGTCCAGTGGCGGCGCTTTACACCACTGCATTCGCGCTTTGCATTGTGTTTGGTGATGTAAGGCTTGGATGCAGCTGCTTGGCCATGGAAACCCATTCCATGAAGCTCTCTATGCACTGTTCTTAGCTAATCTGAAGGCCACATGAAGTTTGGAGGTCTGTAGCGATTGACTCTGCTGAAAGTTGGCGACCTCTGCGCACTATGCACCTCAGCATCCGCTGACCCTGCTCTGTCATTTTACGTGGCCTACCACTTCGTGGCTGAGTTGCTGTCATTCCCAATCGCTTCCACTTTGTTATAATACCACTGACAGTTGACTGTGGAATATTTAGTAGCGAGGAAATTTCATGACTGGACTTATTATTATTGTTATTTGTTAGCTGGTAAATGTTAAAGGGCAGCAGATATTTAACGTTACCTTTAGGCAACTCTTATTGCTGTCTATAATACCACTGACAGTTGACTGTGGAATATTTAGTAGCGAGGAAATTTCACAACTGGACTTGTTGCACAGGTGGCATCCTACCACGGTACCACACTGGAATTCACTGAGCTCCTGAGAGCGACCCATTCTTTCACAAATGTTTGTAGAAGCAGTCTGCATGCCTAGGTGCTTGGTTTTATACACCTGTGGCCATGGAAGTGATTGGAACACACACACACACACACACACACACACACACACACACATATATATATATATATATTTTTTTTTCCATATACATATATACATTTACATACAGTATATCAGTCTTAAAGGCATTGTAACAAAGACAGCCTGTTTCATTCTAAGTGATAAGGAGAGGCTGGATAATGGTCATGTAAAATTTATTATGACTGTTTTTTTGGTCCATAGAACCACACTAACATCATAAGTGGACCTTATGTAGGATGAGGGCCCTTTAGGGTCTTGTTACTCTTGTGTATGTAAAAAGGCTTGCATACATAGTCTTTATAGTCTTATTTTGTCTAGATATTCTTCAAATCCACAGTTCTATTTTTAATTCCTGCAATTGTCTATAATCCTGTAGTTTACAAATGTCTATAATTCTTCCCTATATTCATTCATTATGGAGCCAGAGATGAATACGTAAAGTAACAATCTGTTTCTTTGCTCATATGACAATAAAAATTTGACTCTGATTTGACAATTTGAATCTGGACTGAGTGTACCGCTGGTATAGAAAATGAACTAAACCAGTTTTTGATTGTCTTGGTTTTGAAACTGTGCCTCAGATGTGCTTCTCAGCCAGTCAGCTGTTGGACATCTTTGTCTTGGATCCTCATTCACCAATCTCTAGAGATCACTTCAGGCACATCTGTCCTGCAATCATTCAGCAGTTGTTGGGCGATGCCTGTGACCCCACACAGTCCACAGCTAGGGGATCACCACCCACGGACATTGAGAGTAAGACTATCACTTTTCAACTTCTTATCTCTTTAAGTCTGTTTTTGTCTGTTCTGCTCTTTATGCATTTCTTTTCCCCATAGTGGGGAAAACCCACTATATTTATAATACAAATTTCCCTATTTTAACATCTGCTTTCTGCTTTTACTTCTACTTTTGAAATGTTCAGTTCAGTTTTGCTTCTTACACTCATAGTTTCACACAGAAGTGCATTCATGTAAGTGTATAAAATAGAATACATGTCATTGTGATGAATTATGTCAGTGCTTTTTTCTGAGTATCATGGGACTTCTAGAACACTATTTAAGCAGTAGAACATGAGAGGGGAAGTGGAAATACATTATACAGAATTCTTCAGAAATTAACAGAACACCACTCAGCAAACAAGATGGGCAGTGTTACAGATGGAGCCATAAAACTGTCACAATATCAGGTTCAGTTTTTGCATTACTTTCTGGATCAACCTGTTGTTTGAAGCAGTCTGTAAAGCATTTCACTGCCCATCTTGTTTGCTGAGTTGTATTCTGTTCATTTCTAGTGAATTCCATTTCGCTTTGATGTTCTGTCGTCACAGCTGCACACCGAAAAGAGCTCTCTTTGGTGCAACAACAGATTCGGAGCTTGTTGTCGGCCTACTGTTACTAGTCATGTGTCATTTGCAATCGAGTGGTCTGTTTGAGTCGACTCTTTTAGGTTAACATTGGGTGCCAACTCACACTGAAGAGCAATAAATGAAAACAAATAGGTAGATCTAATGATGCTGTAGCTGAAAATCACAGGACCCCCTCCTGGATCTCCATGGAACTTTCTGCCTCCACCCCCTCATTATAGTCAAGCCTGCTGCTTGTTGTGTTAGTTTAATTATCTCTGATTTGTTCTTTGCAGGTCTCATGTAACGTTTCCAATCATTCTTTCTTAGTTCCTCTGATTTTTGGCTTCTAACTGCCTTTATTTGTTGTTGACTGGTTGATGGATTTGCTTGCATTTTGTCCGTCTGCTGATTTTCTCTCCTACTTCTCGAAATTCATCCAGTGAATCTACTTATCAATATCTGACTTAGCTATTGCGAGAAAACTGTGCTGTTATCACAAATAACAACACTTCTGAACCAATAAGACTGTGCTGTCAAACTAACTGTTGTATAACCACTATTATTAGCAATTTAATTTTTGCGAATTGGTTAATTGGAAGGTGGGCTAAGGTTTTGTGAAAAAAATCATTTATAGGCAATATTGCTGACTTGGCTAATTTTGGGAGCAAAAAACCTGACAATGCTACTGAATGAAAGTCAGTTCTTATTTGCAAGCTGAGCCAAAAAAACGAATGCATGTCACTAGCTGTCATACTCTTCCTCAGAATCTGACCAAATGGGCTGCAGGTGAAACATTATCTTACATGGTGTAATATATTGTAATGTTGGCACAGGAAAGGCCATGATTCTGCTGCAAGTAGTGTTTTTTTTAATTAAAAGCCAGCAGAAAAGCACATACAAACACAACTGTGGAGCAGGCAGGTCACCTGTAGCTATATAGTTCCACTCTGAGGTAAACACGACCCACTCTAACTAAACACTCTCCCCAACACAATAAATAACACAACAGTCACATACCACATATCTTTAACTGATGAAGAACAACATAAACAACATTCACGTCCTTTTTTACGGAGGGTCTGCGCCTCACATGAGCCTCTTTGCATGGATCTCTGCATGGCCATGCCCGCCCAAGCCTCTCATGGTCAGTAAGATGCTACAGTAGCGGGATGCTACATAATCTATTTTCCATTTTTGTACATGCTAAAGTAGAAACTTAGAAACTGTATGCATCTTGAAGTACTCAGTGGAATGATACAGCTATTAAAAAGTACGCTGTTATCACAAATAACAACACTTCTCAACCAATCAGATCGTGCTGTCAAACTGTTATATAATAACTGATAAAACAACTTAGGTAGAATGCTTTAAAGCAGATTGTATTGTCAGTACTAACTGTTGTATAACATGTCATAAAAAAGATTTAAAGCAGTTATAATGAGCATGTAAACAACAGCGTGTTCAGTTGTAACACATTCGTAGAAAACCCCACTATATTTATAATAACTGTAAAATAACTGTATAAACTGCATATAAACAGGTAGCTGGACTGGATGTCAGCCCATTGTGCCATTATCTTATTTGATTCATTTATTTTATACAAATGCTGGTAAATGATTTTCCTCCTGTTCCTTCTTTTTTCGCAAATGGTGAATTAACAAAAAGAAAATACTGTACTGTTTTTCAAATTCTTTTTTAAGTGTAGCACTGTTGTTTTTTGGTGCATTTTGTTCCAGCTTGCTCAAACATTACAATACATGTTGTGCATTGTGCAAGTGTCTTTAAGTATCATGATGTTATATTTTGGCCATATCATTCCTCCTTATGTTCAGATTTTTCTTTTTTCCATTACTCTCTCTCTCTGTCTCCTGTAGAATATGGCTACAGTACAGTTGCAGTGCTGCTGATCACAGTGGGCTCTATGCTGGGAATCTGTCTGATCTTCTTTAACTCCTGCCAGGAGACTTACACGCTCATCCTTCAGCTGTTTGTTGGGCTCGCTGTAGGAACACTGTCAGGAGATGCACTGCTTCATCTGATACCACAGGTAGCCCAGCTAATACTACATCACAGACTCAAGTAGCAAAGCCACATTTAAATCCTCACTCATTCAGCCTTCATGTAGTGCTACACAATACTACTTCAAGTTCAGTGGTAGTGTTGGTATCTCGAATGTGGATATAGTGAGATAGGACCATAGAGTCTAAATAACTTTGCAGTCTTCAATCAATATGCAAGGCATTCTGCCTGCGGCCCTCAATAACAAAGCATGAATTAAGTACTGTTAACGCATTACAGAAGGGGTCTTATGATATGCATATTAATACTCCTTTTTTGGTAGCAGGGATGAAAACAGTATGCACTGTGAATCAAATACAGCTAGATTTTATGCTATGTAAAAATTTGTGAAATCAGATGCACTGACATAAATTAGAATGGTTGTGTCTTTCACCAGATGCTGCGTTCTTTTTTTTTAAATTTATCATTTGCAGAGTTCAGCCTCCTTTAGTTACTGCTGCTAACTCCAACAAACTTTCAGTGCAGGCTTCCTTAGCGACTTTGACATTGTTCTCAGACTTAAAAGTTCTGTTGTACGAAGAAAGATTTCGAAGTACACAGAGGGGAACATTACAAACACTTTTCATTCCAAAATAAACTGGCTTGACAAGATGTTCAGTGGATAGATACATGTTCAAGAACTAACAAAATATGAATGTAGGCCAATTTTAAGTGAATAAAAACAGATTCTGGGGACCATGTTTACATCAAACAAACCAGGGAAATCTTTCAGCATCTGGACGTTAAAGCGGCAGCTTTTCATGTCTAATAATGAGTCTTTGTAAGCTAAGAAAGCTGCACCTTTAGTTGAGCTAATGCTAAAGCTAACGCTGGTGCTAGTCAGATGTTGATGCCGAGGAGGACTCATCCTCTTTTACACGAAACAATACAAAGCGTGGCATGTATATGAGTGCAATAATGTATATCTTAACACACAATGTTTTTAATCCCATATGTGAGCACTGTTCTGTCCTGTTTAATCTGACTGATTGATTGAACAAACTTTTAGCAGCAAAGTTAAGAAAAGCTGACTAGTTAGCTCACTGATCTTAACATTTTTGTTGTTAGAAATCATATTAAACTGAATGCTAGCAAATGCAGTAACCCAGATAAAGTTTAGTTTGCTTTATAGCCAGCATAAGTCTTGTCTGTTAATTGTTTTCACAAAAGGATTATGAGTTTGGTGTTCCACATAGTGTAATCCAAAATTTTTTTACAGCTTCAGAAATGAAATGGAAAAAAGAACAGCGCCCTCCAGATCAGGATAACATGTGTCATGCATAAACCGATCCTCTGTAACAACTATTTTTAAAACATTTTTTTACTCTGCATAGCTGGTAGCTTGATCACCACCAAAACCAGCATATGTTTTGTTTTGCTGGCTGGTATACTGGTTGACCAGCTAAACCAGCACCAGACAGGGTAATAATTCTGACTAACTCACTGCCAACAACATTCTCACTGCAGGTTTGTTTTGAGGAGTTCTTCCTTCACCTGTGATTGGCTGAGAGGCGTGTCAATCATAATATTCCAAATGGTCAATTTGCTAGAGTTCTGTAATAAAAAAGATGATTAGCACTGGGTAAAAATGACAGAAATGCTTGTGGGTGACAACATGTAGAAACACTGTTTTTCTTATTTTTTAATCTAATTTAAAGATCCTTGGTCTTCATGATGGTAGTCACCATGATGACCATGACCTCAGGGAAGAAAAGGAGTACCTGTGGAAGATTATGGGCATCATCGCTGGAATCTATGGCTTCTTCCTAATAGAGAGAACCTTCTCCTTTTTAATATCCTCGCGTGGGCATGTGAGTGCTTCCACCACCCTGTGTTCTTCTTTCACATCTATATACCTCCTCACTGCTGCCATCTAGTGACTAGATTTGCTCTCTCTCTCTATCTCTCTCTCTCAGACATATACTGTTTAAATGTTTGGAATCAGTTGTTTCAATAATATAAAACTAATCTGGTGGCAGATAAGTGATTCTGTTGTTTCTTTTTTTAGTATCATGAGACCTTACACATTTCAAATCATTTGCAGGAAACTGTAAAAAAAGAAGAAAATCATGTCCAGAATGATGAACAGAGCTTTAGATGATTCTTTAATGACTGAGAAAACTGTATAACATCAAGAATAATATTGTAATAAAATTAACATCCAGAATGCTGCATAATGGTGAACTTATATTTACATTTTTTACTAATTTAAGACATAGTTTTCATTACAAATAATGTCATCAGCATAAAAATTTAAGTGAAAAGTAGAGATTGAAATCATTGAAATATGTACATAAATTTCAGAATTTCTTAGTGTTTGCTTTAATGGCAAGTGATTCCAAGTGATTACTAACTATCAGACAAAAGTGTGGACCTGCCTTATTAAATGTGTGCTTTCATAATCTTAAAACATCTAAAAGCCTATGCTAAAATTGTTTTTAAACCATATTTAAATGGGGAAGTTGATGTCTATGTATAAATTATATTTCTAAAATATTCTTTACATTAATAGAGTATTCCCTGCCAATTTAGTCATTGTCATGTATCCACCTATTCAGCCTACAGCAGTAGAGTGTTTCACCCTAGCCTAGAATGAGGCATGATACAGGTCATTCATAAATTATTTACATATATCAGTCTTAAAGGCATAGTAACAAAAACAGCCTGTTTAATTCTAAGGGGTATAGAGAGGTTGGAAAACTATCACGTAAAAAATGTTATACCTCATTTTTGATACATAAAACCACACCAATGTCATATGTGGAGCTCAGTGGGGAAAATAAAATATGTGAAAAATGGATGTGAGCCACATTTTTGAGCACTGTGTGAATCCATGTGTGTTATTTCATAGTTTTGATGTCCGCTATTCTTCAAAAATGTGGACAATAAATAAAACAGAAAAATCCTTCATAAGTCAGTGTGTTCAGACTTTTGAGTGGCAGTGTAAGAGACGTTAATGGTAGTATGTCTGTAGTTTGTGTATTTGGGGAAGCATGTTCTTGTAAGATATAATTTTTCTCTCACAGAGTCACTCTCATGGTTTGTCTGTTGAGCTGAGCTGTAATGGAGAAGGACAGCGAGGGAAGTCAGTATCTACCATGCAGCTGGTCAGTGTGACGCTATGTTTTCCTTTGGGGCTGCTGCATGTGTCAGCAGGACGTGTTACATTCTAGAGACACGAGTGAATTATTAAACAAAAGCACGTTAACTTTGTTTGCAGCGAACGTTAGAGGAGACGGAATGTACAGAAATACAGCCGGTGGAGCCCACCATGAACCCTGCTCAGCAGCAGAGTAAGAGAACACACACACACACACACCCACACACACACCATCCTCATCTGATCTTACAGCCAGTTTCCATTTTGTTCTTTCCCAATTTGTCCCAGAACAAGGCATTCCACTGCTGGCCATAATGGTGATAGTGGGCGACAGCCTCCATAACTTTGCAGATGGCTTAGTGGTGGGGGCTGCTTTCTCCAACTCAGCCGAAACTGGCATAGCAACCACGGTGGCCATTCTGTGCCATGAGATCCCCCACGAAATGGGTGAGTTGTTTATTAGGTGAAGGAGTACACTTTGTACTTCCTCAAACAGCCAAACATTTTAGCCATTGTTTGAATCAGATAAAAACCAGCATAGCTAAAAATGTGTGAGAAATTGGGAATTTGAATGAAAAAGTTCCCAAACCCAAATATCCCGTAAATATTACTATACCCAGCAGGCTTTTGCTCCAAGAAATCATGCAGTAATCAAGTATATATGTAATTTGTAGAGGTGAAAATCCACCCATAGTTCTTATGTTTATTCATTGCTATTTAGTGTTATGCAGGCAGAAGGCAGAAAACTGGTGAATGCTTCTGTTATAGATTACATTGCCCAATATTTTACATTATACAGTCATGTGCAAAAGTGTAAACACCCCCACTCCAGTTACACGTTTTGTTGATTTTGTAAAAATATCTCCTACAGGGAACAAACTGCAAATTTTAGTGCAACATTTCTATCTATTTGCTGAGTTTAACATACAGGGAAAAAAAAACAGAAAACATAAAGTGTGCTGTAACTTTTGCACATTTTATGTTTTACTTTTTTATTTCTGTAAATAAACAGTAATTGTGCTGTAAAATGTGCAGAAATGTTTTCTTTGTAGAGAATATGTTAAGCTATTTTCGCTTAGGAAATCAACAGAACAATTTAATTTGTAATTTGACCAGAGGCACCCAAACTGTTGCATACGACTGTATTTGCACTCACTGGCTGCTTTATTTGCAAGTATTCTAAACTCATTGTCGTGTTCATGGAACCAGTTTGAGATAACTTTTGCTTTGTAACAATGCACATTCTCATGCTACAAGTAGTCAGTAAAAATGGGTGAATTGTAGCCCTGAATGCACAGGGTCAGCAACAATACTCAAATAGACTCTGACATTCAAATAATGTTTGATTGGTAATAAGAAGCCCAATGTGTGCCAAGAAAACACACACATTACACCACCTCTATCAGCTTGAACTGTAGACACAAGACACATGGGGTCAATGGTTCCATGCTATTTATGCCAAATTCTGACTCTACTCTCTGCTTGTAGCAGCAGAAATCAAGATTCCTTAGACCAGGCAACATTTTTCCAATCTTCAGCTGTCTAGTTTGGGTGAGCCTGTGCCCACTGTTGCCTCATATTCTTGTTCTTGGCTGACAGGAGTGGAATCTGATGTGATCTTCTTCTGTTGTAGCCCATCCACCTTGAGGTTCAATGTGTTGTGTGTTCACTGTAGCCTTCCTGTCAGCTGGAATATGTCTAGCCATTCTCCTCTCATCTCTCTCATCAACAAGGTTTCCAACTCATGAGTGAAGGGTGTCAAACCTGTTCTGTGGTGTTTTGATCTGAAGCTGGGCTAAGCTAATGCTACCTTAATTTGCAGGCTAAAAGTTCCACCCACTATAGTAGAGGCTCAATTCCAGCTAACTGGTGCTCAAATGACACATTTAGCGTATAAAGATTCATATTACTGAGAGCACAAAGTCAAGTAACTGGTGTTTGAGTGACAGCCGGAATCGAACATGTTCTGTAGAGTGTTATTAGCCTTTAAGCCATCGCTGAGCCACTGATGTGTGTAGTTTTTCTTTGATATTTCTTAGTCCTGATTTTGCAGCACAGATGGAAAAAGAAACCATAACCGGTCTTACAAGTCCAAGCCAGCTTGAAACGACACAATACAGCCATGGGAACCATTTGGCTCCATTTGTTCACATGCTTGATGTGAACATTAACTGAACCGATTGGCTGACTGAATAATGTCATGACAGAGCACAAAAACAGCGTAGTCCTAATAAAGTGGCCAGTGAGTGAAAATTACAGCAGTCTTTTGATTTAAAGAAAAAATATATAGATTGTTATTTATTTTTCTGCTCTATAACACTCACTCTATAACGTGGACTCAAATACTCAACACTGTGGTGTTTCTCTCTGTAGGTGATTTTGCAGTGTTACTGAGCTCTGGTCTGTCTGTCCAGCGTGCTGTGATGATGAATTTCCTCAGTGCCCTTACAGCCTTCATGGGGCTCTATATCGGCCTCTTCGTCTCCTCGAATATGGAGGTTCAGCAGTGGATCTTCACCGTCACAGCAGGCATATTTCTTTATCTGTCACTGGTAGAGATGGTGAGTGAGCAGTTTAATGATCAGCTTAATGAGTTTTGAGCCTATCAACATGTTGGCCACTTTTTTGCATATTCCAATAAAGCTTGGTTGCTTCATTAAAGCTATCAACTTCACTGATTAGTATCTCTCTCTCTCTCTCTCTCTAGATGCCTGAGATGAGTAGAGTTCACTCTCCACATCCATATCTTATGTTTTTTCTGCAGAATGTTGGGCTGCTCATGGGCTGGGCCTGTCTGCTGCTTCTAGCACTGTTTGAACACAAGCTCACTTTTTAACATACACATGGACACGTATTTCTTGGTACTTCAGTAAAAAATCTAATTTACTTGAGATTGTGCCTTTAAACTTAATAATGTAATGTTTCATTAGATTTTTTGCTGGACTATTGCATGGTCACTTCAGCACTTTGTAAGAACATAGCAACATAACCTGGTCCTGGAGTACCCGGGCAGCGCACATTGAAATGTTTTCTCTACTCTAACATGCTGATTTCAAACTCATGAGGGGCTTGTTAATTAAATGATGAGCAGAACTGAAGTGATAATCGGAGTTGTTTATTATTCAAAAAAAAAAACAACAAAAAAAAAAACTTTAAAAAGCTGTACAGCTGAGAATAAAATTATAATAACATTAACATCCACAATGGCTTCTGCTTCAAAAGTAGCAATGAAATCACCTACTATAAATAGATATTTACAGTATACTAATTATTCAGTAACTTCTTATTGTTCCCAAAACACATGAAATATTTAATTTCAAAATATCTGTATATCTGTGTTTAGTTTATAATGTACATCTACACCCCCAATTCCAAAAAAGTTTGGACGATCTGCAAAATGTAAATAAATGTCAATTAAAACGGAATGCAATGATTTGCAAATCTCATAGACCCATATTTTATTCACAATAGAACAGATATAGATGCGTTGTTGCCATCAAGTTCTAAATGAGTTAATGTTTTTCATGAAATGGGAAAATGTCTCACTTTCAACATCTGATATGTGTTCTGTGTTCTACTGTGAATAAAATATGGGTCTATGAGATTTGCAAATCGTTGCATCATGTTTTTATGTACATTTATTTACATTTTACACAGCATCCCAGCCTTTTTGGAATTGGGGTTGTACATTATATATGCTACTATTATATGATACATTCTTTTCGCTATTAATAAAACAACAACATTTTTGAGTGGTGTTGCATGTTAGAGGAAGGAAACACTAAAAGTGCTATGCAGGACTGTTCCAGGACCAGGAATGGGAAACACTAAAGCCTTGGTTGTTGTAGCACAGCCTTTGACTGGGTTCTAAGGTTTTTCTCATCTCTACCATGATGAGCCATATCTGTATTACACTGCCTGGTGCATTCTCTGACATTATTTACTAGATTGTTTTACAGTGAAATAAACAAAGAGTGAATATGTGAATATTCAAGGTTGGTGTTAAGATGCTTGATTGTCTTGAAAGTAAAAGCAACATTTCATGATGTAAGAGTGCTTTATATATATTAGTTGCTTAATTGCATTTTTTGGAGTAGTTAATTGTGATTAATTGTCTTTGCAATTGAGATAAATTTGTCTTATTCATTTACATTTAACCCCACAGAAAGATTTTCCATTTAAAAGCAATGCATTTTGTTATAGCTTCATTAAGAACACCTCCTTGTATCTACATTAATTGTCTATTTTATCAACTCTTCTTACCATATAAGTGCAATTTGTTAGACCCTTTCACCCTGTTCTTCAATGGTCAGGACCCCCACTGGACCATCACAGAGCAGGTATTATTTGGGTGGTGGATCATTCTCAGCACTGCAGTGACACAGTGGATCAGACACAGCAGTGCTGCTGGAGTTTTTAAACACCTCAGTGTCACTGCTGGACTGAGAATAGTCCACCAGCCAAAAATATCCAGCCCACAGCGTCCTGTGACCACTGATAAAGGACTAGAGGATGACCAACACAAACTATGCAGCAACAGTTGAGCCACATCTACAAGGTGGACCAACAAGGTAGGAGTGTTTAATAGAGTGGACAGTAAGTGGACACAGTGTTTAAAAACTCCAGCAGCACTGCTGTGTCTGATCCACTTGTACCAGCTCAACTCACACTAACACACCACCACCACAGCAGTGTTACTGCAGTGCTGAGAATGATCCACCAGCCAAATAATACCTGCTCTGTGGTGGTCCTGTGGGGGTCCTGACTATTGAAGAACAGGGTAAAAGGCTAACAAAGTATGCAGAGAAACAGATGGACTGCAGTCTGCAATTGTAGAATGACATAGTGCACCTGTGTGGTAAAGTGGAGCTGATAATATAGACAAAGAGTGTAGAAAGAAGGTATGTGTACTTAATGAAGTGACCAGTCTGTGTACATATGAATGGACAAAGTAAGCTTCATCAGAATGTATTTATTTCTTTCCATAATTCAGTAACATTATTTTCATTAGATGAGTGCAGGGTTCACATAAATTTGAACAAAAATATCATGTGATTTCCATAGAGTGGAATGTAGCCCTCTTGCTCTGTTACACATTCATACAGCTCATGCAGGCCTTTATTTGTAAATGATGAAGTCCCGGAACACTGAGCAGTGATGGATCCAGCAGGTCAGTCTGTCCCCATAATGGTGGATCTATGAGTGTGTTAAAGAGGTTCATATGCATCAAATTTTCTCTCATATGTCAGTTTCTCCAGTCTAAAAACAGCTTCAAACATGCCTGAGGTTTTGCTCAGTATTTCTAAGCTGTTTTGAGGGATGAACAATCACAGCAGTAGTGGTGCATTTGCGAGTGATAAACAGCATTGATGTTGTTTTCGTTTTAGCATTTCTATCATCATGCACCCCCAAACAGGAGTTGAAAATGTGTGCGATTCATGCCAAGTTGACACAGCGTGCTACATTTTAGTTTCATGGTTTTTTTTTTTCATATTTTGTTATACATATTAATGTTGTTTGTAGAACTTTTTATTCAACCTTTACAGATTGTCTCATGTATTTAATATGTGAATGAGGTGCCGGATCCACTAAAAGGAGTCAAAATCAGCTTGTTCCAGCACAAAGTAAGCCCTGAATTTGTTACAGTGGAGGTTCTCAAGGGTACCTATAGCTTTCCACTGGCTTTTGTTAGTTTTCTGCTTGTTTATTCATCTACAGTTCTCTCATGAGCACTGCTCAGTGTAGTCTAGTGAAGGTGTCGAAGGTATTGCTTTTAAAACCCATATAAAAGCTGTGTTTTATTAAGATGGCCCCAATCACACATTTAATCATAGCAATATACAGCAAGAGCTTCATCATGGAAAAATGTATAATTTGAAGGGTCAAACTAGAGAAATGCATTAACAGTGGTGTGGTTCACATACCATTTAGCAAACCAGTTCTGGGGGTAATGGCTTTACTTTGCAGTATTGTGTGTATCTGTATACTAAAGGCCTAAAAAATGTTGATTAGAATTGATCTAGTGTACATAAAGGAGCTGAAACAAAAGGATATGTCCACATAAAAATGTATGCGCTGCAGTGAATGCTGTGTTTAACTGTAAACTGTGAAACAGATTCACTAACACTCGCTCAGTTTGCAAGTATATGGTCACTATCTAAATACAGTCTTATGCAAACATTTGGGCACCCTTGGTCAAATTATGTGTTTTCTTGCTTTTCTAAATGAAAATAAGCTAACACATGCTCCACTGGGAGCATACTTAAATATGTTAATTCTATTCATTTGCTGAATTTAACATATTGGGGGAAAAAAACATAAAATATTGAATGTACTTTCATACTGGCCACATTTTATGTTTTTTTTCCCCCAGTATGTTAAATACAGCAATTAAACAGTAACTATATGTATTAAAATGTGCAGAACTGTGTTGTGTAGAGAACGTGTTAACTTATTTGTGCTTTGAAGATAAATCAACAAATCAACAAAACAGAATTATTTGACTACGGGTGCCCAAATGTTTGCATATCACTTGACCAACATTGCATATGTAAGAAGTGCAAATGCTGGGCCTGTGTAAGAAAATAGCTTTCTATTATTTCACTATTTCTAGAAAATATCACAGTCATATCATAGAGTATAGAATGTTTCAACATACGCTAAGATATGAAAAGAAACTACGCTCTTATCACATACTCACACAATTAATTGACATGCCCTATATTCTGATAAAACTTGAACACCAGTATGACAATACTGTCAATGAACTGTGAACAGTCTACATATGAAACATATGACATTGTAATGAGCATTACAGCTGACATTGCATGCCAATCTCAAAATCTCTAAAATATGGATAATTACTTTGAAGCAAACGATAGCAAACCATATTTATGTGGGGTCTTTTACTGCAATCAGCTGTGTAATGAATTCATGTTCAGTTGAGCAGGTTTTTTTCTGCTTGTTTGTTTCTGAAACATTTTTATGACCGTTTATCAGCAAATATCCAGAGTTTTCTTTTTCTCATCCTCTGCTGAGTCACCTGGTTCAGCATGGTGGGAAGTCCTCTGAGACCACCCACACACCCACAAGGTCAGCAGCAGAACAGAGAGAGCTAACAACTGCATTGTATGAATCCACCCCAGGCCTAGATCATGAGATAGAAGCAGGAATGAAATGTGTATGCATAACTCAAAAAATCCCTACAGCGTTTTTCAATCTAATCTCTATCTGCTGCATTTGTAGCTTTACAACACAGACACAAAATTCCCTTTACTTACAAAAAATGAGAAGACTTGATGATTTGAAACATACTTATAATACATTACGAAAGGAAGGAAAAAAGTTTCAACACCCATATCACAATTGTGAAAAAGTTATTGCTCCCCTAAACCTAATAACTGGCTGTCCCTCCTTTAACTGCAACAACTGCAACCAAACACTTCTTATAACTGGAGATCAGTCTTTCACACTGTTTTGGAGAAGTTTTGATCCATTCTTTGCAGAATTTTGTTTTTAATTAGCTGCATTGCAGGGCTTTTGAGCACAAGCTGCCTGTTATAGGACCTGCCACACCATCTCAGTGGGGTTCAGGTCAGCACTAGGCCACTCCAAAACCTTCATTTTGTTTATTTCAAGTAATTTAGAGGTGGCAGGATTTTCTGGAAGAGAGTATAATTGATGGTTCTGTCACCTAGGTCTTTATGCAGCAAGGAATCCCAACACCATTACACTAACATGTTTGACTGTTGGTATGATTTTGATGTGGAATGCTTTGTTAGCTTTCTGCTAGATGTAACGGGACCCACTGTCTTCCAAAAAGTTTCACTTTTGACTTAACAGTTCACAAAACATTGCTTCAATAAGCTTGGGGGTAATTAAGGTGTTTTTTCTGGCAAAAGTGAAGTGAGCTTTTTATGTTTCCTTTTTCTAGCAGTGATTTTTGCTTTGCAACTGTCTTGTTGATATCATCTTTGCCCAGTCTCTTTCTAATATTGAAATAATGAATGCTGAGCGAGGACTGTAGTTCCTTAGATGTTCATTTTCCTTAGATGGCCTCCTGGATGAGTTGTCTCTGCTCAAGGAGGAATTTTGGTAGCACAGTCGCTTCTGGGAAGATTCACTACTGTTCCAAGTTTACTCCATTTGGAGATGATGGCTCTCACTGTGGTTCTCTGGAGTCCCAGAACATTAGAAATGGCTTTGTAACCTCTTTGAAGTGATTATATTTCAAAAACTTTCTCATCTCTTCCCAAATCTTTATAGGGCCAGTTGGTGTGGGATAAATTCCCTCAGTAAATGAGGTGATGGTTTAGAAACTGTAATTTGTGTTTATTCAGGTTGCCTATGTCTTACATAAAATTTATTTTAAAGATCTG